GCTTATGGCGGAATCCCCGAAGGTATGAGGGCCTCTGTAGCAATAATTACATTGTTTGACAATTTAATGAACATTTTCGTCGAATCCACCATCGAAAATATGGAGGTGGGCGACGGAAACCAACATCGAGAACGGAAATTCAGCGGTAAAGCCGCCATTGCGCCATGGTTAAAACTTCGTTCTCCAGTTCGATGCTAATGGGCTTTGTGAATAAGTTTTGTGTCCGTACAAATGCATATTCATAGAGGCGTGGAAGAAGGTGTATTTAATGGGTAAATATCAACCGCAAACTGTTGAAAGACTTGGTGTATTGAAATACAATCTATTGGTCCACAAAGACCTTCTAAGCTGGGTTGTTTAGATAAACATTTCGTCTACTGTGATGGCGTTTTCCAGTGTAAATATTCTTTGTGGATCTCCGAGCCAAAAGAGCAACAAATTATCTTGAGAGCAATTTGATTTAATTTCCTTTGTAATCCCTTGGCGGAATGGAGGCACGAGGGAAAGTGGCTGCAGACACTTGCAAAGTAGGGTGAGATCCATGGGAAAAGCAGTAACATTAAGCCTACACACTTCCCACCCTGCCATTGTTGTATCTTTCCTGTTAACTAAAAGCAGGAGACGAGTCCTCGTCTACCTGCAGTACTCGGTGATACTTGAGAAGAATAACCTGCGTGAGAACAATTGGATTGGAAAAGTTGAAAAAATAATATCAGGTGAAATGTTAACAGGGGAGCAATTTTTTCTCAAGTTTCAATTTATGATGTATGGCAGGAAAACAATGCGAAGGATTTCCTCGATGATGAAGTGTGTGTGAAGGATATTTGATGTTATTTTGCAATGCGAATAGAGGGCATATTTTCGTGAATTATAATGATCATTCGTCAAGAGTTTATTATATACAGCGAAAATGGGAGACAAAGACAGGAAAATGAATTTTTCACGAGATTCCGCCTAATCTTGGTAAATACCTCAGGATGGAGCGAAAATGTTATTTTTTCCCTCAACAGCATCAGGTGATATTTGTGACATTAAGTGCGTCTTTTTCCCACGAAATTATTTAATTGAATTACTGTCCCACGTCATTTCCCAATTAATTCCACCCCCACTTTTTGGCCACTCAATATCAACTTTTATTTTTGCATCGGCCCCTGAAAATTCGCCACCAAAATTTTCCTAAACTCACATTTAATGAGGTGTGTGAAGAAAAAAGTACTCGATTGAATATTTAAATTGCCCTACTCAAATTCGTCCTGTAATTACTCCCCCTTTTCGTGGTTTCACATCGTCAAACTTTTATTGCGAGCAGCTCATTATTTTGGCATGATGTTTCTGAACTCTCGAATGAGCGGTGAAAATTATGTAAAATAGTTAGAATGAAATCTGAGTCACTTTCCCTCTCAATGCGTTCCATAAAGCGTTTTCCCGCCGCTTCACATGCAAAAATGCTCAACTTTGTATCTGTTAATTAAACTCAAATAGAACTTTTGGAGCATATTCTCTGTTTCTAGTGGTTTTGACTGGAGAATTAGGAGGAAAATTTGTGTGACGCGCACAGAATGTTTCTGGTCAAGCTGAAAACCATAAATGTGTCTCATTTTCTAAAGTTGGCGTGGAAAAGAGAATATGCCCAAGGGGGAGATTTTGCGAACAGAAGTGATGAACAGATTAATGGAAGGATTGGGAAGTTCAAGAACTGTTCAAATATTTGCAATATTTCTTTAATGAGTGATGAATTTAGATGTTAATTGGATAATTTCCTTAAAAAAAAGTCAAATTCTACCACATTTTTTGTTATTGGTCAATATACTCCCCCTTGGAAAGGACATTTCCTACCATATTTCACATGTATTCATCTTCCCACGCGCTCAATTTTTGTGTTTTTCTCTCAATGCCACATTCAACTTCATTGAAGTCTTCAGTTCGATTAGCCTTGTTATCTTATAGTTGAACTCGGTAAAAAATCATTGAAATGTAAAATTGGATTGAGCGCAAAGGAAGGAAAGTTGCCTACAAAGAATTTGACCCTTCTTATCATTGATATCCATTCTGGCCGAACCGTGAACAAATGGGATTTTGTCTTAATCGAAAGACTTCCTTCGCTGTTTGTCAGCGCATCGACTAATAAGTGGATATCAAAGTGATGTTTGACATCATTTCGTATCGCGAGAAACAATTTGATCGTCCATTAGCGTTCGCTTTACTCCTTATCAATTGATGATAAGTGAACTTGTCACTGCGGATTTGCGTGAATTCTCTATGCAAAATTGCATTTCTCCTGATTTTGACGTGACTTTCCAAAAATATGTGTTATTATTATCTGTGATTGTCACTTTTCCTATCTATTTCTCAGATAAAGTGCAAAAACGATTTTCACATTCAAATTCTTCCTCATGAAGAAGCTTTTGCGGTTAGCGATGAGAAATTCATTAGAAGGCATGAGAGAATTATTTACTCAGGTTCTCGGGAAATTGTGCGTATGCTTTGAAAACGTGAATTTATTAACATGGAGTTTTCCACAATTTGACAATGCAAAATGGTAATTTATGTGTTGCTCAATGTAATCCTTCACCGAACTTTGCGTACACATTTCCGCGCTTTTCATTACGCAATGAAAGTGTTATTTGAGCATCGTCGCTAGAGTGGAACTAATTAATTGCTCAGCATCGTTTTTGATGTGGTATTGGTAATAAATTTGAATTAGCAGTAATTTAATAAATTCCTCACTGATACTTTGGGTCACATTTGGAGGTCTTTCGCCTGTCTTTGCATCGACCCACATTTGGTTGATGACATTTTACGTGGGGCGATGATAAAAAGTTAAATTTCAGAAGTTATTATTTGTGAATTGTGACAAACTTAGGGGGGAAATAAAGGCGATGGCGTAAAATTCTCTACGTGACACTTTTCATTTTGCCTTTAATCAAGGAGAAAACTTACAATAATTTTGAAAAAGCGACCATTGTAATTCATCATTTATGCTGTCCTGTGCAAAGCTTTGCCCTAGATTTAATTAAGAAATCAATAAAGTCGATTACAAAACACGATAGTTTCCGCAAATACCGAGAATGAAACGTCTCTTTATCATGATTTCTACTAAGATATTACTCAACACCTCTTTCAACGCCCACATTTTCATGAAAGAGGTAAAGTTTGTGACCACATTTGTGATAATCACATGTAGTGAGGCATAGCATTAGAGAAGCTGTGGTAATTTCATTAGAAGTCTTTCCTTGCAACAAGTTTTTCATTTAGTCTGTTTATTTATCCTCACAATTTTGTTCTCTTCATGCTCGGTGAGAAAACAAACTATAAGAAAAATAGTTGGGCAATGTTTAAATAATTCAGATCGCCCTTAAATTCTGTCTGACAGTGAATTTTTATCCATGCCAGTGAATCTTTGCCACAAAAAGGATTCTCTAGTCCGGAGAGAAACAGTTTTTCTGCGAAATAGCGAGTCCCTCGTCAAAAGATTCGCATCTTCTGATGTCACACAGAAGGGAAAAATGTAATTCTTTCGTGTTAGGCATTTTGAGGGAAGACCAAAAGGAGAGGTTTATTAATTCCGTCTGTTAAACTTTCGCCGCAAATCCCGTCGCTTTCACAGTCAGATGGAAATTTGAGGCGAATTTCGCTGCTTTTCGGGTTAACTCAAGCTCAAATGTCGTGAAAATCTCATTCAGTGGGATTATTTTCTTTAATAAACAATTACAGAAGTTGTGTGCAAGTTTGAGAGACAAGAAAAGAATCCTCAAAACGGCCAAAAGCTATGCTTAAAGCACGGTGTTCGTTTCATATTCAACTCCCAGAACTTTTTACAATTATTGTGCTATAATAATTATTGTATAATACTAAAATCAGTATTATTGCTTTCATTGCATCGTATGCGTGTGCAGGGAAATGTTGTAAATTCCATCATAACTGTGGCGTTTTTCATAAATTTAGCGACGGCGGTGGAAAATTTGCAAGAAATTGCTGTATAGAGTTGTAAAATTCACATGAAAATGAAATGATTTTGGCAATGTTTTTCTCATGTTCATATTTTCATATTATTGGAAGTGAAAATTGCCCCTCAACACCTTTCTTGCGTTGTTTCTTCGCATAATAAGAATAATCATTACATAAAGTACAATCTCGGCTTTCTATAAAATATGTGTCTTTTCTCTTCTTGGGATGAAGAGGAACTTTGCAAAAGTTTAATATATAACTTTTTACCTTCACATCTCACTATTGGAATTAAATTTTACAGAGTATTGTTGATGTTTGCTATAACTTAAATTAAATGAATTTATTATCCGGAAGCGCTTTCATATTTGCATTATAAACAGATTTTCACGGATTTTTGGGCTGTATTTTTTTTAATTCTCGATTGTATGCACAATCCGGAAATTCATCAATTTTCCACATATTTTAGCAATCTGTTAACATTTTATGCGTCATATTAATTAACCATTGTCACTATTTATCGTGGTTTGACTTTCAGGACATTTCTGAGTGATGAATAGTTTGAATTTATGCGATTTTGTGTGAATAATAAAGGTGTGTTTTCCGATACTTGATCCTGAGGCCATCAGGAGATGTCAAGAGTCTCCTCGATGGCAAGATATAGTGCAGAAATGAGGAGACAGATAGTGTTGTGAGATTGTGGCGTAAAATTGATTTTATTTGTGCAACTGGAGTCGTAAATCATCCTCATGGTAGTCCCATTAACCCCTTCACATCGTATTATAACAGATTGCAATTACAGTGGTGATGGCAAAGAGCTGGAAAAAGTATCTGAACGGGGTGTCGGGGGAAGCTCAAGCTGTGCCCATAACTGCCACTTTCCATAGTTTTCTTCATCTTTTTGCACCGCAGTCAATTTTATGTTTATTTCCTCTTCTATTCAGCAGACGAGAGGCCTCTCCGCCTCCCCCATTGCCACACATTCCTGTTCCCGATCCCCCACACGCCTTGCAGGACTCAATTTCCCTCTATGACGGATTCAAAAAATCACTTACTTCTGGCCGATTCTCTTGTGCAGCGCGGAAGAGGAGCTTCTGAACTCGAGAGTTTGGATGATAATTTTCTGGATGCGCGGCAATTCTTCAAGATTGCAGATGCGAGAAGGAAGAACTGTTCCACACTGGACTTTTGCTGTCTCTGGACCAAAATTCCTCCACTTTCAACTGGACACACTCACGTGCAGAGTCACAAGCAACAGTGGAATTAAGGAAAAGAGTTCACTTGAATTTATACTCGTCAGGCAACCCCTAACTCCCCCTGGAGACCGCGATGGCGCCACCGGCACGATTCTCCAAAAGCTCCCAAAGTTCCGCGCCAACGCGCATGGGCGCCGTCGACATCACGTAACGGATGCGATGCTGAAGTGCAGCGCTGATGCCGCAGATTCAATTGCGAAATCCATCGTGAAATCCCCCCGCCGGAGACTCTTCCGCTGAGCAACAAGTCGCCGAAGTGTATTGAGAGGATGTGGAGTTCCGGAAGTTCCTTTATTGTCAGCCGCACTCTTCCTGCATACTTATCGGGACGTGTCATCATATCATTTACGTGATTATCTGGCTGACGGATGTCGGCAAAAAATTCAATAACGCCCTGGAAGCCAAGCACGAGGAGGAGAAAAAGCATGACTTCGATTAGCGCGCACCTGATGATTTTGGGACGTTTTACATATGTGTGTGGGGTTGAATGGAGCTGATCAACGTCATCAATTTTCACGCAGCGGAAACCGGGGCTGTTTTGGAGTGTGTTTCACGCTTGGATTGGGGAATAAGGAGACCATTTACTCAATGTTTCATTTAAAATAGATATTTGACTGAAAGTCATCTTTATGGTCATTAGTTTTAGTTTTAGAACGTGAGTTTCTCTATTAAAGTTTTTCATCTTTTTTCTAGCGAATTTTTTCCAACTTTCAGGAACAATTAATCATTTTAGGCTTAATTTATTTCATCATTTAGCCAGCATTTCGTGTTTATTAAAAACACAATAGAAAAAATGTATGCAATAATCATAGAAAATGTAAAAATTAATCTCAGATATTTGACACGAAAATTCATTGTGTTGAATTTAGTATATTTATGGAAAACAGGGTAAAAACTTAATAAATTTTTCAATTTCACAGTCTGTGCTAAGTATGATCATTTTTCTATTTATTTTTGCTTTAAAATTATCATGATGTATATAATAAGAGCATTTATTTCATGTTAAGGATATTTTTTCAATGTTCGTGAATTTTTAGTCCTATTCGATTGAATTCTACAGTCATAAAACGGTTAAAAGTCACTGCAAAGAAAACCCAAATCTCCCCTAAAATCCACTTGTTGCTGCAAAACTACAGAAGAGATTTTGCCGTGAAAGCAGCGCATCGAAGCCGTACTTATTAAATCATATTGCGAGCGTAAAATCGCAATTTCCAGCCCCATTCAGTTCTATCTGCAGCGTGGAATTCTTATCGCTCAATTCGGGAAATCACCAATTTATTGAAAGGCTTCCTCTCCAAATACGCCAATGTCTCTGCCAGCGCGCGCTTAAGTGATCCCATTCAGGAGTGTGGGCAACATATGCTTCCGCATATCTCTTCGCGCTGCGATAAGACGCGTCTCTCGCGCGCTGTGCATTAGAGATAATTAGACAATCACTTATTCCCTAATTACAATATGTTATCTGATAAGGGCGCCGCGTGGGCGATTGCGAATCGCATTTCACTTTGTCATCTCAAAGCCACTTCTCATGGATTTTCTCTGCATTTCTGGGGGGAATTTTTGAACCGAAAATCTGGTGGCAAAAATACTTACCGGTGAAGATGAGTCACACTCAAAATTCAGCATTGTTCAACTGTACATTCAGTTTCACGCTCTCTTAATCATTTTCTGTATGGCGGAAAGTTTCGTCCAAGATAAAACTCCATTATCTCTCGCAAATACATTCAACAGAGAAGTATCTATTGTACAATATTGACAAAAATACACTTTATTATAGGTGTGAAAAGTTACATAATAATCTTGTCAACTTCATTATATTCATCCAATACAGATTATACAGCGTAATGTAAAAATATATTACATTTTACATGTGGAACAGAATCTATAACTTCTTCATTTAACTCAACATCTTGCTGTCACTCCATCTCTGGCAATTTGCGAGCTCAGCCTCTTCTGAAATGCTCTCACACGAGAAGAGCGCAATTGAAAAAAGTGCGCCAGATAAAATTAATGTGAGATAATGTGAAATTTCAGCAGTGAATCGAAATCAATTAATATGCAATGCGTACGCAATTGCCATTCAGGCGTCCTCGCTTCGAGGATGACAGGCTAAATTATAATTAAATTGATACTTTACAATCTAACAGCTCCATTGAGCGCACATCTCTTCCTCTTCAATGGGTTTTATCAAACCCCCCTTTTATCGAATGATATTTACAATTGAACATTTTCAATTTATCTTCACGCCCTCCAGGCTTGACACATTTATGCACACACGGCAGAGATTGCAATCGCGCCAGAATGCGCTCAATCGAGAGATTGGCAAAGTGGGATTTCAGATAGTAAATTCATTAAATTAATCGCTATTTTTTGCGGCGGGACTCTTTCTCTCGCCTCATCGACTAGATTTGAGGTCCTCTGTCAAGGGGAGGATTTTCCATCGCCACGTGCTCATTTATCACACCGTCACGACCTTATCAGCGTGTGCGAAGTCAGTGTCTCAGAAAATCACCCAATTAGAGGTTGAATAAGTGTGAAAATTGCATTACTTAGCGCATTGCCGCGCCAATATTTGTCACTTCCTGTTCCACATGCACATCTTTAACACCTTCCCTTTCATCTTCGCGCGCGCGTGTGTGTGTACTGTCTTAGGGTCTAAAGAAGGAGAAAAGAAAGAGTGCGTCTTGTCGCATTCACACGCGAAAACCACAGAGATAAAGCAAAGAAAGGGTAGAAGTTGCAGCCCGCGCTTAGTGATATTTTGATTAGAATTTTTGATCGCAAAAGAGTCTCTGAGTATTCCAAAATACTGATCCACAAGCACATATGTCTGAAAGAGTGCCTAAGCACGGGCTGCAAGCTGAGGTAGTGCTTACGAGTCGAGTCCTCGTGACTTGCGCTTGATGCGCGCGTACGGCCCCACGGCCGGATCCGTGACGAAGTCGTACAGGACCTTCACCCAGGACGAGTGCTGCGGCATGTTGTCGTAGAACTCCGGCGCGATCTTGCGCACCTCCGGCAGCCGGCTTCCGGGAATGGCAGGGAAATCGTGGTGCTCATTGTGGTAGCCCACATTGAAGGTGATCCAGTTGAGCGGCCCGTAGTAGGAGTACGTCTCGAAACCCTTGGCGAACATGTAGTGCTCGCTGATGAAGTGACCGGCGACTGGGTGGAGGCCCATCGCCAGGATGGAGCCGATCACCAGGTAGGCCATCACCTTCCAGCCGAAGAAGTACACCACGAGGGCGTCGAAGGTCAGCTGGATGACAGTGTTGATGAGCTCCAGCTGCGTCGGCGGCTTCGGGTTCACAATGAGCGGCCGGAAGATGTAGAAGAAGGGCTGCAGACACACCCAGCAGAATTTCCCGAAGGTCGTGCAGAAGAGCTTCGCCTCCAGGTATGTGGGGATGTCCGTGTCGGCCACCTCGTCGCCCTGGTAGCGGTGGTGCTCCAGGTGGTACTTCTTGAAGGATATCGACATGGGCAGCCCGATGGGCAGGTTGCAGAAGAAGCCCAGCATCCGGTTGGCCATGGGGCGGGCGTGTCCGAAGGCCAGATTGTGAGATATCTCGTGCACAGCCAGCATCAGCGAGTGATTGATCACGCCGCCGAAGCAGTACGCCGTGAGGATGATTGTCGGCCAGGAGCAGTCCTTCATCACGAACAGCATGATCATCTGCATCATCACCATACTGCCGGCCACGTACTTGAACTTGGGATCATAGCCGAAGAGCTTCTTGATCTGTGGGTACTTTTCCAGCATCAATTTGCGTCGGCTGGCGTGGGGCTCCTCCGTGTACACCCACTCAAAGTCCGACCGGGAGACTTTTTGGCCCATTTCGCACGCACTTTCGCTCACCTGGACCGTTCCGCTACAGCCACACCCCTAATTGACTTGCTATCGATGTCAATTAAGCGAGAAAATCACACAATAGCGGCTCAATATGCAAATTGCTCAGCGATGCGACATCACATGAAATTTCACTGTCAAACTTTGAGGTTACGACGAACTCTGCTGGAAAGTGGCTGGAAGAAACGCTGACTTTCTGGAAGGCGCGGGATTTTTGGCCTTCAACGCCTGCAGGATGACGAATAACAGGCGAAAAGGGAGTTTTCCTCAGGAAAATCTCTCCCTGAGCTACTCTTTCTCACAGAACACTTCGATCGAGACTGAAATCTCGTGGCAGTTGTCTCCAGTCACACCATTTCGTGAAGAGGCTCGATAAGAAATCTTATCATTTTCCCAGGCGCTAGAAGAGACTTGCCATTGCTTATCACAATGTTTTATTCCTCTATCTCTCCTCAACACACTTGTCTGTCACTAATCATCGAAGAATGTATTGTCCGTTGAGTCACCGGCCGAGAAATCACAGAGCTTTAGCACGGTGGATTCCAAAAGAGGTGAAAACCAGTCAATCACTTGCACGCAAACACCGCTGTCGTACGTGATTGTCTGCACGATGTTTCGCTTGTAGTCCTCGAAGGTGAGCTTGAGAGCGAGTTCTGAGAATCCCGCGGCCAAGGGACGCGTGAGGCTCTTCAGGAAGACGTCGTGGCCATGAAATTGTGGCAAAGGACGAAATTGCCGCGTGGATATGTACAAAACGTGACTGTTTTCGGCGGGAAACCGTTTCTTGGAGGTCTTCTTCACACTTCGCGGCCTGAATGTGTAGATAAAAGTCCACTTGCGCTTCTCCCCGGGCTTCTGAACGAACCACGCGGACTCCAGGTGTTCTCCAACTAGACAAGCGGGATCTCTGTTCGCCCGCTGACTGAGACTCATCTTAAAGGGCGGATATGTGTAGAAGAGTGACCGAATAACGGAGCTTCGCAAGTTGCCCTGCTTCCCGATCTGTCGCGGCTGAAGGTGCGCGGGAAGACCAGCGCTCAGGGAATAGAATCTGTGATAGAGATCAGACCAGAATTTCGCCATGCTCACAACACACGCAGTCTTGCGACAGATCAGAGCGAATCGCAGGATGTCTTCAGGCATTATGTGTTCAGATATCAACCACCAAATATCTATGCAGTAGTCCGCAAAGAACTCTTCCGTATTTTCCGGAGGCTCAATCTTTGCTTCTTCGCAGTCTTCAGGCAGTTTCTCTGGATCATCTTCCAGCACTTCATGGACTTCATGAACAGATTTCCTGGCCAATTCCACTAATTTCTTAGTGCTGTTGCACTCAACAGACTCCTTTTTCTTCCCTGAGACAGCTACAGCGGCATTTGCACAGTCGTTTATCGTGAAATCTGCAAAGAATGTGGGAAAAAGTGAAAATGTGGCAAGGAAATGAGTGGAATAAAAGTGTGTTGAGTGACCTGAAACTGCTTGGTATTTCTTATTCTTGTTCTTCACTTTTTTCGACATTATCACAGATAAAAAACATTCTCGGTCATTCTTGAGGTATTGTCTATGAGAATTTCTTAGTAAATTTAGTTATTTTTGTTGTAATTCACTAGTTTTAACCTCTCTGTTTGTTTATACTTCACTGGCACTTTCCAAGAGAGCCTGGAAGCTTCCAGGGCCGCCAATCTTGAGGCATACAAATCCGCGCGAAAAATATATGTGATAATCAATGAAATTCGCAGAAAACAGCCATAATTAGTGGCAAAATCTCTCTCAATTCACGTCCTTTTTTCGCAATTTGGTTGCAGTGGAGAAAAGTGTTTGCAGTTTTTCCATGTTTCACGTGTGTTTCTCGCGGGAAAACACTCGCGCGATGGCGCTGGCGCGGCGCCCGGTCCGCGGCCGAGCGGCGTGAAGTGCGGCGCAGTTGGCACACTGGAATCTTCAGGGAGAGGGTGGTGCTGTCAAGTAATTTTTCCAATATGGCGCGTTCAATACGTTTCTGTGCTTAGAGGGGGACTTAAATGTGAAGAAAAATCGGCCAAAAGGTGTGTCCGCGTGTGAAAATGCAGCCTAAGCTTGCTTTAGCCGGCCGCGCGGATCTCCCGAGTGCATTGTTGCGGTAATAGAACGCCCGTGTGCACAGCAAAAGAGGGCCACTCTGTCCCGAAGGCCGCACCAGGAAATTTTCACCACACCACACATTTTTCATTTTTACCCCAAGAAGGAGGCCCCTGCCGGAGGCCCTCCACACGCACGCATCGCCTCGAGATACTGCGCTATCAGTTTAGTTGGCTCGCATCGGCACTGCTGGCGTTGCGGGGCGCTCGCGAGGGTGTGATTTTCGCGAGTGACGAGCAGCTTCCCGTCTGCGGAGCTCCGTGGCGACTTTTCCGTGGCTCCGCTGAGCCCGGACGCACGTGCTTGACGCGCGCCGGGGGCTGTCGGGGGTCAGCCCGTGCCCGGGCGCCGAGGTGGGTGCCCAGAGGCTGCGCCGGAGAGTGCGAGAGCGAGAGGGAATGCCAGTGCCAGGCCGATAGTAGCGTAGTGATAATTTGTGAATGGAACTTATATTGATTTGTGTATTGTAAACTTTTCGCATCCATTTGTCGTGCTGAACAGAGTGGGAGTCGCACTCGATCGCGCTGAATTTGAGGCCGGAGACGAGAGCCGGGCGAATTGTCTTTGAGTTGTGGCGACAGTGAGATCAGAAGATGTGGAATATGATGTGCGACGTGATGCCGACGATTTCGGAGGACAACATCTCCCAGAGGTCCTCCCAGTTCAGCGGCGAGGATGCCAACTTCGAGCAGCTGATGGTGTCCATGCTGGACGAGCGGGACAAGCTGATGGACAGCCTGCGGGAGGCGCAGGACCGACTCAACGAGTCGGAGGTGAAGTTGTCCGAGACGGAGAAGGAGCGCGACAGCCTCCAGAGGCAAATTAATGCCAATCTGCCACAGGTACGCACATTCCTTTCCCCAATTACATCACCGCCGCCCCATGCCTTATCTCTTTTGATTAGTCTGTCGCGCACAAAAACATGCTTTTTGCCCAAAAAGTGTGACACGGTCTCTTCTGTGTTTGCCACACACTTGTGCAGATTTTTTTTTCCACGCTATCGTGTTTCTCAACATCAAAAGATGTTGCATTCCTCACAGTTGATTTCCATCGCACGAGCGAAATCACGTCAAACTCTGAACAAATATATTGGCAGGTTTTAATCATCATCGATAAGTCGCGCGTTCCATTCAACAGTCCTCAACGTTTCCTCTGATTTCATTCAATTTGTGTGCGAAGGAGGAGAAGAGCTAAATTAGCAATTTATTGGGCGTGTAAGAATTATAAGCATTTGCCGCTAACCGCAAATAATTATGCAACAGTGTCATTACCTTTTCTTGCCCACGAAAAAGTGAAGAATGAAGGAGAGAAGCAAACACACACACACAAGCACAATTTGTCCATGAAAGTGACATGGGAATCTTTTGACATTATCTCAAATTAATGCTAAATGTATGCGCGAAATAGAAGTATTCGGGAGAGATTAGAATGTGAGGTGGAAAAGCCGAAGAGCGAAGCAGAGCGATGGACAGAGAGAGAAATGATGGCGAAAGTGATTTAATAGTGTATCCAACACACATTTCTCTGCCTACTTTTTACTGCTCTTATTGCTTCATGGCTGCTGCAAGGTCGATAGTAATTGAATGGGTGGAAAAAAAGGAGAGGAATCATTAAAACGAGGGATGTAATTGTGTTGTGCCGCGGATGAAATGGAGGAAAAAAGGTGAAGTGTAATAATTGTAATGCTATGCTAATTCTCTTCATACTCAATGTGGAGTGATGAGTTTCCATCATTGAAGGGTGCTGTTAATAACACAAGAGGATCGCGCTGTTAATGATCTCCTCGAGATTGGTATTTAGAATTTGCATAATTTGTGTTTGTATAATTGAAATATTGGGTTAAGTTGGAAAATAATAACAATGCGTGGAATCTTGTTCGTTTTGTAGTTCAATTAGCCTCAGGCGATTCACGTTTCGTTCTTCGCGATTGATCTGTATAGAATTTGTAGTGAATTCATTATAATTCAGCGGCATTCAGATGAACGAGCTGGCTTTTGAGGGATAAGTCGAAATGCTATATAAGAATAGTGTGTAATCTTAACGAGAGATCATTATTCTCACAACAAGAAGCTGAATTGAGAACATTTTTGGCACATGTTTAGAAGCAATTTCACCCTTATTGCCTTGAATCTTGTTATAAATAGATAATCAGAGAATTTTATTTCGCTTTAGGACATCTTGACATCGAGTTTTGTAAACTCTTTTTGTATGTTTTTGATGTGAAAGAGACTCAATTCGGCAAATTATGCAATTTTACTAATTGCACGCATGAGAATTCACTGATAAGCGTAATATTTTGTGCCTTTTGCCACAAAAAGAATGTTGAAGTAAGTGTGCAAGATTTTCCAATGTTGCAAAACAACTTTGGAGATCTCATCCGCCCACATTATTATTGACTGGCCTCTGTATTTACCTTATCAGTGTTGCGGCATTTAGTTGCTGCTGAAGACTGTGCGGCGTTTTCTCTCCTGGTGATGTTGATTGAATGATTTTGATTGCCACTCTGGCGAAGGCGGGTTTTGTAATTACTTACACCTGTTGGTGTTTGCAGTAACTTTTGGGGAGTAGAATTTCAGGGAGAGACACTTTACCTGGCGAGCGCCTCTGCGCCACCCTGTAGTTATGCTGCTCGATCACTTTGACGAGTGGGCTCGTGCGGCGATTAAAGCATTTTCATGTGTGTTTTTGGAGACGGAAAAAAGCTCAGCGAATGTGTGTGCGCGAGAGTGATGTTGAAATGATATGTACAATATTGTGTGTGCTTTGTGTGGAGACCAAACGAATAATTTACTACTGGCGGAGCTTTAAATTACGGGGAATGATGATGATTACTGGTGGGGATAGTGGCTCGTGTGTGTATCTATTGGCGAGATGTGTAGTCAGTGTGCGGGCACGCATTTCTCTATACATTCTTACGGAGAAGTTGAAGGAATAATATTTATGCGTTTTACAGAAGAGCGCAAGTGATGTGTTTGGGGGGGGGGGGGGGAAAGCACAAAAGTTTTGCCCTAAAGTGGAGTGAAAAATGAATTTTCACTCTACAAAGGTGGAAAAAGATTCTTGCCGAAAAGCCACAAGAAGTTATAGTTTAATGACCGGCTGTAAGTTTGAATGATCGCTGGAGCTCTCGGGCACGTCAATTGGCGAGGCTTGTGTGTGGGAAAATGACGGTCTAGCACATACACAGAGTATCTCTTCTTGCTATGGTAGAAGAATACGTAGGTATGCCACAATAAACATACACCTCTCACACTTCATTCAAGCAGTTCACGAATTTTCAGTCTACTTTCTCACTTCTTGGCATCGTGATGGAGTGTTCATGTCTTCTCCATGCAAATCGCGAGAATTTGACTTGCTTCTTTTCATACTTTGCGACGACGACGACGTCTTTTTTCTGTGTAAACTCACCATTATAGTGGAATGTGTAGTATATCATATTTTATTTGATGAATATACTTTAAGAGTCCTTTCATGTTTCTCTGGTCTGTAGTGAAAAATTATTATGGTTTGTTTTGATGGTGCTGCTGACAAAGTTTCCATTGTGAAGCTATGGCTAAAGATTGTCTAATTGCATTTTCAAATTGAGAGATTTTAATTGGTGTTTGATGGCCATTTAGCGAGTGATTTTTGGGCAAATCACAGGAAAGACAAGTGCGTGAGCGCGTAAAGGTTGAGTGGAGGGAAGTGATTGAAATGAAATGGTTACAGCTGTTGCGTATTTTGTCTAACATTTACTGTTATCCGTGAATAAATGTGCTGTTTTTCATCTTATTCTCTGTGCACGATATTGGAGTTGAGACTGAGAGGAAGGCGAAGTGATTTCTGGAAATGGAGCTGTTTTCTATAATGTGCATTTTGGTCTAGATAGAAGTTCTCTTATCATTTATGGTGCTTGTACATTAAAAGTCTATCTTTGATATTTTTGGTAAAAGCTTTTGACTTTGACGCCTTTCGGGATGATTTATGTATCGGCAATAATAATTATTTGGGGAGGTTTGGAGAGAAAATATCCTACAATTATGCTGGATTTTGTCGAGTTGTGACACTTTTTCGTATTTTTTGCATCGCGATGGAACGAAACGACGTGCATTTGTGGTCATTTGTTGCATTTATGCCGCATGACCGTGAGGAAAAGAGCACCTTTTCTGGCGATAGTTGACAGTTACTGTTTTCTAAATGCGACAATATTTCGAGGAGAGTCGCAGAGAAAAAGTCTCTTGTGTGCTTGTGAGTGAGATGTAGCAATTCATGGACTTTTTATAATGATGATGGAATGCCGCTAGAGCAGAAAACAGATAGACTTATAAGGAAAGGTGAAGAGAAAGACATGTTACTTTGTGAAACCTTTGGTGAAAAGACTTGGATGCTTAGGTACTTTCTTCCATGATATTTCACTCTGTTTTCGGGCATCATTGGATGCTGCAGAGCGACACGAATCGAATGATTTTCAGACGTTGGCGTGGGATGATTTTTTATCCGTTCTGTGATGGATTAATTTCTCTTTAAAATTCATGAAACACAAGCGGAGGTCAATCTTTTTTTTTCGGGGAGAATCACGACAAAGACTGAGTGTTTGAGTATGTCTAATGTGGCTAATTGAAGGTGAATGAAAATTCAAATGCTGTGTACTTGATTATTATCTCATGGATATGTACATAGATTGTGTGAAAAGTGTGTGTATATATATTATTATCTCACTGAAATTCCATCGTACAAATCGCTCTCTCTCTCTCTCTTCTCTGTGCCATGGCTAAACGGCAAAAGCGTAAAAGAAAAACAGAGAGGAAGAGAAGAGAAGCCATTGTATGGCTAAAGCTCAAAAGTTTTTGTGAATGAATGACTGAGATTTTGTGGGTTGTTAACCCAATTGTGTTTGCATTTTGGGGTTTATTTCAATTGTGTTAGCTGAGATATAAAAAAGAAGAAGTATAACTCTTCTCTTCTAATGATTTTTTGCCATAAACGGGGGAATATTTAAATAAAATGGGATTCTTTTTATAAACCAAAAAAAATACACATGCATTGAAATGTGTGATTGGCTCTTTTCTAACTCCATCTCTTGTCCTCTGAATGATTTTCTGTTTCCCATCCAATTGCGATAGAATGGCATGCGGTGAAATGGTTAGAACACGGCCATCGGAGATGGCGAGAGGATGATGGAAGTATAGGAAACAAATGTTTTGTTCAAAGAGAGTAAAGTCATTACACCCACTTTTGGAGTTGTTAATAAAACAAAGGAGAAGGAAAAATAAACACAGGAAGACTATTTTATAATATACTCACATTAATGAGAGACAGAGAGAGAGATGCTGATGATGCAGAGAAAAGGGCGCACTTGATAAAAATTCCGTAGATTTTCCAGCATTGAGTGTTGTCATAAGTCACAAATAATTAATAATTTATATGTTAATTGAAGTGAAAGGTTTTGTTTTTGACAATGTTGAAAAGCACTTCGTTTATTGCACAATCTGGGGAATTCTTGATTGGTAAAGCCGGGTGATAAAGTTCAACAAAATTGACCTATAAAATTGATGGATTTAGAGTTAGAAAATCGTCATTAGGGAATTGATGTGGGATTTGGAGCACCAAAGATAATCAATTTGTCGATGTGTGTGATAAGATGACAGAGACATTGAAATGGAATGTGTGCAACCTTCTGTGGTATTTCTTTCAATTCAAATGATTTCAAATTAATTCATTTGAATCACATAAAGTTACTTTTTTTCTTGTGTGTAACCTAATAACTTTTTTCCGGACGCACCCAAAATCGCCCACTGAATCTCTCTTCCAACCTTCTCTTGGAATTGTCAATGTGGGCCATTTTCTCCGTTTTGCGGCTCTTGAACAGGAAGAGCACGATATTAGGTGATATAAATTGATAAGTAAAGTGTTCGACATGATTTTTGTTGGTATATATGTGTGATATCTTGATGAATTCCCAGAGGAAGAGAGTCGTTTGTGGCAGTTATATGTTGGCTTTATGCTTGTGTGATATTGGGAAAAATGAGAAGTGTGAGAGAAAGTGGAAAAATCAGTGAAGTTATGGGGAGATGTTCACGTGTTAAGATATGTTTCGCGCAATTGAGTGTGTCTCTCTTTAGTATGCAGAGAACGAAAATTTGTCAAAGAGCAATAACGTTTGGTATTTTTACATATTATTAACGCCTCATCGCTCGATATGTGTATGAGTGTTCTGGGGTGTGTGGGGGGAAGAGGAGAGGGAATGTGGCTGAGAGAGGAAATGGGGAAGAAATTAATTCCGCTCTGCATTAATGGCGAAGGTACACAATAGAAACCACATTGCGGTCCCCTTTTTATCCTCATGCCATCTCTGTCTAGACCATCTTGAGATCATTCCTTAACGTGATGATTATATCCGTTGGAATGATGGCCATTTAGAAATGACAGCACAACAATTTTCTCACTCGTCCTTTCCAGTTCATTAAGAATTTACTCTTTTTTTCCAACGTAATACAAAGTGTCTCACAGCTCCTTTGAAAGGATATCACGTCACTTTCTTTTTCCTTCACTCACGGATAGATGAAAAAAGAAGTGTGTGTGTGCAGAAAAATCATGTATAGTTTGGTGATGACTTTTTGCCATTTTTCGTGTGCTCTTTTTGACTCGTTCTTTTTTTTGCTTCTTCTTCGTCAACTTGGTGAAAAGGAGGTGAACATGAATATTTTAAAAGTCATCGGCCAATGTTATTGGTAGAGAAGTGTGCGCGCGACAAGAAAAGTGGAAGGATATTAATAAGTTATATCGTGGGAAATATTTCTATTGTGTGTTTGACGAAAAAAAAGAGCGTCTTTATTGCATCTCTCTGGGCGAAGTGAATGGGTGTGTCGGTGAAAAGGCGGCGGAGAGGTGAGAGAAAGAGGAACAAAAGGGAAAAGGCAGCGCGTAATATCGACATCGGATGTCTTCAGAAGAGAATGAGGAGAATATCTGTGGGGTTCAACTCCTTAATCAGAAATTTATTGACGCTCTAGTTCATCTACAAGAGATTTGCACACGAAATGCCGGCACTTCTGTCGCACTGTTGTCGTCCTTATCAATTAAATCACCTGTGCCGCGCTGTGCCTGCTGTCTTCATCAGATCCTTATCAAGGTTTTATTTTTATTTCCTAGTTTTGCTGTCTTTTTTTTCCTTACGCCCATGCAAATGGGCTTCGTAATATTTTTAGAGAGCGACTCTGTGGGGTGAATTTTCAAAGTGGATTTGATGATAATGATAAAATCATTCTTCCTGCATGCTGAGAGTGATATAAATAACTAATCGAAGTCTCTTTTAAATGGTCTCTTGCAGGAATTTGCCACTCTCACGAAAGAATTGACCCAAGCGAGGGAGACTTTGCTGGAGAGAGATGAAGAGATTGCAGAATTGAAAGCCGAAAGGAATAATACTCGGGTAAGTGAACAATTTCTTCACTTCCACTTTATAATCCTGGCCATTATTTTTAGCGTTTGTCTCAGTGGATGGAATTGTGAGGGGTGGAAGATGTATGGGTTGCATTTGGTGTGAGAATCTCCTTGGGTTATGTCTTAACTTTTCCTCAAGTGAGGATTTCAGGGTGTTTTAGGGGCTGCAATTTGCAAGCACAGCTCATCACAGTGAACGGTTTAAGACGAGAAATTTGTAAAATCGAGTAAATATAGTTCGGGGAAGGAGTAATATGATAAATATTATGGAAAAATGAGTAGAATTTGTCTGTGAATGGAGCTTAAACTTCTATATAAAGTTACTGAATTTTCATTACTTGATTTTAACTCTGAAGCGACTTTGCCACATTCCAATTCGTTAACGATTCCAGCTCGTCCATGAGCTAAAGTGCGCGTTGGCTTATCCTTTTTCCTCCCCCACTTTTCGTCCAACTCTCAGAAGAAGCAGAAGAAGTTGAACTGTCTTTTGGCGTGGCGGAGGAAGGGGTTGATTGAAGGGTTGGGAGTTAAATGGGAGAATTGGATTTTGCATTTAATTCCGGTGCATTTTCTTATTATTTTTCCACTCTCATCGGCGTCTCCTTCCGCTCTGGGGATGTGCATGTGCAGCTCCTGCTGGAACATTTGGAGTGCTTGGTGTCGCGCCATGAGCGATCGCTGAGGATGACGGTGGTGAAGCGACAGGCTGCAGCTCAGAGTGGGGTTTCGAGTGAGGTGGAGGTGCTGAAAGCTTTAAAGAGTCTCTTTGAGCATCACAAAGCTCTGGATGAGAAGGTGAGGGAGCGACTGAGAATAGCATTGGAGAAAAATACAGCCCTCGAGGAGGAATTAAATACGGCTAAAGAAGAGGTGAGTTTTCCTCTCTCCCTGTTTTTTTTTTGTTTTCGGGGGAAATTTATCTTCCTTCAGGAATTGCATATAATTGAATACCTGCTCTCAATGCCTAACTATGTAATACACCAATATCTCAGCGCTGGTTGTACAAGTTAACGTTTTCTTGTGTTCTCTCTCTCTCTCTCTTGCTTCTCCCTCAACCTCCCGAAAATGCCGAATAACGCAATAGATTCAACAGTATAAATCTGGAGTAATTCATGTGGGTGACGGTGGAAAGGAGAACGGCGATGGCGATAAATCAGGCGTTGGACAGTCGGTTAACGGCGATGGCAGTGGTGGTGATGTCTTAAGTACAGTTGATTATGTCACCAAGACGCACGAGCTGCAGACAATTATTGAAAAACAGACAGCCGAATTATCACAATGGCAGCGACGTGTGTCGGATTTGAATAATAAAATTAGCGAGATGGAGGAGAGCCTGTCGAAGGTGCAGAAGGAGTATGCTAAAGCACAAGATCAATGTGCTAAATTGCAACGTGACTTGAGGGAGAATGTGGCTCAGAAGGAGGACCAGGTACAATACATACTGTTATGTACTCGATGCTTGTGGCGAGAGAGTGAGTGAATAGAAGAATGGGTGAATAGATTGATAAAGATGTGATTCTTTGACTGTGATTGTGAGTAATAACAATCACATCAGCTGGAAAATGTGTGTGTTGTGTGTCTTTTTCATGCATTTTATAAGACTTTCTCTTGGCGTCATTGAAGACATGCCTTTAATATATCCCGCAGGAGGAGAGAATTGCAACACTGGAGAAGCGATATTTGAATGCTCAAAGGGAATCGACATCACTGCATGACTTAAATGAGAAATTGGAGCAAGAATTGCGACACAAAGAGGCACAATTAAAGGTAAATTCTCATATAAAGTGTGTCATTCGAAGGGCAATTGTGCTTAAATATTGTTGCACTTTAATGCAGTTGCACGAAGAGAAAATATCGGCGATTCAGGAAAAGCTGGAGCTCTCGGAGCAAAAGTTGCAACAAATGGCCAAATTGCCAGAAATGGAGGAGCAATTGAAGGCACGTATGGAGGCGCTGACGCAGGTAGGAACTCAGGTAGGCAGGGTCCAAAGATGTTCACCGGACATCAAGAGATTTTTCTATTTAACTGTGAGAGCCAAAGAGTCAAATATTTTGAAGTTATTCTATATATACTTTTGTCATAGTTTCTGTGTTCTTTTTTGAACGGATAAATGAGATATCTCACACGATATCTCTTATTTCTTTTATGTTTGTTATCTCTTATGCAATTTAATAAGTGGTTTTTTATTTATTCTTGTTCAATGTTGCACAGTATTTTTTTTTCATTGTGTCTATACAAATTTGAAAGATTTTTATACATATATATATTTGTTTAATTGGTGAAATGCAAAGGTCTGTGATTTATTTTGGTGTTCTTTTTGTCTTTTCTTTATACAAGATTGTTTATTTACATTTTTAAATTGTAAAATAAACTCCAAGAAAATAATGAACATTTGATAAATGAAATGCTAATGAAATTTGATTATGATAAAAAAATGAGAAAACTTTAATCCCAATCGAAGAGGAAACAATATAAAAAAAGTTTACATCTTCAGACACCTGCACTACTCTTGTTCTGATTATTTCACTTTGAATTATTTCTGATAAATTCAGTGATAAGTTTATATGGCATGTTGACAAATCTCTAATCCATTTTCTACATGTTTCTCTATCCGATGTCCATGGAAATATTTGAGATTTCCGGGTGAAATTTCAAGCTGAATCGCTCTGCAGGATGTTTTGAATTGGTTGTGAAGAAGATGTTGTGCAAGTCAACTGTGAATATTTTCATGGATTTGGATACATTTTGATGGAAGCGTCTTGACATTTTATGCTTTTATTAACCGTTTTCATTCACCATGTTGTCAATATATGTCTTTTTATTTTTTTGAATACTGTATCATCATATATTCATCTCTCATGTGTTTGTTTGTTTTGCTTATGAGTTTTCACATGACCTTTTTGGGCAAATTGGCGGCTCGTGTGATTAAACAAACCTTTTTGTGTGTTTTGTGTGATGGAAAATAGGCACAAGAGCGACATGGATCGGCTGAGGATCGCATTCAGCGACTGGAGACGAATTTGGAGGAGAAGAATGCGGAGGTGATGCGCCTGAATCAGCGGCTGAAGATGAATGAGGAGCACAATCAGCGCCTGTCGTCGACAGTGGACAAGCTGCTGTCGGAGTCGAATGATCGGCTGCAGGTGCACTTGAAGGAGCGAATGCATGCGCTGGACGAGAAGAACACGCTGACGCAAGAGCTGGAGAAGGCGCGGAAGCTGGCGGAGGAGCTGCACCAGGAGAAGCAGGACATTGTGAAGGAGCTGTCCAAGACGCGCCTGGAGATTGAGAACTTCAAGCGGCAGCTGCTGCAGCAGGAGATCGCCTTCAACATCCAGCAGACGGAGGCGCTGACGCGCAGCCTGTCGCCGAGCAATGTGGCGGACGCGACGGCGTTCTCCAGGAGTGCCTCGCACACGTCCTTCGACACGCACTCGCTGCGGCGGCAGAAGGTGCGCCTGGACGATGGGGATCCCTTCGCGCGCTCCCTGGCCGAGCAGGAGTGGGGCAAGCTGCAGCAGGCGCACGTCCTGTCCAATGTGCAGCCGCCGTTCGATGTGACGGGCGGCGTGGAGGCCGACGACGCCGAGAGTCTCTTCAGCACGGCCGATATTATGTCACCCACTGGCCACACAGATGCTCAAACACTCGCTATGATGCTTCAAGAGCAATTGGATGCCATCAATAATGAAATAAGGTACATAATAACTTTCACAAATAATGAAATATGCACTCATCATTTGGGTTAGAGTGCCTTTCAGGGGTGGCGTATAAGTGAATCAATAGAGAGCGGTCTGTTGCATGTCGCGCGAAGCCTGTGTGTGAAATTTTATTACTTGTACCTCGGCATAACAAATTGCTTGAGTATCTGCTCAAGGCATTCACAAAATTTTAATACACTTCATTACGAGGTACACGCCGTAAATGCCTGTTTAATACTTGTCAGGAGTGACTAAAGTGTGCCGCGAGTGGTTTTAACCCTCTCCAGGACACACATTTGGCTGAAGAGGGCAAAGGAAATGGTTTTGAAATGTAAGGAGAGACACAACTCCTTGGCGTCCTGGAAGGGTTTAACGGAATGTGAGGAGAGGAGTAAATGGGAAATTGGCCTTGTGAGATTTTCGAGGAAGAAGAAATGAGGAAGTGCAAAATACAGCTATTTTTAGTTTACTGTCGATTAATTAATTGCCTCATTTTCTTCTTCTCTCTTCCGCAGACTCATCCAGGAGGAGAAACAGTCCACGGAGGCGCGAGCGGAGGAGCTCGAGTCTCGCGTCGGGAGCTTAGAACACATGAATTTATTAGCGCGCGGCCGATCGATGGATCGCCAAAGTCCTCCGCTGAGTGGCCGAAGTACACCAAATAGTCCCAATAGAGATTACCTTCACAAATATCATACGGTGAGTGAAAGATTTGCCATCACACGCCTGATCTGACAGAAGACATGGTTTCTTGTTAATTCTTTTGATGTTATTCCATTGTTGAGGTTCACAATTTCCTCTTACAATCCATATATATACGGAAAACCCAACTGTACCATATTACATCTAGATGTTATGTTTATATATTGAAAACACATATTTCTGTGTGTCTCATTTTCTGATTTAATGTCTTTAATTTGGATGTTCCGTGTGTTTTCTCAATTGTATTATCTTGTGTAGAAACACTGTGGAAATTCTAGTCTAGAGAGAGAGAGAGTGAGAAAGATTATGACATGAAGAGGAGGGGAAAAGTTCTCTCTCACTTTCATTCCTTTCGTGTGGGGGGAGGATTATGAGGTGAAGCATATTCAATTTCTGTTGAGCAGAGAATCATGCGGAATTGTGTTAAATGGATTGTTGTGTGAAGAAAAAAAAATGTGTGAAGAGACGTGAAAATTGCAGGCTCCCGCCTCAATGTCACCGGCACATCTTCATCAGTATGCGGCATCTTCGATAAGTCCTGGCCAGCTTTCAGAATCGCTCCCATCCAGCCAGGTGATGATGACACAAATCTCTTGAAGGCACTGTCGTGCATCAGTTTTTGCCTTTGAGTTCTGTCTGTCTCTTGATTTTTTTTTCCTGTTTTTTAACTCTGAACAATTGTAATAATTGATGAGAATATGGCCAAGAAGAATTGATGCTTTTTTTGGGGTTTATTTCTTTCTCCCTTAATTTAAATGTATAATTTTTTTTCTGTTTTCTTCTCTTGTCAATTGAGATGAAGAGATATATTTTCCATCTTGTGTTGTTTTTTTTCCTTTCTTTCTTTCTGTATAAACTCAATAATGTCATGAATTTCATAAACACACATACTGAAAATTATACACAAAAATTCAGCATGAATCATTACAATTTTGACATGACAACACATAGGAGAATTCTTTTTATGGTTTTCACACATAATTTGATGCTGTAAAAATGTGGCTGTTTTAAACACCGCACGTATGAGAGATAACACGATATTATGTTTAAGATTGATATCAAAAAGGAGCACACATGAAAAATACACACGACATTAAAACGTCATTAAATTCTACACAACATGAGACAGATTGTAAGACACATGAAATATCACAATTTACTTTTCACAGATTAAAATTTGATACACACAGTTTTTTCGAGATTACTTTTCTCCAGCCAGAATGAGAACAACCACACAAACATGAAAAGATATGAAATTATGCACTTTGGGTGATAGGAAAATTTTATGCTGTGCATGGATTAACACAATTTTGCCGTCAGAGTGGGAAATATTGTGAAAAGTACACACAAAAGAGTTGCAAAATGTGTGGCCTAAAGTGAATATCTATTTGGGACACTCTTCTTGCAACAAATGCACATTTCTCAGCTCTGATAAAAGATACACGCTGGTTTTGATCTTTGTGTTGTCCTTGGTTTTCTTTTATCTTACAATATATATGTATTGTATATTTACCTGAAAATTGAGCTACTTTGTATTGTTATATATACAAAATTCAGCAGAAAAGCAACAAAATGCGGCGAATAATATGTTATCTGATTTGCTTAAGATGCGGCTTTTTTGGAGACAAAATTCAAATATGCTATCACAACGCAATTGATTCTTTGCGATGATATCAAGTGAAGAGAGTGTTGATTTTTGCAGCTTAATCTGCCCGCCTTGTCGTCAGATGTGTCACGAGATGAGCTGCACGGAATGAGTCTCGGCGGTGATTCCAGTTCGGGCGGCGCTGCGTCTCCGCTGACGGCGAGATCGCTGCGTCTGGAGCGCGTGGCTCAGGCTCTGGCGCACAGTCAGGAGGAGTTGCGAAGGTGAGTTGAATTTGTGATGTGATTTTCCGCTGTCTCTTGTGCAAAATAATCACTGGTGTGTTCTTCCGATGCACGCAATGTCTATCAGACGCTCAATGGGATTGTCTGTTGGCGGTTTTCCTGGGCAGAATAACATAAGGTTAAAGAACACTAGAAAGTTTGACCATCATAGTTTTCACAATTTGCAATGCAAACAGCCGAGGCGGGCGCAAAATGTGCTCACGAGCAAGTCCACAAGAGTGCATAGAAGTCGTGTGGTGGCGAATGATGAGCGTGATGATGGTAAAATTGCACATTCGAGCCTCTCTCGATATCGTAATCGTGTAAATATGCACAAAATTCGCACGGAGAAGTTGTCCAAGTGTCTGGATCGTGTTGGATTGAGGCATAGCATTCCAATTGTGTCCAATATGCCAATGATTAATATTAATTCGTCCATAATACTCATGACACACTCTCCCTTCGCCTTGAGCGATCGTCGCTTTGGGATTCTCCATCACCATTCGCCGTCGGCGTCGTACATTTGAAGTCAATTTGCCCATTTTTTGCATTCACCATTGCAAATTGATATGATCACGCGATGGATTCTATTGGCAATTCTGTGGACTTGCATTACTTGGCTCACATGGAATATTAATTTGTGTATGTGTGTGTGTTTGTTTTTATGTGAAAATATGTTATAATTTCTATGTAAATTGCAATTAATTTTACACATTTTTTTTCTCGCGAAAATGTCGCATGAAAGTTATGTTCTAATGAATTGTGTTCGATTTTTGCATATGTTTTTTACGTTGTAAATGCAATGATATTAGAAATATTTGCTTTTTACTGTGTGCTTTGATGGAAAGGTTTATTTTCTATTCTAATTGGTGTTCAGGTTTATGTGTTTAATTTAATAAGCAGAAAAATACTTTATGTTTTCACCTAATGTTTGTCTCTCTGTTGTATACAAATATAATAAAAATTGATAATATGTACAATTTTTGCATGACGAATTTACATTTCATTCTCAGATTTGGTCTTAATGTTTGTTTTTCTTTCTGTGCTTGACATTCAATGCCTATCAACAATTTAAAGTTAATCGATTTTCCTTCGCATTTTCCCCCCTTTTTCCGTCGTTGATTGTTTTTTTTGTTGGTGAAAAAAAAAACACATTGTGTAGAGTTGGATCGTCGAATTTCGGCCCATCGCCGCTGAGCTCGCGCCACGGAAGCCAGGAATCGCTGCGACACTACAGCACGATGGGCTCCATGAGCATGCTGCAGACGCCGACGTCCAGCTCGCGAGACGCTGTGGCGGCGGCACAGAAGAAGAAGGGCATCAAGTCGAGCCTTGGGCGGTTCTTCAGCAAGAAGGAGAAGGTAAACACGGCGCTGTGTGCGAATTGTTTTCCCGTGAGCGAAGTATTGATTCTAAGAGGAATTGTTTTGTGGCTGTTCGGCAGGTGAAAGGCGTGAAGGATGCAATGCCCGACGGATCGACGAGCATGATGTCAATGAGCGGATTATCCGTTGCCATGAGTGACATTGACTCGAACTACGACGTAATGAGCATATCAGGAGGAAAAATACCCGGAAAGTCATCAACTGTGGATTACGGAAGGCAGAAAAAGAAGTGAGTGTTATCCATGAAATCTCTCCTGTGCTGCGATTTTCACGCACAGGCTGTAAAAGTGGGAAAGCGTCCATTGGCGAGTGATTTCTTGGACATCCTTGACTGTGAGGATGGATGATGAATTGGTGATAACTATGGGCAATTTGTGTGTCTGTTGCAGAGAGCACGACTATCGTCACGATCTCCTGGGTGAGGCGATGAAGGCTGGCACGCCGTTCGCACTGTGGAACGGCCCCACTATCGTGGCCTGGCTGGAGTTGTGGGTTGGAATGCCAGCGTGGTATGTGGCCGCATGTCGGGCGAATGTGAAATCGGGCGCCATCATGAGTGCTCTCAGTGACACGGAAATTCAGCGGGAAATAGGTATTTATCATCTCACCTGGGCAGAGCAAGATGTTATGAAGAAGTGCAGACGAAGATGTGAAACATTCTGTGTTCCATTTCTTTCGCAGGCATCAGCAATCCGCTGCACAGGCTCAAACTGCGACTTGCCATTCAAGAGATGGTCTCATTGACATCGCCATCAGCACCGCAAACGACGCGCACAACATTGGCCTTTGGTGAGTGTGTGACGAATTAATTATATTTACAACATGTTTTCTGTGAACTCTCAATCGTTGGGCACAAATTTTATGCTGGGGAATCGCTTTGACGATAAAAGTTTATACAGTGAAATTTGCTATCAGCTTAATAACAGTAACTTTCTGGGCATGGCGGCATAAATAGAGATGCAACAACTTTCATTTCACACTGTCTTTCGAGTGCACTTTTACGGGCGCGCGCTTTAACATTGTATTGGACATTTAAGTTCAAATTGCATTTTACGAGGCAATCATTGTCACCACAATAAATTCAACAATAAATGCTACAGAAGCAAATTGAGTTGAGAAAGTGCAATTTAGAAGAGAGATAGGCAAAAGAAATTCGCACTTTGCATGGTAATATAGGGGAAGTGAGGCAACTCTGGATTGTTTAATTGCTGAATCTGTTGAAGAACTGATAATTTATTGATTTACTACTGAAGAAGCTATCAGTTTTCAAAAAAAACATTAAGAAATAAACGAATTCAGCAGTCTCTTAAGTAAATCTCGCGATTAACGCTATCTCATCTCCAAAATGTGTGCAAAAGCGTGGGTTAAATGGATAAAATATTGAATTTTAGGGCAATTTGGAGTTTATATGGTGACAAATCTACTAAATAAGATCTCAAATTACGCCTCTGAAGAGCGCTGAAAAGGGAAACTAATCAGTGACTGTTGTTGGTGTATTTTTTTTAGGTGATATGAATCATGAGTGGATTGGAAACTATTGGTTGCCTAGTCTGGGTTTGCCGCAGTATCGCACGACATTTATGGAGTGTCTCGTGGATGCGCGAATGCTGGATCACTTGACAAAGAAGGATTTGCGTGGACAGCTGAAGATGGTGGATAGTTTTCACAGAACGAGTCTCCAATACGGGATTTCGTGCCTCAAGAGGCTCAACTATGATCGCAATGCGCTGGAAGATAGGCGGAAATCGTCGGAGAATTCCATGGCGGACGTTCTCGTGTGGAGCAATGACAAGATTATTCGGTGGGTGTCGTCGATTGGATTGAAGGTGAGTGTGTGTGTGTGTGACTTGTTGTGCTTTCTTGCACCTGAGAAAAGTGCATAACTCTCGCGTGTGTTTCAGGAATATGGCAATAATTTGTTAGAATCTGGTGTTCATGGCGCTCTTATTGCCCTCGATGAGAGCTTCGATGCCAATGCAATGGGCTTAGCTTTGCAAATTCCAACACAAAATACCCAAGTAAGTATCCTTGTGGTCTCTTTCAATGACTCTCATGTAAATGTATGTTTTTGGCGGTGTTGCAAATTGACATGGTGAAATTGCTCTTCAGGCTCGTCAAACGTTAGAAATGGAGTTCAATAATTTATTGCAAATGTCGACGGAGAGAAGGCCCGAGACTGAACAACTCAATAAATCCTGATCCAACGTCAGTCTTTCTAGTCTTAGTGATGAATGAAAAGGAGTATTTAATTTATGAAAAAATGGGGTTTTGCCTACAAATCTCTGTTCGTTGTATAATTTTTTCTACCAATTCAGAGTCAAACATTTTGATCCTCTTTTTGTTTATAGTAAACTACTGTAAAAGTATATATTTAAAGTGAAGAATAAAAAAAAATGTAGGAATAAGAGAAAAACAGAATATTTGAAAGAAAAGAAAAAACACACTTTGAAGGCGAAGAAGAAGAAAACCAAAATGGGGAAAAGTGGGGGAAATATTTATAGATATTTTCCGGAGAAAAGAAGATTAATAATAAATTTAAAGAGGAAAATTGAGAGTCTTTTCGCATAAAATGATAAAAAAAATTAACAAGGAAAACTAAAAAAAAATAATTTATAAAAAATATACACTGTGGGTCATTCAGATGAATATAAAAGGCTTTTTCATGTTACAGAAAATAATAATGGTCGAGTTCTTTTCTTTGGTAAATTTGTTAAACAAGATAATAAGAAGTCTGATTAATCATACGTTACATTTTTTCATATAAATGATTGTGGAGAGAAAGCAAGAGAATTTCCTGACATTTTTGTAATTCTACACAAATGAGATGAAATATGAAGAAAAAAAAATAATAATTGTAAAATATTCTTTGTGAAAAAGCTTTCTATTGAGACTGTGCTGACTTCCACTAATTACAGGTTAATAAACATAACTTTTAATTATTGAGAAAGGAGAATAAGTAATGGGATGCATTCGTAAATTTACAAAGAAAGAAAAAAAAGAGGGAAAAATATCTCATTTGATGAGCTGAAAAGCTGATATTTTTACTTTTCTTGGCGGGGGGAGGAAAGAAGATGGATGAAAAATGAGGAAAAAGTGAGCAGAAGAAGGAAAATTGTTGAAAGAACAAGAGAGGAGATATTGTAATTTTTACCTAAATAGTTAGATTTTGAATAGATTTTGTTATTGATGAATTGAATTAAGGGAAGGAAGAACTCAACTTTGACTTGAATAATAAATAATTGTGTATATCTTAAGATAAAGTGAATTTGTTAAGTCATCAAGAATATAAAGTCAACACGTAATTTTTGGTGCTGACCGTGGAAGTTTGTTAGTTTGCATAAAACCAAAAAAAAAGAAGAAGAGGAGAAAAGATAGATGAGAAACAAGATAATAGTTTAAATATAAATGGGATACTTAAGCTTTCATGCGGCACTTAAGAGATGAGTGAAGAAGATGAAGATGAGTTGATGTGTAAAAGTAGAGGAAGGAAAACCATTAGAAATTTCCATTTTACATTGCGTAATGTATTAAGGAAGCAAACCGTATTAAAATTTCAAAGTGTAACATAATATTTAACATAAGTATACCAAGAAAGAGTGGCAGAAGAAGTGCTGCAAAGTGCGTATATTGTAGAGATGAAGGAAGGGAACTAAGTTTTATAGTTTACTTTCGAAAAGTCTAACCTTCTTAAGAGAGAGAGAGAGAGAGAGAGAGAAAGAAAAAATACCTTCCGTGTTTGAAGTCCCAAATTGTAACAAAATGTATGATATAAGAGAGACTTTTGATGTTCATTAACTCACCAAACGCGACATTTCATCAGACATTTTGAGCCTAAAGTATATAAACTCTTACTTAATACTTATTTTATGGAGTACAGCACGAAGATAATTGTGATTTTTACCGTATTCTCAGCCGGGCCACAAGTGAATAACTTAAGATTAGAAGAAAAAAAAAGAAAAGAAGTGAAGAGTCTTCCTCGGAAATGTTCCACTCGATTGATTTCCTTCTCAATATTTCAGCATTATTATTGTCATTCCGCTTGCCATGATATGAAATTGAGGCAATTATTTTCGTGCTGTTTTCCTTTAAATCTCAGGAAATGCATTTACCGTTTCACTGTCAGCCGCTTTACAATTTAATTTAATAATAATCGCGTCAAATCAGTGAAGTTCACAAGGCATGAGATTCGAGCAGTTTTGGCAAAGGATGAGTTTTGATATTCCCAACTTCCTGTAGAATTGTAATTATGGATGAAAGACAAGAACTGATGGCAGATATCACACTATAAATGTAGAATTGTATAATTGTACAGTAGTGAGGAATTGTGTACAGACTTAATTGATGATTTCGGCGATAAATTCTAACCTTCCAATTCCTTTTGTGTTTTCCCTGAGGAATTTTCCGCTTGCATCTTGAAAGACAGACACACAATTTTTGGCTAATTTATTTCCCATCTAATCTCTCACACTAATCCATATCAAGAGATCGTTATCACACTCGCGTGCATGTGTAATCATTGTAGGGATGCATTTGATTGACTTTTGTAGAGGAGGAAAAGGAAGAAACAGGAAATTTCTCACAAAAGATTTTCGGGGGTTTTTTTTTTTCTATAGGAAAAAAGAAGAAAAGAAAGAATTACTGGACAAAGTGACGGACAAAGCAAACGATGAGAGAAAGATAGTAGATATTTAGCTAGATGATTAACATTTGTAATCTTGGGAAGAGTGGGGGAAAATGAAAGGCTTTTCCAGCGAGGAATATTCTGAATTTTCCAATGCGTCGCCCTGAATCATTTTAATATTTAACAAACAATGTATTAAAAAGATATAAATAGGTTATTTTCTACTTGTTATCCTTTATCAACACTGAAGTGTTGATAGCATTTGAATATAGAGTGGAAGTAAATAAATTTCTAATGAATTTGTGGAGAGGAAAAAGTAGCAAAACAAAAAGTCAACGTGAAATGCAAGAGGAAAAGAAGAATCACAAAAGAATAACTGAAGTTTACATGGAGTGAAGAGAAGTAAAACAATTTGTATTTATATCAGTGAGAAAACCTTAACTAAAGAGAATTGTATTTTAATATAAAGACGAGCGCAGGAGGGGGGAAAAGGGGCGGAAAGAAAATTTGTGGGCAGATTAAAAAAAAGGGCGGCAAGAAGAGTGAGAAAAGAATTTCAAACATTGGGTATAAATGTAATAGGCTTTTTAATGATATAAAAAATAATAATTCTGAGTCATAGTCAAGAGAGTTATAGGAATGAGAAATTACCATTTTTTTTTTTACTACTTATTATTTGTATAAAGAAGAAAAAATGCCATAAACTTTTTTGTTTGGTTGTGTCAAACAAAATAATCCCGCAAAAGTGTAATGTTGAAGAGAGCCAAAAAAATATTAATGCATTTGAGGAGAAAAATCTCTCAAAACTCGTTCCGGTGCGTTGCAAAAGTGAATAAATTCCTAAAAATCATTAATCAATTTTATTCGTGCGCAGATAAAGAAAAAACAGACATTTTGGAGTGTGGTAAATTATTATGTCAAGGAGTAAAACTACAAGAATGAAGAGTAAATGAAAAACAAAATTACTATAAATACTTATTGCTAATAAACATGTAAAAGTAAGCACGTAAAGATTATACAGAGAAACTGCGAGCTTCTGTGTGAGCTCACAAAAAGGACCATTTAATATTTGCTGGATGAATAGCAGAGGTTTTCCACAACAAAATAAAAAGAAAGAGAGAGATAGAGAGAGAAAAGAATCACAAAACCATTTGAGAATTATAGCAAAAGGAACAAAAAAACATTCAATGAGGAAATCCAAGTGAAAGAGAGGAAAAAAATAGTAAACTTTTTAGGGTGAAAAAGAAAAAAAAAGAATGATGAGGAAAAATTAATTGTTATAATGACAGTATTGCAATATAGTACACAATGTGAACAACAAATATTTATAATGGAAAAAAGGATACTAAAGAAGTGAAAAATGCAAAGAATATTAATCTTGTCGAAACGCTTACAATGGAAATACAGAATACACAGCAATTAATAACAAAAGCTAGTTTTATTTGCTCTTTAAACTGCTGCTGGGCATTTAAATACTCTTAAAAATAAGAGAATCCCTCCAAATGTTTATTCTACCGGCGAATCCACTCAAATGCTACACGATTGACTAAAGCAATAAGTGTCCCTTTTCCTTCAGTTTCCCGTCCAGGATGCTCTTCCGTGTCTCCTGCTCTTCGCACTGCAATCTCTGGTGTCTCTCCTTGGCGTAGGCGAGTTCTTTGTTCAGGCTCACGATCTTCGCGGCCAAGACTTTCTGGTTTTCCAATCTTGTCTTCTGGCGCGACTTGAAGAGGAGAAAGAAACACGATTTTTGGCACTTCTTCCAGCTGAATATCAAGCGGAAAAACTCACCCCGAGAGGAGTCGGTCTGCCGTCCATGAATGTGTAGTCCGGGAGGTTTGTGAGGGGCCCGAATTGGTTGGGATTCATTTTGAAGAGTTTACATGTGATCGAACGATTCCGGGGCCTCAAGACGGACTTCTCGTGGACATCGAACTTCTTCTCCCTGATTTGAGCTGCAAGAGATGCAATAATGTAGACCAAATCAAAGCGCAGGAGCCTGAAGGACTCACTCGTGAAGGGAAGCCTCAGATTGGCACGAAAGAGAGGAATTTTATTCATTTTCTCGCCGAACAAAACACCGCACCTTCATGGACTCTTTGACAATTCTACACTGCAAAAAACCACAATTTCCCGATATATCGAGAGAGCGAGAAAGAGAGCTTCGAATTGTGACCGTTTATTACAATGTTACAGCGCATTGATTCTGGGAATATGTGAGAGAAAAGCCTCGGTTCGCGATGTCCATGTTCTCATTGCCGTCCTGCACCACGTACAGCACGAAGGGCTTGATGTCGCTGGTCGTGGGCGCCAATCCCAGGCCGCAGAAGCGATCTGTGCCGGTGCCCAGAAGCGCTCCGCCCTGACTCGGGTGCGGGATGATCACGTAATCCGTGGTGCAGGCCTGACTCTGCACGTCCACAGTGCCCAGAAGAGTTGGGTCGATCGCCCCCACGTCGCCCGTGACCGTGAAGGCGTACGCCTGGCCGCCGGGCAGCGCGTACGTGATACTGCACATGTTGGCGCCCATGCGGATGCAGATGCCGTACTGCAAATTCGTGAGCTGGCGCGTGCCCGTGACGCCGATGGCGTTGGGCAGGGGATTCGGCATGGGTGCCCAGTTGAAGCTCTGCAGCGGCGCGTCGGAAGACTCCTCCAGGAAGTACTGCAAACACCCGGACGGAGCGCGGAACTCAGAGTCGCAGGCGATCTGGGAGAGACGGAAGTTCCAGTGGCGCGCAAACGACTCAGATCCCGTCGTCAGCATGGCGATTGTGATCGCGGCGTTGCCGTTGAAGTCAATGTACACGTGCTGACCGGTGTTCTCGCCGCAGAGGCGCGGCACGCGCGACGATCCGCCGGTGACGGACATGTAGTCCGTGAGGCAGGAGCCGTCGCCGTTCGGCTGCGCGAGCGAGAAGTCCAGGAAGTCGACTCTCAGCTGGCAGATTGTGTCATCGCAGCGCGACACCTGGACTGAGCATCTGTCCGGAGACGAAGGAATGGGTTTTTCAGTGACAGGATTTTGGGCAAGTGTGTGGCAATTAACCTTTCACCTCCGCGATAAGACGTCGGGAAGCCGGGATTGTAGAAGTACGTGTTGTTGTAGCTTGTCGATCGTCCGCACGCCATTTGATCTGAGGGGAGATTCAAGACACGCTTCAGAGCGAGATCTTCGGACAGAGAATTGGCTGAAAAAGACACTCACAGACACAGCAAACTGCCTGCGAAGTCACAGTGCTGCAGGATCCAGTGGAGATTCCTCCGTTCTCCGAGCACTCGCCATTGACTTGACACGTGCCCAGAAGATTATTCCCGCCCGTGCAGACGCTGTTCTGGAAGCGCCCGATCGTGTAGAAGGGAAAGACTGCGAACAGGAGAGATGAATTGCGGTGAAATTGCGCTCCGGGGAAAGTTATTTGCGCGCACGCGGGGAATCTTATGTACAGTGGAAGTTGAGGGACTTTTGATCTACTCACATCTTCCTTGTCTCGCGGAAGCGACTTCATTGGAAGGTGGACTCTTACCCATCGCATAACCCAGCAAGAGGAGCCAAACCACTGACAGAATCTCTCCCAACATCTCGCAATGCACAAATTTTCACAGGTAAATCCCTTCAGATAAATCCAGGCGCGCACTTCAGCACAAGAACACAAACTTTCAACTGAAACAGTTTTGGTGTCTTTCGGCGTCTTTTATACAAGTTCTCGAGCATTTTACAGATATGTCAATACAACAGCGCGAACCGTGAGGCGATAATTTGATACATTTTTTACTCTCATTGGCAGCAAGAGATCATGAGCACTGCTCAGGCATTTTCTTCCTAGAATCTCTCTAGGTGAGACAAAGATGTGAAGATGAAGAAAACAGGCGGATAACGGCTTCTTTCCGAAGAAATCCATCGCGCACTAATTAGACGGTTTCTTGCAGCCTCAGCGCGCATCGCGTCTTGTTCCAAATTCCCAGTGGACCTCCTAATCATCTCTTCACACTTTTCATCTCTTTGTGTGACCTCATTTCCCTCCCCAAGTGCGCGCGCCTCTCAGTCCTCCATCTCATCCTCCAGCTTCCGGGTGTTCCTCACGTGCTCGGCGATCACCAGCCTCGGATTCTCCCTGAACGTGCGATCCTGCATCAGCTGCTCCAGCTGACCCATCCTCGCCACATTCTTGGCACTGGCGCTGCTGATCCGCTTCGCCTTCTGCGCCTTCTTGCTCAGCTTCTTGAACCTGTTCGACGGCTCTGTCTTCTTGTCGTACTCCGGAACGCCCGTCTTGATTTCCGCACTGCGGAACTTCACGAGGGACTCCAGCGACGGCAGGGCGTCCTTCAGAGACTTAAAGTCCAGACCCACCTTCACTTTGGGCTTCCTCTTCCGCTTCTTGGGCGCCTTCTTCGCCTCTCCCGGCGCCGCAGCATTCAGTCGTAACCTCAAATTCTTCCTTTTCTGCGAAAACTTCTCTCTCTTGGACTTCTTCTTGATTCCCACGGACTTCGTGAGAACGCCAGCCTTCTCTGGCCCTCCTGCAGAGCCTTTCTCAGCAGATCCACTAGATTTATCACTAACTTTCCTCACTTTTCCCATGATTGTCGATTGATAAACAAACTCACGTGCGTTTACAATTGATGAACTTGCCTAATTGCCTCGATCTCCGCAGCGAGGCGCTTCATCTGCAGGGAAAATATCGAATATCGATGCAAGTTTAAAAATTAAATCCACAACACGACGCAATTGAAGTGCTAAGAGGACGAAAAATAATGAAATTTTACCTTTTCACGGTGTTTTTCCTTCTTCTCTGCAGATGCTGATCGCTGATATCCCTCTTCTTTCGCCATTTGCTCCAGTTTTTGCAAGCTTGCAGTCAATTTGGCTAATTTCTGCTCAAACGAAGGGCCTTTTTTGATCCCTTTTATCGATTCTTCAACGTGAATTCCTGGAATATTCATACAACATTAGCAAATTCCCAGCAAAAATCATGAGTAAACTCACCAAAACAACAAAAATGATTCGCCACAGACTTTATGGAGCACTTTTCTCTGTCGAATTCCTCTCGATCTTCAATGATTCTGAGTTCTGGAATCATGGTAAGAGTTTTTATATTCTCCGCATGATTTTTCACATTGGCCAGAAACGAGGAATCTGTCCAGATAATCAATCGAGGATTTTGCTTCTTCACAATGTTATTTTGACTCTTCACGCCTCGAATTGCAGCACAAATCTCTAGGATTTCCTCAACATGAGCGCCAACGTGGATTTGATGAAGATCAGCAATTTCTGGCGCGATGGGAAGGAATTTGTGCAGTTCATGAGCGAGAAATGGTGTGAAATATTCCATGAGCTTCAATCCCTCGGCCAGACACGTTCTCAGAGTCAAGAGATGCCCTTTCGCCGGAGAGTTTTGTGCGTTGATGTGGAATTTCGTGGTCTCCAGATAAACATTGCAGAAGTTGCTGTAGAAGAACGTCTTAAGCGCCGCAGTTGCAAGATGGAAATTGTATTGATCGATTGAATCTCTCACGATTCTCTGAGTTGAGGCCAATTTCTCCAAAATCCATCTGTCCATCTCCATCAAATCTTCGTGTTTGATGACTAAATCCTCAGTCTTAGGTTTGATGTTCTCAAAAGCTTTGATAGTGAATTTCGTCGCTTGCCAGATCTTGTTGAAGAAGAGCTTGTTTGTGAGGCATTCGGCCATGTCGAAGTTAATAAAGTGATTCTTGATGTTGTAACTGCACAGAGTGAATCGCAGGGCGTCAATTCCACACTCGGGAATTCCATTCGGCAGATTTTTCGACAACTCTTCAATAGATCTCATCATTTCCGCCTCATTTATCACGCCTCTCTTGTGAGACTGTTTAGTTTGTCGGATCAAATCCTCAAGAGAAGCGCCATTCACCACTTGCTCGGGAAGGATAACATTTCCCAGGCTTTTGGACATTTTCCTTCCTTGCGAGTCGCAAATAATCCCATGAAGAAAGACTTCTCTGAAAGGCACTTTTTCTGTCAGCAAGAGACTCAACATTGTCATCCTGGCGATCCAGAAGAACAGGATGTCATGGCCAGTTTCTATCAAGTTCAGTGGGAAATACTTCTCCAAATCCGAGGATTTTTCTGGCCAGCCGAAGACTGAGAAAGGCAGAAGACCCGAGGAGAACCAAGTGTCCAGAACATCGGTGTCTCTCTCAATTCTGTCCAATTTCCCTCCTTGGAACACTTTCCTGGCCTTGTCAATAGCCTCTGCCAGGGAAGATGCAGAAATCCACTCGATTTCTTCTCCTGAAGAGCACTTGTAAGCAGGAATTCGATGTCCCCACCAAATTTGCCTCGAGATGCACCAATCGTGGCAGTTTTCCAGCCATCGGAACCACTCAGACTCGTACTCTGGCGGACTGATCTTCAGCATGCCGCTCTTCACCGCCTCCAGAGCCTCCTGGGCAACTGCCTGGCATCTGAGGAACCACTGAGGCTTCTTCAGGTACTCCACAACGTCTCCGGATCGCGAGCAACGCGGTAGGATCATCGAATGGGGTTTCGTTTGGCGAAGAAGCCCAGATTCGGCCAAGGAATTCATCATTTTATCCCGCGCCGTGAAGCGCGGAAGGGAAGAAAATGTTCCAAAGCCTTCGACGATCTTTCCTTTCTCATCTATCACGTCCACTTGAGGGAGATTGTGACGCTTGGCGAGGGAAAAGTCCTTCTTGTCGTGACTGGGAGTGATTTTCACAGCGCCTGTGCCGAAATTCTTGTCCACAGTCTCGTCAAATACCAGCGGAATTGGCGTGTTTCTGAAAGGATGCCAGAGTTTCGTCTCTTTGTCCCTGAATCTAGCATATCTCTCATCCTCGGGATGAACAGCGACCGCCACGTCTCCCAGAAGCGTCTCTGGACGCGTTGTCGACACGACAATCTCGTCCGCACTGCCTTCAACCTTGTAAGCCACGTCAGTGATCTCCCCAAAGATCACATTCTTCTCGTATCCAGGCACAGAAATTTCCGTGGGTCCGGTGATCTCCACGTTGTCAATCTCAACGTCAGAGATTGCTGATTCCAAGGAACAAGACCAGTTTATCAAACTAGTGTCACGGTAGATGATTCCCTTCTCGTGAAGCTCAATAAAAGCCCTCATCACAGCCTCATTTTGTCGCTGATCCATTGTGTAGTACTCACGATCCCAGGAGAATGACAATCCCTGGGACTTCAGATTGTCCCGGATGCTCTTCTCCCTGAGCGCTTTCCACTTCAGTATCTCCTCCTGGAACTGCTGCCTTCCCAAATCATACCTGGACAAGTTTCGCTCTCTCATCAGGTTCTTCTCCACAACAACTTGAGTAGCGATTCCCGCGTGATCCATTCCTGGAATCCAGAGCGTCTGCAGGTCTTTCTCCTTCTGCCTCCGGACAATGACGTCCTGAATTGTGGCAGTGAGTGTGTGGCCCAGATGAAGATCTCCAGTTACATTTGGTGGTGGAAAGATCATGCTAAACACTCCTTTTAGTCCATTTTTAGTGGAGTTTTCCTTGGGCAGCGACTGCCCTTCAATGGCTTTGGGTTGGTATGCATTTCCTGCAAAATAACACACAAATAAGCAGTAATTCACTATAATCTTGTAAGAAAATGATTGTATGATACCTAAAGATGAGGATGCGTGTCTTTTTGCGCTTATTCTGTATAGAAATGCAGGAAATTTGGGAGCATTTCTGGAGCAAAACATTGTGCTGTTTTGATGAAACGAACTGTCAAAAACACATGGCGAGACCGCGATATATCGACATATCCATCGCGATTCTGAGGAAAATTCCAGCTGGGTTTTTAAAGAGACGTCAAAGTTTGTTTACATCGAGTACAGAAAGGACGAAAAGCAGCTGGAAAATGCCCAAAGACAAGGTGGAGCAGAGGATTAATCTCAAGTTCCTGGCCAAATTGAAGCACACGGGAAAGGAAAGTTATGACATGCTGAAGGAAGTGTACGGAGACGATTGCATGTCGCGTTCGCAAGCTTTTGAGTGGCACAAGAGATTTCGCGATGGTCAGGAGGAAGTGACGGATATCGAGCGTCCTGGCAGGCCAACGACGGTGACGGACGAGGAGAATGTGGAGAAAGTGAAGCAGATAATTCAGGAGAATCCCAATTTGAGCATCCGGGCGATAGCAAAAATCCTGGGAATCACGAATGGTTCTGTGCAGAGAATCGTGAGGGAAAAGATTTAGGTGAGTCAATGAGTGATCACAACGTGACCAGCCCAGTCAGGATCTAAAGATCCAGTAAAGCCGAAAAGACTACATTTCCTGGACTTCTGAAGAAAGTGATGGAAGCTCGGAACTTCATGGAAGAATATATAAAAGACAAGAACTCTCAAAAGACAGTGAAAAGGGATGAAGATTGTCTGGCTTTAAGTTTCCCACTTTCAGTTCCTCTTGAATATAATTTATTGTTATTTTATCTGTAAGGACTTAATGAAACAAAGATCTCCTATAAAATTTATATGTATTAATGTATTCAATATTAAAATAAAATTGTGAGGAGTGAAAAGAATGATAAAATGTTGCCTTTGCATTTTTTTAATCTCTGGCATGAACAAGAAATTCCGTACCTCATTTTTTAAACGCTGATAACTTCGGAGATTTATCGAAAAAATGCTAAGCATTTATTTATCTGCATCACACGGAAGTTTGACTTCCTCAAGAGGGTATAAAAAGTGAAAAATCTGGGCAAATCCTATCAGTTTTGGTTTAACTTTCGGTGAAATGGCATCCAGTGGAAAATATCTCGTGCTGTTGCTGGCAATAATTCCAATATTTGCCCAAGAATTCGTGGTTGAGAGGAAGAAGATTTTGGGATATGAATATCCCTTCGAAATCATCGCCGATCTGGACAAGAAGGCGCTAACTTCTGGCCAGAAGAACACCTACGTTTCCAACATTCAACTGGGCTCGGTTTACGTCCTGAACAACACAATCACGGATATCACTCTCTCTTCTGAGTCTCACGACGTGGTGACGAAGTATTCCTTCAACGGGCGCGGAGCTGAATTGTCAGAATTGCTGATCTTCCATGAGAAATTGTACACATTTGACGACAAATCCGGCATCATTTTCGATGTGGAGAAGGACAAACTGATTCCCTGGGTGATTCTGTCTGACGGCGCCGGCAATGAGACGAATGGCTTCAAGTGCGAATGGGCGACAGTCAAAGATGATCACGTTATCGTGGGTTCTCACGGCGTGGAAAGCATGACGCCCGAGGGCAAAGTGAAGAGTCGCAATGCATTCTACGTGAAGAAGATCACCGAAGACGGTGGAGTGATTCACGAGAACTGGTTTGAGGTGTACGACAAACTTCGCAGAGCTGTGGGAATGCCTTTCCCAGGCTTTGTGGTGCACGAGGCTGCGCTCTGGTCGGCCATCAATGAGAAGTGGATCTTCCTGCCGCGCAAATGCTCGAAAGAACCCATGAACTCGGACACCTTTGACTACATCGGATGCAATCTCATTATCCTGGCCAATGAGGACTTCTCGAAGATCGAGAGTCATGAGCTTTCAGATCCACCACTCGTGAATCACCGCGGATTCTCATCCTTCCAGTTTCTTCCCAACACAGATGAGAAGATCATCATTGCTCTCACGACCATTGAAACGGTTCAGGAAGTGGCGACGTATATAATTGCCCTGGACATCGAAGGCAAAGTGCTCTTTCCAGAGACGAAGATCTTGAGTGAGAAGTTCGAAGGGCTTTCCTTCCTTCAGCATCTGCTGGGAAATGATTAAATATCCGGCTATAAATCCTTCCTTTTCCAAATAAAGACCGGAAATTTTCCAGATAACTCTCATAAATCAGACTCTGAATTGCGTTTCCACCGGCTCGCGAATCGCGCGATGCTATATCGTAGACTCTATTTCTAGAATTTCAGACGTGCTTTTTTCTAAGGCACGTTTGTAGATTGTGGTCTTTGCCTCATATTTCATGCGAGATTTACTCCCCGAATCGATATTTAAACCCCTTATCTTGATAAGACTTTCCGATGCTGGCGCTATAAAGGGGTTCCCGGCACTTTGGTCCCATTTATTCGTTCGTCTCGCTCGGAGTTGTGCAGTGTAGTGAAATGAGGTTCATCAGTTCTTTGGGAGTGCTTTCACTCCTCTTCGTGGGCTCTCTGGCCAGGTGAGTTGATGATCTTTGCCCACTCTGACGACCGAGAGTGACTGAGACTGTTTTCCAGCAGTGAGAGTGGAAATGGGTTGAATATTCCGGAAAAGTTTAGTTCAGTGGATTTCACACACTTCTGGCCTGTCGATGAGGTCAATGCGTATATTGAAGAGATCGCTGAAGCCAATCCTGACCAGGTTCGAGTCATCACAACTCGCTGGACTCGCGAATTAAGGCCGATTTATGCTGTCAGGATCTCTTCTGACATGTTTGCCAATCGTCCTGTTGTGTTCATCGAAGCTGGACAAAGGCCAAGGTGAGAAGAAGCTCTAATCCAGACTCAGGAGTGATTAATTAGGATACTTTCAGGGATTGGTCTGCTCATATGGTCGCTATTCGTGTCATGCACGAGTTCTTCTCGCACTATTACGATTATTTGGATGTCCTCGAGGAGATCGACATTATGATCATGCCAGTTTCCAATCCAGATGGTTATGAGTTCTCCAGAACTCAGGTAATTCACTCACCAAATCGCATGTCTTCAGCATGATTTACTGTGATTTTTCTCAGGATCGCGGTTGGACGAAAAATCGCCAATTGAATGTCGGTTCAGATTGCGTTGGAGTCAGCGTTTATCACAACTTCGTGCCCGGATTCTACGTAACTCCTGATGTAAGTATCCTCAATCAGTGTTTAGCCTCATTTAAGAACTAACCAATCTGCAAATTGTAGCCTTGCGAAGGTCACTTCTCTGGACCAAGCGCTCTGTCTGAGCAAGAGTCTCGCGCTGTGAATCACATTCTGGAACAGTTCAATGTGATCGCCTACTTCAGTCTTCAGGCCGGAGGAGCCAGAGCCAATTCCGGCTCCAACATCCTCTATCCGTTCGGCTACAGGTACACCGTGCCTGAGAATGAGCACGATCTCTTCGTCTTCGGCGACGCTCTGTCCAGTGCTTTCCGCGATGGCGGCGGCCGGCGCTATTCCGTGGGCCCGGCGCACAATCTCTGGTACGATCCTCACGGCAACAGCTTGGATCACGCGAGCGAGGAGAGGAACATCGCCTTCCCCTTCACCATTGAGATGCCCTTGTTCGGGGAGTTCGGCTATGACATCGTGGAGACTGAGATTGAGCCTCTGGTGGAGTCAACTCTGCCCGGATTCATCTTCATCGTGAACTTCTTCGCCGGCCGCGCTGGGCCATGAAATCCCTCTCTTCTCACGACTTAAAGGTCAATAAATGGCATTTAAATTTAATCAAACAACAGTGTGTGTTGTTTCCATCGCCAAAGTGTATTAACTGATAACAGGACAATTTGTCAATAAATAATGTTCACCTGTTATCGGTAAGCAGTAGACGGGAAAAATTGATTGTTCCACCAATTCTTGCTGTATTTGATGAATATCAAGTTTACATAATGGTTATATTCTTGGCACAAATACCCTGTTATGTGAGAGCTATCTTAGTTCGATAGCGGATAGTAGCGCTCAATGACGAACTCGGCGATAGCGCGCAGCCCCGCGAAGGTTTCTGTGACGACACCCTCGATGGCAGTGGCTGGAGGGTCGAAGCCCTGTGTGCCGCCCCGAGGCAGCTCGAGGGTGTAGGACAGAGGAACGCCCGGTCCTGAGTAGACCCAGTCCTTGCTGGTGCCCGAGGAGATGCCCAGGATTCCTGCTCCGTTCCCAACTCTGTAAGGCGTTTCGTTGACACCGAACAAGGCCTCGGCGAAGACGTCTCCTGCCTCATGCTGAAAACGGTAGTTCTCCGGGAAGATATTTGAGTGGGAACTGAAAGGATACATGAAGAGCGATCCATAGGAATGCGTGCTGACATAGAGCTTCATGCGATCCACATTTTGCAGCACAACATCCCGCACAATGCGACTCTCAGCAACGGAAAACGGAGCTGTGCCAGCATAAGTCAGTGTGCAAACCTTAAAAAGTCAGAAATAAATCAATCAATTGAGCGTTTTCCTGTGTTTAACACTTCTTACTCCTGCTCCTTGACCATTGGCCCAGTAGTGATCGTAGTTTCTGTTCGCATCAACTCCCAAACATTCTGTTCCCTCATTGACCGTGCGGGTCTTTCGCCAGAATCTGTCGCCATCGTCCGCAGATGTGAACACGTAACCATCGGGATTCACCAGAGGCTGAATTATCCACACCACATTTTCCAACACAGCGAGATGATCGGCTGTGTGCTCAGCGAGTTCGTGAATGAGGTAAACTGCAACCATTGGCGCGATCCATTCGCGGGCATGAATTGTGGCATCGACATAGATGATTGGTCTTTGAGAGTCATCTCCAGGAGCTGTGATCCTCAGTCCCAGGATTTCACGATTCTCAAAGCTCTGTCCAAGAGTTAGCAGAGTCACGTAAGTCGGATTAGATTGTGCCATTTGACGAACATAAGCGTTGATCTCGTCATAGCTCCAGAAGTGCTGAAAATCATCCGTGTGACGAGGTGAAATGCGCTTCTTTACCAAGTATTCCATCTGCTCCAAGCGTTCCCGATCGATCGTCCTGGAAAACATAATCATTTTATATACTTTCAATCAATTGGGTGAATAATATGGTTCTTACTCTTGAACATTTTCAATGATCGTGGTGAATGGCAAATTGTTCTCAGTGAGAAACTCCTCAAACTCCGCTTGACCTGTTGGACTGATCATTATCCTGGGTTGATTGCTGGTGTCCCAGAAGTCAACATTCTCCTTCTCAGTCCATGGAATGAGAACTTTCAGGTCATCTTCCTTAACTGGATTCACTTGATAAACCTTGTAGCTGATCGGCGAGAAGTATAATAGAGATAAATCGTGTTTTCCAAAACTAATAATGTGTCAAGACATACTTCTCATAAGACTTGGCGCAAAGGCACAAGGGAAATGCCACAAAAAGAAGGAAAATGGCGAAGGATGGTTTCATCTTGACGGATTAAAGTGAACTGAAGTCCAGTGGATTTTGAAAAGAGTTAAGATCAGATAAATTTAGATTATCGCATAAAACCTTATATATTGAGAGTTATAATTCATCATTGATAATAAAAAGATAGATTACATTTATCTATCAACGTGAAGTGTTCTCTATTTCATATTATTCCAACTTATGTATTGCCATTTGTTTTCAAATGCTGTTTACAAATGACTTGGAAAATCTTGAATGAGTGCATAAATAAGTCAAAGAACTGATATAAATTCAAAGCAATCGATGTGGGAAAAATTTCAAATAAGCCAAATAAACATTATCATATTTCATCAGAAAACGATTTATCAATCTTCGCTTGTTATCACGACTCTATTGATTGGAACATGCGTGTTTGATTGAGCACCGTTAAAATTCTGCGGTTCGCAATGAAAAATAATGTGATTTAGCAAGCTTGTCCATCACTTTCGAATGCATCGTGTGGCAAATCAGACATTTGCAAAGTGGCAAATGATAAAGCACTTATCACTTGATAAAGGACCACCGCAGTATATAAATAGGGGAATTTTTCTGCCGAATTCAGAAGTTTTTTGGTGGTGTTGAAGCCATGCGTTTCGCAATTGTGATCTTCGCGGCGGTTTTCGCCCTCACGGCGGCTGAATACCAATCATACGATGGGTAAAGAGTGCTTTCTTTAGAAGCCAGGATTCGCATTTCAAGGAGTTTTTTCCAATAGGTATCAAGTGGTGACCATTAAAGTGGATTTGCCCGCGACAGTGGATCTTCTGTTCCAATGGCAAGAGCAGGGAATCGACTTCTGGGACAGCCTGAACTCAATCGGTCGCCCGACGAGAGTCATGATTCCTCCGCATCTCCTCGAAGAGTTTCCCGCCTTCCTCAGGGAAAACGAGATTTCCTACGAACTCTCGATTCCTAATGTCGAAACGTAAGTTCGCTTCTTTATCATGTTGAAGTGCTTAAAGTTAGTTCGATTGTCTTTCGGTTTGTGGACAGTGTCATCGCGGAGGAGCGAAGAGTTAACATGGAGAGAAGAGCGATTGCCATGATGAAGAAGGCGAATTCGCCACGAGCAACTGCAGATTTCTCTTACTATTGGCAAACGGAGGAAATCAATGAATATCTGCGTGAACTTGCTGACGAATTTCCCCACTTGGTGACTCTTGAAGTCGCCGGACATGGTTATGAAGGTCGTGTAATCTACGTCCTTAAAATATCAAACACGAACTTCGATGGCACTAAGCCTAAGATCTTCATCGACTCCACAATCCACGCTCGCGAATGGATCGCTCCGATGGCAACTCTTTACCTCATTCACGAGATGGTGCAACATTCAGCCAATTATCCTGAACTCTACGATTGCGATTGGATCATCATTCCCGTGGCGAATCCTGACGGATATCAATTCAGCCATGACAGCGTAAGAAATTAACTCATAAAACATCGCAGGTGCAATATTTTCAAGGTAATAATCTTTTTGATTAGACTCGCATGTGGAGAAAGAATCGCGCAATCAACCAAGGAAGTATTTGCCGAGGAGTCGATGGCAACAGGAATTACAGATATCGCTGGGGCACAACTGGAATCAGTACCAATGTAAGTTCTGAGGAAATTTCTGTGTTCTAGAATTACCAACTGTTATTAAAACACACGCTATTTTCTCTCCAGCCTTGCTCTGATGTCTTTTTGGGTCCTGCGCCGCTGTCTGAGCCTGAAACCCAGATTGTGTCAAATGAACTGGCCAAGGAAGCTGGTAACATTCGCTTGTACTTGAGCGTCCACTCCTTCGGAGACATGCTGCTCTTCCCTTGGGGATATGAACGCATTTATCACGCCAATCGTGATCAGCTTTTCGAACTGGGAGATTATGTGTCTGATGCAATCTTTAACGCCCACGGACGTCGTTACATCGTCGGAAACTCTGCTACTGTCCTGTCTCCAGCCTCAGGAGGAAGCGATGATTATGCCGCCGCTGAACACCACATCGATCTTGCCTACACAATTGAACTTACAGGCGGCCAAAACAATGGATTCGATTTGCCACCAGAACAAATTATCCCTGTTTCTGGAGAAATGTTCACAGGTTTCCGTGCTTATGCTCGATACATTGCAGAGCATTACTAAAGAAATAAAATGGACTTTTTTTCTTAAACAATGCGAATTTTAATTCACTGCGGAAGTCTTGCTGCTGAATAAAAACTTGTTGAAAACAATGGCCGTTGACAAACTTCTGAGATTTTATTCAATGCAGTAAAATTTGCTTCTGAATTGGACTCTTCAGCTTGGCGCAGGTTCAAGGGAAATTCCGAGTAAGAAAATGATAAAACAATTGACATAAGATGGTTTTATCTTGAAGCATTACTCTGAACAAGTTCAGTAGATTAACTGGATTTCGAAAGGAGTCGAGAGAGTTAAGATCAGATAAATTGAGTTTATTTTGAAAAGCTTTAAATTGTGGTTGTAATTCACAGACAGAAAAGTTATCTCTTATCATGAAATGTTTTCTATATCATTTCCAGCAGTATGTTTTCAAATACTGTTTTTGTAAATACAAAAAATAGGTAAATGAAAAATAAAAATTGTTGTATGAATTGTATAATATGTCAAGGAACTGATAAAAATTCAAGCAATGACATCGAATATTTCAGTTCATATGAATCAAATTAACAATTTAAACGTTTTTCCCATTATCATATTTCATCACAAATTGATTTATCAGTCTTCGCTTGTTATCACGACTCTATTGATTGGAACACGCGTGTTTGATTGAGCACCGTTGAAATTCTGCGGTTCGCAATGAAAAATAATGTGATTTAGCAAGCTTGTCCATCACTTTCGAATGCATCGTGTGGCAAATCAGACATTTGCAAAGTGGCAAATGATAAAGCACTTATCACTTGATAAAGGACCACCGCAGTATATAAATAGGGGAATTTTTCTGCCGAATTCAGAAGTTTTTTGGTGGAGTTGAAGCCATGCGTTTCGCAATTGTGATCTTCGCGGCGGTTTTCGCCCTCACGGCGGCTGAATACCAATCATACGATGGGTAAAGAGTGCTTTCCTTAGAAGCCAGGATTCGCATTTCAAGGAGTATTTTCCAATAGGTATCAAGTGGTGACCATTAAAGTGGATTTGCCCGCGAAAGTGGATCTTCTGTTCCAATGGCAAGAGCAGGGAATCGACTTCTGGGACAGCCTGAACTCAATCGGTCGCCCGACGAGAGTCATGATTCCTCCGCATCTCCTCGAAGAGTTTCCCGCCTTCCTCAGGGAAAACGAGATTTCCTACGAACTCTCGATTCCTAATGTCGAAACGTAAGTTCGTTTCTTTATCATGTTGAAGTGCTTAAAGTTAGTTCGATTGTCTTTCGGTTTGCGGACAGTGTCATCGCGGAGGAGCGAAGAGTGAACATGGAGAGAAGAGCGATTGCCATGATGAAGAAGGCGAATTCGCCACGAGCAACTGCGGATTTCTCTTACTATTGGCAAACGGAGGAAATCAATCAATATCTGCGTGAACTCGCTGACGAATTTCCCAATTTGGTGACCCTTGAAGTCGCAGGACAGAGTTATGAAGGACGCGATATTTACGTTGTCAGAATTTCTAATTCGAACTTCGATGGCACTAAGCCTAAGGTTTTCATCGACGCCACAATTCACGCTCGCGAGTGGATCGCTCCGATGGCCGTTCTTTATCTCATTCACGAAATTGTTCAACATTCGGCTGATCATCCCGAATTCTACGAATGCGATTGGATCATCATACCAGTGGCGAATCCTGACGGATATCAGTACAGCCACGACAGCGTAAGCCTTTTTATTAGGCTTATGAAAGAACAATTTTGTTATTAATGGTAATCCTTTCGTGTGAATAGGATCGCATGTGGAGAAAGACTCGCAGAATCAATGATGGAAGCACATGTATTGGAGTCGATGGCAACAGGAATTACAGATATCGTTGGGGCTACGGAACTGGAATCAGCACCAATGTATGTAATGTGTGCGTGTTTCCAATTTCTGGAAATTAGTAATATTTTACTTAACTTTCAGCCTTGCTCAGAAATTTTCATCGGTCCTGCGCCATTCTCTGAGCCCGAAACCGAAATAGTCTCAAATGAATTGGGAAGAGATTCTGGTGTTCGTTTGTATCTTAGCTTCCACTCTTTCGGAGATTGGTTGCTTTTCCCTTGGGGATACGATCGCATTTATCACGCTAATCACGATCAAATTTTGGCGCTCGGGAACATCGCTGCTGATGCAATCTATAACGCTCACGGACGTCGTTACACTGTTGGTAACTCTGCGATTCTCCTCTATCCGGCTGCTGGAGCCAGTGATGACTACGCTGCCGGAGAGCATCATATCGACTTTTCTTATACGGTCGAGCTTACTGGAGGTGGAACTACTGGATTTGATCTACCACCAGCTCAGATTCTCCCTGTTTCCAGAGAGATCTTCACTGGTCTTCGCGCCTATGCTCAAAATATTGCTGACTTCTACTAAAGCAATAAATTTGGTCTTTGACTTTTGAACCAACACGAATTGTTTGTATATAAATGGTAAATTCCTGTGAATGAGCGATTGTGAATGAACGGATGTAGTAAATTAACACAATTGACTTCTATTCACTTTTCAAACTGAATTTTTCTTTCAATATACATAAAGTGAATTCTTCGCTTTGATGTTTCATTATCAGAAATATTTTGCTTGAATTACGTGTGAGTCTCAAGTTACAAATGTGCTTCAGTAAGCTTTCCTCCACTTGACGATGCATCGCGTGGCCCAACACTTAATATGACACAAGTACTTCATAACATTATCGTCACTCGATGCACACGATAAAGGACTGCGAGTATAAATAGAAGGAAATTTTCTGCGAGACTCGCAGACGATTGTTTGGCGGACTAGAAGTCATGCGTTACTCAATTCTGTTCTTCGCGGCGGTTTTCGCCTTCGCGGCTGCTGAATATCAATCATACGATGGGTAAATTCACCTAATTTCATCCCTAGTTTTTACTTCACAGAGTGACTCTGATTCCAGATATCAAGTTGTGACCATTAAAGTGGACGATCTGAAGAAACTGGATCTTCTGTTCCAATGGCAAGAGCAGGGAATCGACTTCTGGGATGACATCAACTCAGTCGGCCGTCCAATGAGAGTCATGATTCCTCCAGCTCTTCTCGAAGAGTTTCCCGCTTTCCTCAGAGACAACGAGATTTCCTACGAGCTGACAATTCCTAATGTCGAAACGTAAGGCTAACTTATTTATTAATTTCTATTAAGACTTTTGTTCTACTACAATCTGTATTTCCATCTTATGAACAGTGTCCTTGCCGAGGAGCGCAGAGTCAATAGGAAAAGTCGGGCCCGTGCTATGATGAGAAAGAGCCTTTCACCACGAGCGAAAGCTGACTTCAGCTATTACTGGCAACATGATGAGATCAACCAATATCTGCGCAATCTGGCCGCCGAATATCCCAATTTAGTGACTCTGGAAACGGCTGGGAAGAGTTACGAAGGTCGCGACATCCTTGTGGTCAGGATCTCGACCACAAACTTCGATGGAACCAAACCCAAAATCTTCATTGATGCCGGAATTCACGCCCGCGAGTGGATCGCTCCGATGGCTGCGCTTAATCTTATCCACGAACTTGTGGAGCATTCGGCTGATCATGCGGATTTCCTTGCCTGCGACTGGATCGTTATTCCTAGCGTGAATCCTGATGGTTACCAGTTTAGCCACGACAGCGTAAGAATGTTTTTTTTTGTATTAAAGAAATTTCTAAGGTTATTATATAATCTTCTCTTTATGATTAGGACCGCATGTGGAGGAAGACTCGTTCAAAGAATGCTGGAAGCACTTGCCGAGGAGTCGATGGCAACAGGAACTACAAATATTATTGGGGTTTCGGAACTGGAATTAGTCATAATGTAAGTAATAGCTCTATAATGTCTTGAATTAATGATCTCTAAAGACGAATAATTTTGCAGCCCTGCTCTGACGTATTTCTGGGTCCTGAGCCTCTTTCTGAGCCTGAAACTCAGGCTGTTGCCAACGAACTGGCTAAAGATGCTGCTGGCGTTCGCTTGTATCTCAGCTTCCACTCTTACGGAGACTGGCTTCTGTTTCCTTGGGGATACGATCGCGTTCATCACGACAATCACAGCGAACTTGATTCTCTTGGTCACAAAGTTGCCGCCGCAGTCAAATCTGCCCACGGAAGGAAATACACTGTCGGCAACTCCGCAATTCTCCTCTATCCAGCTTCTGGAGCCAGTGATGATCATGCAGCTGGTGAGCACAACATCACTCTTTCCTACACCGTTGAGCTGACTGGTGGCGGCCGTCAAGGATTCGATTTGCCAGCAGATAAAATTGTTAAAATTTCCGGAGAGATCTTTACTGGTCTTCGCGTTTATGCTCAATACGTTGCTGAACACTTTTAAGAAAATAAATTTGTTCTTTGACTCTTGAACACATGCGAATAATTGTTTGTTTTTAAATGTTGTTTGTATATAAATTGTAAATTACTATGAATGGGTAAGTTTTCAATGGACGGATGTAGTAAATTAACAGCAATTGACTTTAATTCACCTCTGAAATGTCTTAATCGTAATTTTTGATCAACATAAATTCTTCATTTTCATGTTTCGTAATTTATCAAGTGAAAAGTAATCTTCCTTCATTATCAGGACTCTTTCGATTGAATCACACGCACTTGATGGAGCACCAGCGGAATTCTCCATCAGTCCTCAAAGCAACATCGCTTTCGAGATAGCTTCAGTTATGTGCTCCAGTAAGCTTTTCCACCACTTGCCGATGCATCGCGTGGCCAATCACTCAATAGCAAGTGGTTCAAGATAAGATACTTTATCACTCGATAAAAGGCTGCGAGTATAAAAAGGGAGATTTTTTCCGAAATCCACAGACAGTTAGGTGAACTAGAAGTCATGCGTTACTCAATTCTGTTCTTCGCGGCGGTTTTCGCCTTCGCGGCTGCTGAATATCAATCATACGATGGGTAAATTCACCTAATTTCATCCCTAGTTTTTACTTCACAGAGTGACTCTGATTCCAGATATCAAGTTGTGACCATTAAAGTGGACGATCTGAAGAAACTGGATCTTCTGTTCCAATGGCAAGAGCAGGGAATCGACTTCTGGGATGACATCAACTCAGTCGGCCGTCCAATGAGAGTCATGATTCCTCCAGCTCTTCTCGAAGAGTTTCCCGCCTTCCTCAGAAACAACGAGATTTCCTACGAGCTGACAATTCCTAATGTCGAAACGTAAGGCACATTTTTAATCACTCCTTAAGTGAATTTTGGTGATAGTGTGAATTTTCTTTTTGTGAAGTGTTCTCGCCGAGGAGCGCAGAGTTAATATCGAAAGTAGGGCTCGCGCTATGCTGAAAAGGAGCATTTCACCACGAGCGACTGCCGACTTCAGTTATTACTGGCAACCTGCTGAAATTAATCAGTATCTGAGCGATCTGGCCGCCGAATATCCCAATTTAGTAACTCTTGAATCGGCTGGACAGAGTTACGAAGGCCGCGACATCCCAGTGGTCAGAATTTCGAACACAAACTTCGATGGAACCAAACCTAAGATCTTCATTGATGCCGGAATTCACGCCCGCGAGTGGATCGCTCCGATGGCTGCGCTTAATCTTATCCACGAACTTGTGGAGCATTCGGCTGATCATGCGGATTTCCTTGCCTGCGATTGGATCGTCATTCCTAGCGTGAATCCGGATGGATATCAATTTACTCACGACAGCGTAAGAATGCTTTTCGATATGGAAAAAGAATTATTCTTATAACAATCTTCTCTTTATGATTAGAACCGCATGTGGAGGAAGACTCGCTCACACAATGCTGGAAGCACTTGCCGAGGAGTCGATGGCAACAGGAATTACAGATATTTCTGGGGTTTCGGAACCGGAATCAGTACTAATGTAAGAATAGCACTTATGTCTTAAGTCAATGGTCTCTGAAGACAAATTAATTTTCTTGCAGCCCTGCTCTGATGTGTTCCTTGGACGTCAGCCTCTCTCTGAGCCTGAGACTCAGGCTGTGGCAAATGAGTTGGCTAGAGATGCTGCTGGCATTCGCTTGTATCTCAGCTTCCACTCTTACGGAGACTGGCTTCTGTTTCCTTGGGGATACGATCGTGTTTATCACGACAATCACGATCAGCTTGATCTCGTGGGACAGCAAGTTGCTGCTGCCATTAATACCGCTCACGGAAGGACTTACACTGTTGGCAATTCCGCCATCCTTCTCTATCCAGCTGCTGGAGCCAGTGATGACTACGCAGCTGGTGAGCACAACATCCCGCTTTCCTACACTGTTGAACTGACTGGCGGCGGAAGTCAAGGATTCGATCTGCCTCCGGCTCAAATTGTTCAAATCACCGGAGAGATCTTCACTGGTCTTCGCGCCTATGCTCAATATGTTGCTGCCAATTTCTAAATTCTGGAAAAATAAACTGATGTTTTATATCACCCTAAATCTTTATGTTTCTTATATGCTCGTGAAGTGGCTCTAACATTGAGTCACTTGGCAATACATTCAGTAGTCGATTAAACCACTCCACAATAATAAAAAGCGATAAGGCGCACCTTATCAATACCACGCCATATCGTCACGCGTGTGTATAATTAATTGACGAGGTAATTAGCTCATAATAAACGATAGAGTACTTAAGCATTGATTTTTCATTCAAACTAGTTTTACACCGCATTCGATGGACAAAATGCGTTATTTAGTGATCTTTGTGACGTTCTTCATTTTTAGGTAAGATAAATGCTAGAATTTTGTGCTAGATTTCATTTCCCTTCTTGTTAATAGTGTCGTGGTGGTCGTGGCGGATGGGAGGAAGATTAGCATGCAAAGAGAAACTTATACTATTAAACGCCGTGCACCATCTGAGACTACTGTGAATTTTTCTTATTATTGGCAACCTGACGAGATCAACCAATATCTGCGCAATCTGGCCGCCAAGTATCCCAATTTGGTGACTCTTGAAATGGCTGGAAAGAGTTATGAAGGCCGCGATATCCTTGTGGTCAGGATCTCGACCACAAACTTCGATGGAACTAAACCCAAAATCTTCATTGATGCCGGAATTCACGCCCGCGAGTGGATCGCTCCGATGGCTGCGCTCAATATTATTCACGAACTTGTGGAGCATTCGGCTGATCATGCGGATTTCCTTGCCTGCGACTGGATCGTCATTCCTAGCGTGAATCCTGATGGTTACCAGTTTAGCCACGATAGTGTAAGTATTTTGAATTATACGACACATGCAATATTTTTAAGAAACTATTTGTGATCAGGTACGCATGTGGCGAAAAACGCGATCAATTAACGCGGGAAGTGAGTGTAAAGGAGTTGATGGAAACAGGAATTATGATTACAACTGGGCCTTCAATTCTGGCAACAGTGATGATGTGAGTATATTTGTATTGAAGCACACAAACGAGAGTTTCACTAATAATTTCAATTTATAGCCTTGCTCTGACACCTTTCGTGGTCCGAAACCTCACTCTGAGCCCGAAGTTCAGGCTGTTGCTAAAGAGTTGGCCAGAGATGCTGCTGGAATTCGCTTGTATCTCAGCCTCCACGCTTCAGGAAATTACATTCTCTTCCCCTGGGGATATGATCGTGTCCATCACACGAATCACAATGAGCTCGAGAAACTCGGTCACCTCGTGGCGGACGCGATTTATGCAACTCATAAGCGTCGCTTTCAAGTTGGAACTGCAGCCATTCTCCTCTATCCAGCAGCTGGAGGAAGCGATGACTATGCAATTGGCGTGCATAACATCAGTCTCTCTTACACACTCGAGCTAACTGGCGGCGGAGAGGAAGGATTTGATTTGCCAGCAAATCAAATTGTTGCGGTGTCTCAAGAAATCTTCACCGGAATTCGTGTTTTTGCTAATTATATAGCTTCTAAAAGTTAAATCTGAACAGTGGAAGAAGTATTAAATGATCATGCTTGAGGAATTCGTTACACACAATATTCATATCTTCGATATATCGATAAATCGTCTCCGCGAGGAGGGCGAAAAGTGACAACGCCGCATAACCTCAAAGATTGTTTTGCTGTGCTGTGTTTCCTGGCCAGGAAAAGTGGTAATTTCCCAGGATTTTCTGCAGAAAGTGCGTGACAAGATGTTGCAAAGAGTGTGTGCGATCCTCCTGTGCCTCTTGGTGCAGAGTGTGGTCTCTGTGAGGGCCGAAGGGATGCATTTTGGCGATGCGCTGGCTCTGATCGTTGGCATTATCTTGGGCACCGTCGGGATTCTGGCCTGTCTCGGCGCCTATGCTAGGAAATTATCAGTCAACCAATATTGATATCAGTCTAATGATAATCTTGTTATTCTTTAGAATATTCCTTTCATTTTATTATAAGCAATTTGAGTGAGAAATGACCGAGAAGTTGCTGTCCGGAACATTCTGTATGGCGAAACTCCCGGATAAGCTGGAAAATTGATAAGAACACAAGAGTTCGTGGACAAAGGCTGGACAATCGTGAACAATTTTACTTGGTTGTTTGGTTTTTGGTGATAATAGAGAGTGACAAAATGTATTCTGCCGGTAGTTTAATGAGATTCTCTGTGAGATCAGGAAGGCACTTGACGCCTTCGTTGAGCTTACTTCATCCCTCTGGGAAACATCAGTCCTGCCCTCAAGGATTGCAGATGCAGGCGAGGAACTTCTCCTACTCAGAAGCAGTGTCGAAGCTGTGGATGTCTCTGTCCAGCAGCACTCCTGTGTCCTACTGTCAGGAAGGACTAATCAAACTTCATGACTCAACCGGTCTTCCTTGGTGGGGCACGATAATTCTGTCCACGATCCTTCTGAGGAGCGTCGTGACTGTTCCTCTGACTATTTATCAGCAGAAGATTATGGCCAGACTTGAGTTGATCACGCTGGAGTTGCCGGAAATCGCCAAAGAGCTCAAGATGGAAACTGCGATTGCCATGAAGAAATTCAACTGGACGGAGAAGGAAGCCCAGATCATGTTCAAGCACTCGGTGAGAAGACTTCAATTACCAATTTCCTGCTTCTCTTAATTGGCTCTCTCGCTTTCCAGCTTAAGAAACAGTGGTCGAAACTCGTGGTGAGAGAAAATTGCCATCCGGCGAAAACAATGATCGTGCTCTGGGGCCAGATTCCTCTGTGGATCTTCCAGTCAGTGGCGATCAGGAATCTTGTCTATATGCTACCAGATCCAAAGTCGCTCTATGCGGGAATAATCTTCGCTCAACTCTCATTGGGTGGCTTTCTCTGGATACCAAATCTCACAATTCCGGACGCTTCGCTGATCCTGCCCATCAGTCTAGGCATCATCAATCTCGCTATTGTGGAGATACAAGTGCTGTCCAGAGTGCGACCTGGAGGACGTCTGCACAAGATTGGCACGAACTTCATGCGTGTGATCAGCGTCATCATGATTCCCGTGGCTTGCACAGTTCCTTCCGTAAGTATTTCGCCCCAATTGTTGCATATGAAGTCATGTTTTCACGGCTTTTCCCGGAATTCAGTGCCTGAGTCTCTACTGGGTGACTTCCAGTGCCTTCGGTCTGGCCCAAAATTTCACGATGATGTCACCGAAATTCAGACGCGCACTGGGAATTCCCGTGACCCCGAGCCAACTGGAGCATCCGTACAAACATCTAGCAGATGGCGTGTCGCAGAGAGCGCAGAAAATGCTATCTTGGCTGCCGAAGAGAGGCTAAATTGTGCACAAAAGTATGCTCATTGAGCGTCTTATTTTCTCAATTTTTGCCGTCATTTGAACTCTTGATCTTTCCACTGATAGTGATAATCTTTGTTTACAGAAAACGACTAACATTCGACTCGATAGGGTGACTCTGTGCCACTCGAGAAGTCTCGTGGTGCATTGTGGAGTCGGGCAGGAATTGTGCTGTTGGGATCATCCTGCAGCGAGAGAGGCAATTAGTGAAGATCGCTTCATGAGAGCAAGTAGCATTCTGTACTGATCAGTTCGCATTTGATCGCTCGACAATGCGAAGGTTTAGTTATACTGTTGAAAAGAGTGAGAAGTGTTAATCTTTCCAATCAGACATGAAACCCTGTCTTTGGACAGCGTTCCTGGTGATCCTGGCATCGATCGCGGTGTCCGAAGGGGTTTGTGATTCGTTTTTTCCAAGAGATTTTCCCTTTTTGTAGTCTTCTTTTGAGCAGAGATCGAAATTATATTTGCGCACTTGCGAGTCACTGAATGCTAACAATCTGTTATCAGTGGGGAATTTTTTGTGCGATCGCGACTGATCATAATAATTCTGAAAATGAAAACTGTGGGGAGATAAAAATATTTTGTGCAATTTTATAATCAAGGCAAATGTGAAGTAATAAAGTCGTTTCGTAGTGAGAATCTTGACCTACAATTATGCGCACTTTAACATGATCTTCTTACTGTGATTTTTAACCGCTGTCCTTTGGATGTGTTGCAGATCTACGATCCAACTGGCGATGGCGTGAAAAACCGCCCCGTCGTGCGTGAGCCGCTGAACAGGCGACAATTCGAGCGCCTTCAGCAGCCCGTGACAGAGCCTGGCGTCACGATCCACGATCAGTACAGTCAAGTGGTGATGCAGCGGTCAGGAAGACACTTTGGCCGCAGCGATAGTTCGCACGTGATGCGAATCGCTCGTCCAGGCGCAACGACGGAATCTCCTGAGCAACGTCGTGAACCGCTGGCGCGAGTGCAGCTTCAGCAGCCCAGCCAAGCCACTCCGCAGTCGCTGCAGTCTCGCCAAGGACCTGAAGAGCAGGAGAACGAAGTGGGCGTGAGTTATGGAACCGAGTGTCCTGCGTTCGCGACAGGACAATTTGCCTACGTGATGGATTGTCGGCAGTATTTGAACTGCTGGAAGGGACGCGGATACATCCAGAGCTGTCCTCCCGGGACGCTCTTTAATCCCGAGACCAGTGCCTGCGATCATCCCTCGAAGGTTGTCTGTGTCACATTCGACACTCCCGTTCAGCGTGAGAAGCCCGCGAGACTCCAATTCCAGCCTCAAAGGCAGAATCCGACCTCCATCCAGAGCAGAGGCTTTGGCGACTCGCCACAGACACGGAGAGAGCCAAAATGCGCTCCAGGATCATCGGGATTGACGGAGCATCCATACGATTGCTCAAAGTTCCTCAATTGCGCCAATGGCGTGACATACATCCAGGATTGCGGCCCCGGAACGGTCTTCAATCCCATCTTCAGCATCTGCGACTGGCCTCACAATGTCAACTGTGGCTCCAAGGCTCTGCCTGACGATCAGTCGGACAATGCGCGGCAGCCGGACTACGGAGAGGGGAAGATTGACATGCGCAATGAGTTCGACGATGACCTCTCAGGCGCTGGAAGTGCTCACTCGCGAAAAATTTACAACAGACCTCAGTACCAAGGTCCATCGACGGAAGACCCTCAGTCTCTGCTCGTGCCTTCGCAGGATCTTCAGCCGCCGAGGCAGAATCCTGGCCAGGGAAGGCAGTATCCGGTTTATGATCGCACAAAGGGCGCGAGAGGATTTGGGAGCTCAAATCCTCAGACGCAAGATAACCCGACTGGTTTCGGGCAGGCAAATCCTGGAGATCCTGGTCGGAAGTATCCTCTACGCGGTCGTGAGGGAGGGATTAGTGGAACTTTCAATCCTCAGGCTGTCGAGATTCCTTCTTTAGACCTTCAGCCACCGAGGGAATCCGAAAAACCAGGACAGCAATGGTCTCAGAATCCTGGACAGCAGGGAAGCCAATATCCTGGACAGCAAGGAAGCCAATATCCTGGACAGCAAGGAAGCCAATATCCTGGACAGCAAGGAAGTCAATATCCTGGACAGCAAGGAAGTCAATATCCTGGACAGCAAGGAAGCCAATATCCTGGACAGCAAGGAAGTCAATATCCTGGACAGCAAGGAAGTCAATATCCTGGACAGCAAGGAAGTCAGTATCCTGGACAGCAAGGAAGTCAGTATCCTGGACAGCAGGGAAGTCAATATCCTGGACAGCAAGGAAGTCAATATCCTGGACAGCAAGGAAGTCAATATCCTGGACAGCAGGGAAGCCAATATCCAGGACAGAAAGGATCTCAACAATATCCTGTCTATATTCGTCCAGGAAGTCAATCACAGGGAATTCCTTCTGAGACCTTGCAACCGCCTCCAGTTCAGGATCCACAGCAAGATCCTGATGCCAGGACCTTTGTGATTGGCCTAATTCCTCCACCGACAGAAAGACCCTCTTCTCTGGACTCCAGATGGTCGGATTCGCAGCAAAGGACCGTGAACCAGTGGCAATTGCCTTGGCAGCCGACGTCAACAGAGAGGACGGAAGTCTCCGTGACTTACTATCCTTCCTACAATCGCCAGTACTACAATCCTCAGTCTCTCACCACAGAGGATCCGTCTCATCAGAGCCAGTTGGCCATCAGTGAGGCCATGCAGGCTCTGCTGAGGCCGTACTTGAGAGGATCAGGATCTCAGTCTCAGGTGGACATGAAGAATGTCTCGGGCATCTTCACGACCACTCCTCTGCCGCCGATGACTGGAGAGCAGGAGAGTCTGGCTCAGGGCGGAGGATGGAAGCCGCAAGGATCGGCTGGATCTGAGGAAGAGATGGCCGTTCCGCCTGGACATAGTGTTGAGTGGCACAAGGCACATCCGCATGTGCCTCTGCCTGGTCAGGGAAATTCCAATGAACCAGTGATGCCTCCCGGACACAGCCTGGAGTGGCATCGTGCGCATCCGCATGTGCCTCTGCCTGGACAACAGGATTCTGGCGAGGCAATGCCTCCAGGACACAGTCGTGAGTGGCACAGAGCGCATCCTGAAGTACCGCTTCCTGGAAATCATCATGGGCATCATCATCGCTGGCACGGTCGAGGTCATCACCATCACGATCATCGTCCACACCACAGACATCATCACCATCACAACAGAGAACCGGAGAGCACCACTCCGACCACGGACACAATCTCAACGCCTCTGCCCAATATCGATGTGAGACTCAGCGTCCCTTCCACTCCAGGATTCATGCCGCTGGGCAGTCAGAGCGCGAATACGCGCTGCGCGGGCCAGTTCAATTGTTCCAATGAGTTCTGCGTCTCACAGGACGATGTGTGCGACGGGAAGAACGACTGCGGCAACTGGAAAGACGAGTCCGACTGTGACCATATTGGATTCGAGATGCGGCTGTCCAGTGACCAGGGAGCGGCGCACGAGGGCAGACTAGAGGTGAAGGTGTACAATCAGTGGGGCTATGTTTGCGATGATAAGTTCGATATGCGCGACGCGGATGTTGTGTGCCGCGAGTTGGGATTCCCTCTGGGCGCGGCGGAGGTGCGCGGGAATTCCTACTATCCGCCGCACAGGAGCATGCTTCGTGGCGAGGACAGTGCCATCTTCCTCGTGGACGAGCTGGACTGTCGCGGCAGCGAGAAGACCGTGAGGGAGTGCGACTTCAGCGGATGGGGCGTGCACGATTGCAATGCGGAGGAAGTGGTTGGCGTGGTGTGCAAAGTGCCCGTGATGACTTGTCCGCTGGACTACTGGCTGTGTGACACGTCGCAGGAGTGCATCCCCATCGGCTTCCTCTGTGACAATGTGCCGGATTGCACGGACCACTCGGACGAGGAGCAGCGTCACTGCGCGGCTCCGGTGGAGATTCGCCTCGCCGGCGGACAGAGTCACCTCGAGGGGCGCGTGGAGGTGAAATATCGCGAGATTTGGGGCACAATCTGCGACGATGACTTCAATGCAGAGGAGGCGGCAGTGGTTTGTCGATCTCTGGGCTTCCATGGGCCGTCTTACGTGCTGAAGAACACTTTTGGTCCTGGGACGGGAATCATTTGGCTGGATCAGGTGGATTGCGTGGGCAATGAGACTTCCGTGGAGCAGTGCTCGCACTGGCACTGGGGAGAGCACAATTGCGCCCACTCTGAAGACGTGGGCATCAAATGTTCTCACGGGGAACCGACACAGTACAGCGTCAGGCATCAGACTTCGCCCAGCAATCAGCAGTTTGGGGCGCAACTCGACTCCAGAATCTCACTAGACATTCCCGAGGGGAGCATTAAAGTGCAATTTCCACCGGTGGAATGTGGGAAGGTGAAAGTGACTCAGCAGGAGAGCGAATGGGAGAGACATGTGGGCTTCAAGGTGATCAATGGAACGCACGCCCAGAGAGGATTTCATCCCTGGCAAGCAGCGATCCGAGTGCGTGGCGCCGGAAAGTCTTCTCACTGGTGCGGAGCTGTTCTCATCTCTGAGCAGCATCTGTTGACTGCGGCGCACTGTCTCGTGGGCTACTCGAAAGGCGCCCTGTTCATCCGCCTGGGGGATCATCATGCGGAAGTCGTGGAGCCCGAGGAGGTGGAGAGCTTCATTGAGAACTTCTACGTGCACGAGGACTTCCGCAGCGGCGGACAGCACATGAATAACGACATTGCGATCATTGTGCTGAAGAAACCGGTGGCCTACACGGATCACATTCAGCCGATCTGTCTGCCGCCGAAGAACAGCATTTACTTTCCCGGCATGAAGTGCACCATCTCCGGCTGGGGCTCCATTCAGTCCGGCAAGTCGAGTGAGTTATATGCTGATGTGAAAGCATTTCTCCGTTGCCTAATTGATTGAATTCCAAGATGTTTCAGCATCGGCGCTGGAGCTGAGAGCTGGCACCGTGCCGATCCTGGCGAGGGACGTCTGTGAGGAGCCTCATGTGTACGGAAACAGGATCACAGACGGCATGTTCTGCGCCGGAAGCCTGGACGAGGGAGTTGACTCTTGCATGGGAGATTCCGGCGGCGGTTTGGTGTGTCAGAGCGAAGGTGAGGATGGAATTAAGTGGTCTCAAGTGTGTGTGTTCTTATCTATTTTATTTATTCTGCCTCTCAAGGGACTCACAAACTGTACGGGATCATCTCGTGGGGCCATCATTGCGGCTATGCCAACAAGCCGGGTGTGTACGTGAAGGTGTCACAGTATATCGATTGGATTTGGGACAAGCTCAACGGCACATCAACTCCGTCTCTCTGAGAGCGGAGCCACAATTGCCGCGCTTCAACGCCTTGTATTAAAAATGCACTTTAACCTTCTCGTTAGACTGTAGAAGTACATGGAGGAAAAAAAAGAGAGAAGAAAAATCCAAAATCACCCGCAACTTTTCACTTTCCCGGCGCGAGGAAAGCGTGCAGCGCCAGAGCGGGACGGAAGACTCGGCGAGAGCGGCGAGAGCATTTTCCCCAACAAACTGTAACGCTGTGTGTGCGAAGAGGCTTTCTGAGGGGCGAGCTTTCAGTGTGAGACTTGTGTCAGTTGCGCGCTCCACATTTCTTTCTCTCTCTTCAGCACACCCGAAAGGGCGGTATTTGGACAAAAGTGTCAGGCTCGAGTGCGTGTGGAGTTGCTATTGCGTGTGCCTCTGTGGATTTCCTTCATGCTGTGCTGAGGGAACAAAGTGAGATACACTGTTGGAAAAATTCTCATCATCTGACCATTTTCATTATCGACGTTCGCCTGTTTTTTTCCCCGGCTGAGTCAGAAAGAAATTCTGTGAAAAATTCAGGTTTGTGTCAGCTTTTCCTCCCACAAGTTTCCTGAGATTCTGAGCAGGAAAGTCTTCTTCGCCTCGTGTGCGAGTGTATTCGTGTCGCGATGTCAAGAGGTCAAAGTCACAAGGATACTCGCGATGTGCGATCCTGCCTCAATGCAGAGGGGCTTTCCACGCCTCGCTAATCAATCAGTGCGGCTGATAATGCTGAGGAAAAAGTGACGTAACCATGGATGAATCTTGTGTGCGACACAACAAAAAGTCTCTTCACGTGCATCATCGATGCCCGGGTCTATTTTGGGCACGCCGACTTTTCCCCACTGTCCAAAGAGTATGAAAATTCTCCTCTCCGTGACATTTTCCACTCATCGCCGCACATTTTCACGCGATTTTCGCCGTGCATGTGTGCGAAAGGCGCGATAAGATACACAATTTATGATGTGACCACTCTTGGGACAATCGATCTTATCAATAATCATAACGGATAGTGTTCGGGAGAGAGAGAAATCATCTGTGAGAGCGTCACATTAAAGCATCGCGTCGCCACTCAGTCTTTGCAAGACGCTCCTTCGCAGCAACATAAATCAGGCCAAGGATTCATCATCGCGAGCGGCGCTCTGATGAAAATCAATAGCGATGTGTTGAACGGGTCAAGAAACTCTCAGCCAAGTGCATTTCTCTCTCTCTCTCTCTTTGCAGACGCCACTGATCGTCGCATCTTTTGCAATCGTACCAACAGCCATGTTCGCCCTCTGGTACTTGTCGTTCGCGATCGACGAAATAAGGTGAGTGGAGACGCTTTTCCGCGAGATCATGCGCTTTCCCGCCACTCAAAGATCGCGCGAGATCAAAGGATGTCTCGTTTTGCCGCTATTTAGGCGATTGCGCCAAGCTCTTCTGCGAAAACATTCTATCAAAAGAGGGAGTGTTTATTTAAGGGTGCAATTAGTGTGCGCCCCATTATTTATTCAAAAGCTAATTGAAGATAATGATAGTCAAGCAGTTTTCCACCATACACGAAAGGCTGTGCATAAAGAAAGGGAAACAAAAGAGTCTTTCTCTTGTAAACCAATAAATCCAATATATGTTTCTTTTATTAAATTATCACAGAATGTTGATAAGTTTACAAATACACCTCAAAATGCAATTCTATTTAAATTGGAATTTATTTATTTGAATTAAAAATATGTAAAGGTGAGACTCAAAACTAGAAAAGATAGAATATATCCCTAATATCGATTTAAGAAATCAATCCAAAAACTTCTTTTCTCCTTTTGTTCATGCAACAATAGAGTGAGAATATTGCAATTTCTGCGAGTATTTAGCACTTGTTCACTAATAAATCTGAACTCTATCGATAAAAATCGCTTCGTGCACCATTTATTACCTAATTAATCATGGGTATTTAGTAGAAATCCCGCAACATAGGTCAGTGTTGGCGATAAAAGAGCAAATGAAGATATCTTGCCTCCACTAAATATCGCTGAATTCTCATTTTAACACGTCTCGCCATATTTTTCCGCCAAATAAAGTGCCTTTAGCTCGCCGAGTGTGTGTGCCGGAGAAATTAGCAGCAGAATTATCACTTGGACTAGATCTTATCAGGGCGTCTTTCGCCTGGGGAATTGAGTCAGAGGCAAACGAAATCGATTTTAATCTATTCACGTAGACCAGAAAAATATGTGAAGTCCATTGATTTCTTATCATTTTTTGTGTTCGGCGTTGGGGAAAATTTTTCTTGACATGCAACTGAGAAACACGCCCCAAAAGAAAGTCTGTAATTTTCCCGTCTTCATAGTTTATTCTTCAATGCGGGCCAAGAGGACAATATTTTGCTGATGAAAAATAAAAATAAATATGAGAAAAACCTCAACATTGGCCTTGGAAGATTTTTCACGATCATTGCCAAATGGCAAATTTTTATTTTTAATTCGTATTTACATGACGCTTCTGGGCGTGAGACCGAGTGGAGCAGCTTCAAATGCTAGTTTATAAAATTACCAGTGAGATTGTGTTTGTAATTGAGAGATATAAAATTGGATCATGTTCTGAAAAGCCAATTGAGAATGTTTGGCATCGCATTGAGATGCTAATTTTCCTCGCAATGCTCTTTTTTGTCCAATAACACAGATGAACCTTTTGATGAGAAATGAGGTTTTTCCTCTGATTGCTTCCGCTGGAAAAACACTACGATGCTTAATAAGATATTTGCGGATAAAGTTGATTAAGACTTTCTGTGGGATTTGTATTTATTTAGTAGGTAAAAAGTGTCAAGAGAAGGGAAAATGTTGGGAGAAATCTCGTGAAAAATGCGTGTTTTGCGTGATGCGTAGGCGTCCGGCTCAGTCCTGGCCACAGGCCAAGTGAAATCCACAGAAAGACGCACGTCTTTGTCGTTTTCACGCCGGCATTGCATAATCGCGAAGGAGAAAAAAGACCCCATCTGTAAACTTCCATCAATCATCCGAGATTTTTCCGTTTAATAATTCCTCTTATGCAATTTTTCTTTTTTTTTACCTCCTTTGGTTTGCTTTTTTTCTTAATTTCATTTTGTTTTTTTCTTTGGTTTCTCCTGATTTTCATGCACAGGAAACGTCTTGGATACCCATCAATCTTTGGAGGCGCAAAGACTCCTGTGACAATCCCTTCGAAGCCTGAAACGCCAAAGCCTGAGGTGAAAAAGGAAGATGTGAAGCCGAAGGAGCCTGAGAAGAAGACAGAACCTGTGAAGCAGCCTGAACCTGTGAAGAAAGTGGTGCCTGAAAAGAAGCCAGAAGTGCCGAAGATTGTGCCAAAATCTCCAGAACCGCCAAAGAACAATGGACAATCGAGTCCAGCTGCTAAACAGCCTGAATCGCCTGAAACCCAGGAGTTGATGAAGACGTATGAAATCCCTGAGAAAGACGAGGGCAAGAAGAAGCCGGATTCTGTGAATGGAGCGAGTGGTGTTCGTCAGGTTTCGCCGAAACCCAAAGAATCACCCAAAGAATCACCCAAAGAATCCCCTAAAGAATCGCCTAAAGAATCACCATCAAAAACCCCATCAAAATCTCCGAGTCCTGCGAAGAATGGAAGTCTCGCCAAGGCAAAGTCCGCAAAAGACGCCACGACGGCTTTCCTAGCTGAGGAATCGTCGAAGCCAGCCGGCAAAAGGTATCCCAAGACAGTGAAACGTCCTTAAAACGAACTACCAGCAGTTGTGATTTGTTTTGTCTCTCACTCATTTAATTTATCCATCCTCTCCTTGTGCAATTTAGTTAGATGAATTTTTTGTGTTACAAAGAGGATCAATTGGCGATTGACATAGGGAAATGATCGCGAGCACAAATATCGTCGAGGTTACGCGAATTCTCTCTGGGAGTGTCGCTAAAATTCACTCGTGAAGGGCATGAACTATGCAATCCCAAACCATCCTCATGCCAGACACGCGTTCTATGCATTTTGCCAAGTCAGCCAGAGTTGCGGAGTTGTATTTGCAGTGAGAAGAGAGGGAAATGCTGCATCTTTCCCATGTTTCATCTATGCTCTTAGCAACTCTGCCAGTCATTTTCGTACATATTCTCGTGCAAGATCTTCTCTAAATCATCCGAAGCGGTTTTCTCTGTTTATTTATTTTTTTCCCAAGAGCATCGAATTGTATATACATATGTTTGAGCATTTGAGTATTGAAGATGGCAATAATAAATAGATTTATTGGTTCATGTCTCGTTTTATAGTTGCAAGTTTGCCGAGGAAGCGTGAAAATAGACGCGAATTGGACAGCTTTAGGAGTGAAATTATAGGAATATGAGAGATCTCTCCGCCAATTATAATAGAAAAGGCTATTTTGAGCACTTGACAGCGCTCCTTGACTTCTAAAGGAGTGAAAAGTCAAAGGCATAATGCGATATCACGAGGAGAAATCTATTTCTAAACCATCTCTGTTTTCTTGACTTTCACGGATTTTATATTTGTGCAAAGGAAGAATGAGTGAGAAGAAATTTAATGAAGTGCAGCTTCGGTTGAAATTAATGCCTTTTCTCTGTGTCATCTCTTTTTCCTTTCCTCACGAGAAGCATATTTATTTTTAATTCCATCTTCCTTCGTATACCGTCAAGAAGAGTCACACAGCATCCAAGAGAACTTTCTCCCGTCTTTTCACTCCCATCGAAAATATAGCGTGCAAGAAGTGAAAACTATTTCGAAACTGTTGGACTGGGCAATTCCTGTGCAGGCTAAAAATACGATCATTTTCAACTTGTATAGTCTCTTGTCTCTCTTTTCCTTGTTTTATATCCCCAAAGCATCACATCCAACATTTCATGCTGTCTTTAATTTCTATCTCGCAACACACAACATGATAAGAATAAATTTTCCGCGCCTTCTAGCATTTATTTTCCACTTGGCCACCAAAGAATTCCACTCAAATCCCAAAATTCCGCCACAGATTTTATTTTTCACTATAAAATTTCAATATAGGCAAAAGCTATTTTCCACTATCTTCCGCTCGTCGAACTCCTTTATCGCCCCAACTGGAGGTGGATTGAATTATCGCATCAGCTTCATCTCTGGCTATTGATAATGCTTTTTGAGGAAATATCATGTGAGAGATTTATAGACTTCCCATGTGATTCTCGTCATGTTCACCTGTGCGATAATTTTCTCCACCAACTCTGCCACAAGATTACGCAGTAATCCAATCTTATTTACACATGCAGTGAATTGAAATGCGGCCTCGCGAGTTATTATTCAGAATGCAAACACGAGATTGAAGTGTTATTTGTGCTCTTAATTGGGCTAAATGTGTTACAGATTGCTAAATAGACAAAAGTTAGTTGTAAACATTTGGGAAGGATCAAGATTGTCTTAAAGCAGATTATTCTGATTATTAGTTTTGCATGAAAGTATAACTATAGTTTTATTGTCTTTATATTTATTCTTTAATTGAAAAGTATTTTTAGTTTCTTCAGTGTGAATCTTAATGTGAGGATTGCGCAAAGATTTAATTGATTTTTCTCTGAGAAGATACTTTTTCCTTTTAGCATTTGAAATATAAAAGACGTGTTTGTAAATAAAATGCCATGTTCTTTTGCCATGAGTATAAATTTGCCTATAAAACCACTTAAACAGCGTTAAATAACATACTAAGTGATAATAGAGAAACGCAGAGTGGTTTAAACTAAATTGAATGCAGAAAGACGAACAATCCAATGAACACAATGTCTTCACATATTGATTAATTCCGTACATTTCCCCATTCAATTACAATATACCATCACAATTCCCGGGTGCGAGTGCGAGTTTGAGCGCTAACATGATCCTCTTGAATGAGTGTAAGTCAGTGGAGCTCATGGCAATCATTTAAGCATGTGTCCTGCGAAATAAGAATTCCCGAGATACTTTAAAGAGACAAGAGGAGATAAAGAGAATTCATTAGTCTCTCGAAAGATGACATATTTTGGCAACTGATCCCTTTTGCTGCCTCAGCGAGCGTCAGCGCTGAGACTGAGGGGAAATTCTGAAAGTCGTGAGAGTGTGTATTTTAGAATTAAACTCGTCGGCAAATCCGCCATGGAGAGCATGTTCGAGATGAATTGACTTAATTGTGTTCAATTGAAATTTATGTTGACGATCGCATTCAATTAACGAGCGACTCGCATGGAGTCGGTGCGCATGGGGGCGCTCGGGCGCCCGTGGGAAGGCCGGTGGAGGGGCGCGCGCTCGAGGGTGCAGGAAAATCCCTGTGGACCACACACCAGTGAGTTTTCCACACTTGGCGCGTGACGTCAGGCACGAAGTCGCCCGCCAGCAGCCTCCCCGTCGCCCGAACGCCCAGCGCGATAGCACTTTTAGCCATTCTTGATGGTGATTCTGGGTGGTGGGGCGTTCGTCGGCTTCCACTCCGTGGCTCGAGCGAAAAGCTGGCGGATCCGCGCTTGGGACTCTCCCGAGGCTGAATATCAGAGTCACTATTTAGTTGAAAGTTGATTTCTTCGGTCGTTACAAGAGCTTAGAAGGTGAGGTGGAAAAAAGATAGTATTTTTTCTCATCCATGGTGAAAAGAGCCCTCGAACTGGCAGACAATCTGCAGAGATTAGCTCTTGCCCACACGAATTTATTCAATTTCACGAGGAGTGAAATCCTCTTTCTGCCTATCGCGTTGCAAAGAAAATTTCGTTGGCGGATTTCGGTAAGAAAGTTTAATGATAAGGATAGTTTGCGAGCCAGTTGATAACATGGATGGAAATCGGAGTGAATTTATTTGTACTTCCGCGGCTTCTGGTCAATTGGAAAAGTGAATCACGACAGAAGTATTATCGACATTCATGTGATTTCTGCGCTATTGAAGCACACACCACGCAAATCACAATCGCACGATATCTCAAGTTTCAATTAAACCGGGAATTTGTGGTGTTTTGCCTTTATCGAGAACCATTTAAATAGTGTGCATGAAATTTGCCACACACAATCCAGCAAATTGCCACTGAAATCTTCACTGCAGTGCTGGGTGAACAATGCGAATTTTATTTAATTTCCGGTCAAGGTAGCGCGAGACCGCGATGCACTTTTTAAATGCAATAGAAAAAGCAGCATTAGACACTATGAAACTTCAGTGCGCGCTGGAGTGATTTCGTAACAATTCCGCCACTGCAAGTGTATTGGAGACACACTCAGTGCTCAATTGCAAATTAATAAATTGCACCGCAAATCCGTGTCATTAGTCACATTGCTGAGTATTGGCGAAGAGACAGAAAAATCCCACCTAAAGTCATTATGAAGCGCGCTAGAAGTCAGTCTATGCGAGCTCCATTGAGAAAATCTCCACGTTAAAGTGCATTTTCTCGTTGCGCAATCACCGCCAGAACGTTGGTCGATTTTTCCTCATGTGTTATGTAACCCATGCTGAAGAACACAGCCAAGGCTTTAGTTGCTCATCAGCCGGAAAAGCGAATAAGTCTCGAGACTGTGAATTGTTTTGGCTCACAGCGGAAAATTTCTGCCAAGAAATCACTCGCGAGCCTCACCTTTTCGCCTCTATTCACCTGAACTGCAATACAAATTGTAAGTGTGACAAATATAAAATTTTACACGAGAATCCTATATTGGAGACCCAAAGACTCCTCGAGTGCCGCAGTTTCCTGCCCAGTGACTCTCAATTGCTCGCGACGAGAATTGTGAGTTAAAGTTAGAACAATTCTCAAGCCCTGGGAATTTATAGCCGGCATTTTGCAATTGTGGAAAAATCACGTTGGGATTCAGAATTTATTTTTAAATTAAAACACACCAGCGATTTGCCAACGCGTGCGGAGGAGAATTTATTTGATTGTTTCCGAGCCAAATCTTCCGCCAAAGAGTTTCGGTTTTGCTGAGGAATTCTCGCCGTTCCTTTTTCATCGACAAAACATATTCATGTATTTCCCGATGTGGTCTCCAAGGTGAAGGAAATCAATGGGGGCGGGGGAGGAAAAGAGGGGACGTTATGTAATTGCCCAGCAGCAGTTAATTACCCTGTCAGATTTAGATGGAGGAGGAAACTTCTGTGACGCCTCTCAGCGTTTCACTCTGTATGCAAAGTTCGTGCGATTTTCCGAGCTTGTGACAATGGGTTGGAAAAGCTTCTGAGAGATTGCAATTTAGCCGCTCTGGATTATGAAGGTTATTCAGAAGTCGATGAAGGTTAATAATGTAATGGAAGCAGGATTGAAATGCGGCTTAATGTTTCGCTTCGACTCTTCCTATCCGGAAGCTTTGGCGGAGCTTTCGAACTTTCGCTTCTACATGGCAAGACTTGATCGAAATTTATCTTCCATCGCCTTCTTAGCATGCTCAATTTATTTTCCTTGCTAAACCAATAAATAAACACTTCAACTGAATCTCTTTGAGAGTTCACCTGACGAAAGCGAATATCCACGTCTCGATAAATAGGAGCGCAAGAATGTGTATTTGAAGGTATAAATTGAGATAGAGACCTTGACACTCGATATCATTGCTGGGGAAGTTTCTGTAATGGAAAGAAATGGAGTCATGCGCTCTCGTATCGCTCGGCAATTTCTCTATGAGGGTTACATAATGCTCAAGAGCCAGTGTCAGTGCCTATGATGGTACGAGAGCATTCGTAATCTTTATGATATGTTCCGAGCAGGCAATATATCAATTGGCACAAATTAAAAGTGCATGATAAGTTGATAAGTGATTGTATAATTTGGGGAGTTTTTTCGCTGGAACTCTGCGCGCTCATGCAAGAAGTGCGACACCGGAAGAAGGTGATTTAGAGTCGCGAGGAGAATTGGAAGAAGTTGTCAATTGGCATGTTCCTGCGCGGGTGTCAGAGAATTTCCCGGGGACGCGCAATTAGATGCGAATTTTGACGCAAAAGCTCATCAGTCGCTGCTTTGGACGCCAGCCGAGGAGGAGTTTATGGTAATTCTTATGTCATACAATAATTATTCTTTCGACAACTCCCCAAACACTGATAGCAAGTGTCTATCACTCCACTTATGACTACCTGCCTTATCAAGTGGAACGATCTGCAGTAAAAAAATGTGTATATCACTGTCAATATAGCACGATTTCGCGTCAATATCGCATCACCTTTTGTCACTGATAACACGCCCAACAAGAGCGGGGGAGAATTGTAGATTGAACTCTCGGATCGCGATCACCGCGGACGATCATCGCGAGAAAATCATTGCTGAATTGGGACTCGAGAGCCCAGCAATTGCTGGAGAAGGTGTCAGTCGATCTGTGGGACTCACTTGGCGATTTTCTGCCAGAGACTTCTTGCTCAAGTGCAGCGAAACGGTCAACTTTGTGCCTCTCTAGAGTTCACTAAACCCCAGTAGGAATTAGTTGCATGAAATAATCCAATTGTATCTAATTGATTTAACTCTCCCCGCGCGCAAGTGATTCAAGAGTTATTTTTAGTGCATCGCCGGCCGCTTTTAAATAATCCCTCACACCCGAGAGCTTTTGCGCGACGGAGCTTCCTTTTTTCCTGCGTCGTCCCTTCGGAACAAACACCCTTCCTCAACATCAACTGGTTCTCTTTTCGGAGAATTAATGTGATTATCGCACACGCCGGCTTCATCCCTTGACAACAGGGCACAGGGTGACACACTCCGCCCGCGCCAATCTATGGCCCGATTTGGCACAGTGATAGGCGTTCGCGTGACTTGTCATGGCCAGTCATTCGGCCTGCAGAATCTATTGGTGAAGAACTGCTATCGCAGTGACAGAAAAGAGTTATTTTCTACTCTTTTCCATCACACAATTTATTTCCAAAATACCTCCAAACACTTGATTTTATCCAAATACATTGAAACGTGCTATTTTTAGCTGTAATAAATTTCGAGAAGCCCTTAAGTTTAATAGCCTGATAAGTACAATGTCTTATCTGTGGATTATCGCACACTTGAGAGTTTCAATACTCCATACAATTAAGTGTAAAGTCATCAAGAATACTTAAATTGTGCTAATTTGAGCTAAACAGGAGCAAATCAGATTACATACGTGAAATTCGAAACTATCGAGTCTCACTCTGGACCCTGTTTTGTACGCCCAGAGTTGCGTTTTGGGATTCCCTTTCCCCGCTTCCGGAGCAATTTGTCTCTGAATTCAGGCTCTTCTCATTCTTCCAAATCACTGCAATAATTCTTTGGGTTTCCTCTGCGGAAGTTTCAATGCATGTCGGACAAGGATTAGTTCTCGGTCAAGGGAAATCGGTCGAGATGCGGGTCACCCTGCATCGCGCCCGGCGTCCTCTTGTTAGGGCTGTTGTGCCTCTATTGTTTGCCACTCACCCCTGCGCTTCGTGCCCTCCCGACGCCACGAGCGTGCACGCGCCTGTGTGTGTGCTTTTGGCGCGCGCGGCGACTGGGTGAGGCGTTCGTCCCGGCGGCGTCCCAGCCGATGTCTGCCGACAGTTGGCAGCACCGGCCAGGGTGCGACCGGCGCCGCCGCTGCGTTTTCCCGGCGGTTCGCACTCTGCCGCAACCCCTGCGCCAATGTGGAACGCCGAGCACAGCGGAAGGACACGGCTGCCTCCATTTTAGGCCCAGGAAGGACAGTGAACGCCCGACCGGCGATTTTTACTCCCCCTCGAGTTTGGGTTCTCTCGCGTGAAGCGCATCCTTTTTTCCGTTTTGCCATCGCGGCGCCAGTGTGCTCGTTTCCGCGGAAGCTGTGCGTGTGAAATCGCCAGAATTGCTTAATTGCACTGAGTTTTCCGGGCACCCCTCCCTTGTGCGGCCGTTTTGCACCCCCCGCAAAGTGACACTCCTTGAGTTTAGTGACGCCACCCCTTCTGTGCAATATAGGCAATTTGGGGGCCAGAGTGTGTGGAGATTGCTGGAAAAGGACACCCACCGAGGACAGCGAGGCGCACAGTTTTAATTGTTAATCAGTTGCGGTGGTAAAATCAATCGCGCGCGAAGGCGAAGTGAACGGAAACGCACAATTGTGTCATAAATTCTTTAGCGCGGGATTCTTTATCTAAAAATAGTTGTTGAGTGTGATCCTGACGCGCCCCGTTTTTTCTCTCACCCAGACACCGGATCAATAAAAGTCCCACCCCTCCGAAGCTCATCCACCTTGTGCGAGGGTGTTTAAAGCGGGTTTCTGCATATTTAATCGACAAATTGTGATTCAATAGAGGCACAAAACTGTCCTCTCGCCGCACGGTGTGCAGGACGAGACCAATTAAGTATTTAAGGAAGTGGGCTTAAAGTTGCACAAAGTCCCTTGAGACCTTTTTCGAGGAGGCGCGGAAGTGCGAGGGATCAAAGACAGTGAGAAGAGAAAGAGAGAGAGAGAGAGAGGAAATTTTGTGAAAATGGGCGGGTGCACATCGAAGGAAAAGAAAGATAAAACGGCAGACAATGGAACGACCGGCGGTGCAGAAGGGTGTGTATCAAACTCGATGGTATTCTTGGCGAGGTAAGTGCGGCATTGAGAGTTGGGCTCCTGTGCCGCACCGGATTTTTCCTTTCTTTTCCGTTGCTGATGGCTTTTCAAAGATCCCCAAAGTTGCATCCATGTTCTTTTGCGCGCTTCTTCAGCTGATCGAGCGGAATGTTTTTGTGGCTGTGTAGTTGATTTGGGAGAGACAGAGGCATTTAGTCCTTTAGTATTTGCATAAGGTCGGTGAAAAGGGGTCCGAGCAGGCGATGGCACAAAGGGGATGATCATGAGGGGTGAGAAATTTGTGCAGCTGCGCCAGAAATCACATCAGAAATATCATATTCGATTAATCATTGGTGTGCACAGTCGGAGGGATGAAAACATCCCAAAGGACTGTTCTCAGTTCCAATGGAAATTTGTATATGCTAATGACGAGAGGGAGAAGTTGTCCTTTTCCCTGTCACTTGCCTCCCCAACATATTCATCGATTGGCGCCCACTCCCATTTTTACGCATAGCATGAAATGCTCAGTGAAAATCAACAGACGAAAATAATTAAAAGTTTACACAATAGAATGCGGGGCTTCCATTGGTGGGAGGAAGGAAAATTATACCGATAACTTATTGCTAGTGTCATGAAATGTTTCATCGCACGAAGAGTCCATTAAGAAAGAGTTTCTTTTCAAATTGTCAAGCGACTTTTCAACTTGCTCCTCAATCTACTCCATCCATTCTTTAATGAAAATTTCGCGCGAAGACCATTTGTTGGGAGAAAGTTGCGAGGGAAGGAAGTGTGTAAACATGTTTTGTGCCAGAGGGGAAAATTGACGAAATTTTCTTTGCAATGAAATGAGCTTAAAGCACGCGATGGGCTCTCTGTCGCGACGTCGTAACAATTTCACGGCATGTCCAATTGTTCAACCGGCAGGAACAAATCCGACACCATGGTTGATGCTGCTACTCTTGAGAAGATGGAGGCTGGCTTCGCCAAGCTCGCCGCGTCTGACTCCAAGTCTCTGCTGAAGAAGTACTTGACCAAGGAGGTCTTCGACGCCCTCAAGACCAAGAAGACCCCGTCCTTCGGTTCCTCTCTGTTGGACTGCGTCCAATCTGGTGAGTTTTCTGCCCCGGCACTTGAGCGCATTATCACGCAAATTGATAAGATCGTGAGTTTGCTCTCAAGCTGTTTAATTAAACACTCTGGATTGGAAATGTTCAGTCGCTGCGAGTACTATTAGTGTAATTAATGTAATATTTGTGTTTGCCCGATTGTTTATCTCATATATTGAGTCACTTTTGACAAAATGCCAAGTCACTAAATTTCCTTATTTAAATATTTATTAGATTTCACTTGACTGTAAAATATATAGTCTGACTCAATCCAGATGTGGCAGCAAATTACACAGATCACGGCAGACATGTGCATGTTTCACTTGCGTTTCCACTAACGCTTTTCCCTTCTGTGCCCAGGATTTGAGAACCACGACTCTGGTGTCGGTATCTATGCTCCTGACGCTGAGGCGTACTCCGTGTTCTCCGATCTGTTCGATCCCATCATTGAGGACTACCACACGGGCTTCAAGAAGACGGACAAGCACCCGGCGCGCAACTTCGGTGATGTGGACACCTTCGGCAATCTCGATCCCGCCGGCGAGTTCGTGATCTCCACTCGCGTGCGCTGCGGTCGCTCCATGGAGGGCTACCCCTTCAACCCCTGCCTCACGGAGGCTCAGTACAAGGAGATGGAGTCCAAGGTCTCCTCCACCCTGTCTGGCCTCGAGGGTGAGCTCAAGGGCAAGTTCTACCCACTCACTGGCATGGAGAAGGCCGTGCAGCAGCAGCTCATCGACGATCACTTCCTGTTCAAGGAGGGCGATCGCTTCCTGCAGGCTGCCAACGCTTGCCGCTTCTGGCCATCTGGTCGTGGCATCTACCACAACGACGCCAAGACCTTCCTGGTGTGGTGCAATGAGGAGGATCACCTGCGCATCATTTCCATGCAGATGGGCGGTGACTTGGGACAGGTGGGTTAGACCAAAGCGCGCCCCATGAGGACCTCCGGCTAACCGTTTTGCATTTGCAGGTCTACCGTCGCCTCGTAACGGCCGTGAATGATATTGAGAAACGCATTCCCTTCTCCCACCACGACCGGCTCGGCTTCCTCACGTTCTGCCCCACCAACTTGGGCACCACGATCCGCGCCTCTGTCCACATCAAGGTGCCAAAGCTGGCCGCCAACAAGGCCCGCCTCGAGGAGGTCGCCGGCAAGTACAACCTGCAGGTGCGCGGCACCCGTGGCGAGCACACCGAGGCCGAGGGTGGTGTCTACGACATCTCCAACAAGCGCCGCATGGGTCTCACGGAGTACGACGCCGTCAAGGAGATGTATGACGGCATCGCCGAGCTCATCAAGATCGAGAAGAGCCTGTAAAGACACCCACAAAGCAACCACAAGATTTTATTTCATCTCTTTTTTTTTGCTGAAAAGTCAGGATAAAACATGTATTTCTATTTGCTACATTATTACTTCATAATTTGCTGTACACTAACTTTCAACTAAAGATCGTGGGATGTTGGAGAGAGGGAAGAAGCGAGAGCAGCAGCTCAACCGTCATCTTGAGAGCGCTGAACACTCACATGTTTCTTTCAAAAAAACACTGCGGTAGATCGATTTCTTTCTTGTTTCTCGCGACTCCACAACAAATACTTTGCAGTTGAAACACACGCAAAAGATACTCCATAATGTAGAGTGGAATAAAGGAAAGAAACAGCAAATTGTCATCTTTTCTTTCACGACTTTTCGCTTGTTTGGTGTTTTTCCGCCAGCGGAATTTAGATGGTAGGTTAGGCCAGCAACAAGATTAGTAAGATAAACCTTTTCGTGTTTCGCCGTAGGTTTTCATTTCCTTGCGTTTCCCTCGCCGAGGAAAAATGTGACTTAGAGAGGGCGAAACATTAGCAAGACAAGCATTTTAAAAGAGAATCCCTAGATATTTATTAGGCTTTTAACTTTAGTTATATTAATCTTATTAAAGAACGATGATAAAAGGATTAAGATTGAGGACAGCCGTTGGAATTGGAATGAAGAAGAATGCGAAGGATTAGTTAGACATCCAGAAGCACGATCATGAAGAAGGAATTAAAATTCAGAACTGGTTCAATGTACAGCCAAAAACTGATATAAAATACTTTTAAATGACTTCAGTCAGTTGTTGATGAAGATACTAAAACAAAATTCTCAATAAAATTCTGAAGACAGAAAGATATTTTTCTTTTATTAGCGACAAGCTTTCTCATGTTTCATGCAACACATGAAGATGTTTCAGTTTAAAAAGTACATATTTTCCTGTATGCAAAGTCTATGTTTCTAGCAAAGACACTTTTATCATAGACACAAGTCTCCAAATCGATGAATTTTGTTTATGTCGTTCCTTGTAGACTTTCTGGTTCGAACTAAAACATTCCGCGATTGTTTTAAAGATTTTAATATAAAAAAACAGCAAGTAAATTTTGAGTACAATTTATTTTCCACTGTGAATAAAATGTGTTACAATTTCTTTTTGACAAATTTTTTTTTTAAATTTATTATGATTACGATACAATTTTAATCATTATTAGTAGAAGGCATTTGTTTTGTAAATTCACTAAAAATTCGAAATTTCATAAGTGAAAATAAGAGAGAAAGAAATTGCTGGACAATTATCTTTCACCTTCTTAACGATGAATTGTGAAAATTGTGGTATAATCATATTATTATCAATTACAAAGTACTTTGAAAATTGTTATTCATCGAGTTTCAATGTAATGAGTGTTTTTCCCTTAGCTAAAGGCACATTAATTCAAAAATATCATCAGTTATATTTTCTTCTCACATTTTTTTATAAGCATGTTTAAATGTTTACAGGCTCTTTTCTTCATTCTCCGGAGAACATTTTTAACATCGCATCGTCTTTGTTACTCTACAAATATTCTGTGAAACTTCTTTTCAAACGGCAAAATTTCGGTAATATGTTAATTGTACGACCTTAAAGAGAAGACAGAAAAATATTTTATTATATTAAGAGTAGAAAATATATATCTCTTTATTTGACAACAATCTCTCTCAGAGGTTTTAATATTAAAAAAAAAAACAAAATAAAATATAGACACTATCAGAGACGTTTCTGTGATGTTAAAATTTTTGGGAATCAATGACTAGTTATCCACATAATGTTTTTTGAGGAGATTAACATGATTTTCAGAACATCTTTTCAGAAGCCACTCCATATTCTTGTGGAGCGCTTTTCTTGGCTGTATGATTTTCTCCATAGATTTTTTTCCACGTGATTTTTGTGCAAACAAAAATATTTAAAAAGAAAGAAAAAAAATTAATTAGTGTTAGAAACTTTGATAAGTTTTTGCACCCACCTACAAAACATAAAATAACTAAGAACTAATAGCAAGAAGGGCGTCTTCGGGCAGGGACGAAACGATAACGGGCAAGTGAAAGGAACTGGTTAGAATGAGAAGAGGACGCGGAACTACTTTTGGCTTTCTATATTTTCTCTACATAGTTTCCTGGGAAGGTGCCGAAGCATCCTGTCCGCTGAGACGTTCCCACGAACCATCCGTCGTCGCACTTCTCCAGAACGTACACGATGTCGCCCTCGTCCATGTCCATCTCGTCCGGATTCTGCGGTTTGTATTTGTAGAGAGCTCGATATCTGTAAACAGGACAGTTTCAATTGGGAGTCTTGAGAAGGCACAAAGCTTATAAAACACCTTATTTAAGACTTTCTAAACTCGCAAGAAGCGAATACAAAGCAGTAACAACACCTTTAACAAGAACGAGACCTAAACATTCTACCTACAATGGTTGTAGTCCAAGAGTGAGCGAAATACAATAGAAATTCAAAGTGTTAAGATACAGTGTTTTACAAATATTTGTTCGTAAGCAAGGATATCATTCGCACTTCGGAAGCCCCGCCCTCTCGAACGCCACGCCCCTTTGTTTGTTTTACTGCTCAAGTGATTTTTAGTGGCGATTTAATAAAAACTAGTAATTTTCCTGCTCGTCGCGTGCAGTCCTAGCAGACACCGACAAAGAAAAGTGAACTAAAGTGCGTAGGAGTTCATAGGAAAATAGTGAATTATGAGAAAATTGCCGCGTTCAGTGTTTAAGCCACACAGTTAATGCTTTTGTGTTTACAATCTATCATTTTCCACGCACATGTATTCTCAGGAGAGTGATTCAGTCAACTTACGGGATTGGGTCTGAGTTGGTGTCCACGTGCAGAACCTCCGTCTTCTTCACCGTCCTCGTTCCGCGGATGACGCCATTGTCGCCCACGACCGGCGCCTCGAGCTCGAAGCGCGTCTCGCGCGTGTACGGCGACACTTCCAGCTCTGGCGTGATGAGGGAGTGCGCCGCCGGCGAGCCCACGGGCTTGGCCAGAGGCACGTGGGCGTCGTCGGAGCCGATGTCCGTCAGCACCTCCACATAGGCCACCGGGAAGATGCCCTTCCGGTTGGCGATTCTGCCCTCAAACCAATTGTCGTCGACGCGCCGCGTGAGCTTGATCAGTTCGCCCTTGTTGAGCGACAGCTCGATTGCACTCTGCGCGTTGAAATTGTACTTGGCTCTCGCCTGGCCTTCTGCGGGCTTCGGTTTCGGCGGGCATCGGACGCCGTCTTTGGAGATTATCTGCAGAGCAAGAGAGAGAGAGAGAAAGTTACAGCATCACTTTGCTTCAGGTTTTCCACAACCTGCGACATGAGAGATTTTATTTTCATTATGACTTTCATTTGAGCATCATCAATACTCAACTCTTGACCCGCGATCGTGTGTGCATTTATGAGACACTCCATCATCATGAGATTTCTCTTGCGCTGCCGCTCTTCAATCATGTGCGCCATTCAGGTGAAAACTTCGCTCAATCTTCCACACATTTCACCTGATCGATTGTACATCTCATGCATTGTGAATTTTTCCGTGAAAATTATCTCTATTTTGGCGGGAAGACGTGCAAATTCATTCCACTGTCGATTTACAACTTTAAATACCGCGTGTCGGGGAAAGATCATCACCCAATTACTTTTCATTTCAAATCCATAGACCATTGTGTGGTGCTTTCTGCTATGAAATCATCGGTTCTCTCTCTTTCAATTTTCTCAATTATTATGCAATTGTGATGCATTGTTGAGAAAAAAAAACGCTTGCAATGCGGGAAAAGATTACCATTTGGCAGAAAATACACGCATAATCGCGGGAAATGAAAGTCATTCTACAAAGAAATATCCCTCAAAAGTGTATTACAAAATTGATGGATTGCTTAGAAAATTGTTAAGCGAAAAAGGAAATGAGGTGAAATGGACTCTTTGGGTTTCATTTCAATTTAACATCCCATTTCACTCACACATCTCATCTTCCATCTGAAAATTATCACTGCTCAAAGGAAGTCCAGTTCGTCATGAGTCGACAAAGAGGAGAATATTTTATGTGAAGTCACATGAAAATTAAATCATTCCCCTGAATGGCCTAATAAACTAACACGACATTCCCTGTACATAACCGTAGTTTTCCCCTTTCACATATGTATTTTTCAATCGAATCTTCATCCCTCCGCTTTGCCTTTTCCTCATCCATCCTCCGTGTCCGTCGTCTTTTTAATAAGCATACTGTGAGATTTAAGAGCGCTCCAGGAGAAAGCCCAAAAGCTTTGCTGTCCCAAGGGTGGATTTGGGGAGAGAAGATATATTGAGAGTGCTTCATAACCTTCACTATCCAGGGGTATTTTAAAAGCTTCAGAGAGTCGGATTGAATTTAGGGAAAAATCAATTTTAACTAATAAAGTAGAAGTAGAAGGATGTTCTTGAAGCACACAAAAATGCTGTATTTTTGGTAAATATTGACAATATCTGAGATTCTCTGAGGAAATGAGGGCTCACAAGAGTGAAAAGAGGCATCAAAGAAATCTCCAAGAGGCAAATAATTCTCCGTTTATCGGGAAACTTCCACGTGCTGTGAACAGAAATATCACTTACCTCTACATAATTCAGCGGCAAGAGTCCCAGCATGGCGTTGTGCTCTCCCTCGTACCAGTTCTTATCGATTTGGCGTCTGATGTAGATGATGTCGCCTTTCTTGAAGGACAGCTCCCTGCAAAGCACATCAGATTGCAGCCAGTGTCGCGGAAATCCCACTTGCCACTCACCTGGCAGATTGCCCCTGGAAGTTGAAGAGAGCTCTGGCCACGGTCCTGGGCAGGAGTTGCTTGCTGTAGTCGTCCGCGCCGAAGTCGTCGAATCTGTTGAGCGGAATCGGGGACTTCTGGTTGGGGTGCATGTCCGTGTGGCGGCGGTTGCTCATGTCCTGCAGCTCCTGCAGGTACTTCCTGCGCCTCTCCTCCTGGTAGATCCTCTTCATGGCCTCCGCCTGGCGCCGGGCCAGCTCGTCCTCCGCGATGGGGTCCTTGTACTCATACCTGATGGGACTGCGATAGTGGATGTTCACGTCCGACTCCACGTAGCGATGTGGTGATTCTTCAAGACAAGACGGGAGATTTTCTTAACTGCCAGTGATAAATAGTGGCCTTCTTGACCTCCTAAAGCGCTCTTTTGTGCGAATTAGATTCCCACAAACGCGCCTCGAATGTCAGTGAAATCAAAGTTAAATTTATATATCATTTTTGCTCCATCAACTAAATAAACAAACTATGCACTGTCTGAATGTTATTCGTTTAGTGAGAGAAAATATTCCAGCCAAAGAAGCGACAAAACATCGTCAATTCATTTAAACGCTGAAGGTTGGTTTTTCTTTGAACAACAGACATAAACTTGATAGCGTATATTTTGGACTGCGACTCTATTTGCAAATGCTAGAGAAGATATTTGTGGGATTCTCACAAAAAGTCAATTGAATGCTAAAGATTGTCCATGACTGCAGTTGAATTGCAAAGTGATTACACAACATTAGATTTGTGGGTGTTTTTTTCGTGTGTTTTCTGCTAGAAGCACAGCAAAGAAAAACACCGAATTTGGACTTGATCAGATTGAATTACGCTTTTTTCCGTGTCAAGTTTCAAGCATTTACTGTTTTCAAAATCACCAAATTATTCCATCGCCTCATCCAAATCTGTTTCACTCTATATTCTCGCGTGAAAAGACTTCCGTCAAAACGTCTTTGACACGAAATATCTCGCGAGATGGCGAGAAACAAATTATATGGTAGCTTTCTGTGTCTCGTCGCGGTGACGGAAAAAAGCGACACTCGAAGCAAGCAAGGGTCGAGGAGTGCAAATTGCGAAGTATATTAAATCTCGTGGCGGAGTAATTAACGTCTTGAAGATGAAATTTATACCCCAAGACTTTGTTTCAGCGCACGGTCATGTATTTGTGTTTAATTTCACAAACAATTGTCGCAATTGTGAAGCAAAGCGTGGAGAGAAACATAATTAATTTCATATAATGGCAACTCTTCCAGCGGGGCGCAATATTCTATTTGGTGTTGCCGAGAGAAAATAAATATAAGCCTCGTGGAAGAGGCTATTTGCATTTCCGGGGATTAGGTTCACTTCGCATGATTCAACCAGAAAGCAGAGAAAAACACACCGCTATGTTCAAAAAGTGTGCGAGATTTTCAATGCGACCGCAGAAAGTTATTTCAAATCCATGTTATTCCAAGCCAACGATAAAAGCTAAAAGAATCACAGTTTTTAGCTAAAAAACTAGCAAAATATCGCTAAACTGGATGCGCGCAATTCTTGGCAGTTCTTGATTAAAGCAGAATTAATCTAAGCAGAAGTACTAAAGTAAATCGTGAACTAATTTAACAATTTCTGGCCGACAATATAAGCAGAATTGAGTTAAAGTGTTAGCATTTCAAGGCCAAATTTCTACTCCTTAGCGATTATTGTTGACTGGAAGACACATTTTGAACGCAGAAGTCTTGAATTTGCTTAAACACTAATATTTTGCGTCTCGTGATTTCTAACCCATCATCTTGCTTGCCACACAGCGACTGTGTGATGCTCAAAGTCCTTCAGGGGCACACAAACACGGAATCAGAGGCACCAATTGCTGAAGATTGCCAAGTGAGGCATCAAGCCAGCAAGAAACTATCGATGGAATCAATGAATCGTCTCCAATGACACACAAACTAACGGCAACGAGTGTAACACACTGCGATCAATTGAGCCTCGCGGGTTGAGGATCGGGGAGGCGGCGGCGGCGCGTTTGTTGATCTTTTTGCCTCGATCGAGCCGTGCCCCAAGACGAATGGCATCAGCGCGCGCGTTTCGCGACCTAGTCAAGACGATGTGGCTGGTGCGACTGATCCGCGGAGATCGGATCTGCTGGAGAGCTCGCGCTGTCTCCCTCTCCAGCCTCATTCGGGCGCGCAGCATAATGCTGAATGGAGTGAAATTTATGTATGGCTTCGCGCCATCTCGCTCCCACCCGCGGCGGTCTTGGCGTGAGAGGAAATCGCGCAGAAAGTCTCACGTGGACGCTGATTGTACGTATCTCAAGTGGCCGCCGCGTGAATCCATTCAGTCTAATGGCCCATCAAGTGGGGGAAAAGAGAGACTCAACGAGGCACTTGTTTGGACAAAACGGCAATTCATTGCAATTTGTAGATCAAGTTTAAGCTGAAGATCGCGCTGATCTTCGCCAATTAGAGTGACAACGATTACTCTCACCGAATGTCGTGCTCATTCTGCCTCATCCAACTGTTTTTGTCCACTGCGCAAATTATCGTACGCGCCAAACGATTCAATTTAGATCGCTGGGAGAGATATTTTCTCTGCCAGCTTGCAGGTTTTCTCAATTTTTGTCATAATTAATTGATTATCCTCATTGGATGAATGAAAGTATCGCTTTTGTGAATTGTATTTCGTCTGAAGTGTGTCATTTTTCAGGCTAAAAACTAGCTGCTGCTTTAATATTTTGGAAATTGTATGGCTTCAATGTTGGCTATTCATTACTATAATGTATCGCTCTGAAAATTTAGTTAACCCATTGAATCTCAGCACAGTTATACGTGGGAAATGTCGGGCACATTTTTAAAAGGTCTGTTTTGCGGTGATTTGACTGACCCTTCAACTGCAAAATGTTTGCTTTTCATAATGTATTATTCGGTTCATGAATTTTCACAAACATTTCTGGCAAAGCCATTCATTATGGAATGCAATTAAACGTAACTCGCCAGTTTGCGTGTTTACTTTGCCGTCTTTTATTGTGTTTGTCATATTGAAAAAAAAAATCTGTTATTAACCCTCTTCCCACATTTCATACCAATTTCACATTGTCGCTCTTTCCACTCTAAACGGAACGCATTAAATACATTTGCATAGGTAAATATCCCATTGCATAATTCACAAGAACAAGTGTCTCATGGTGGATCAATTAGAAGTACTTGAATCTCAATAAATTCTCTCTTCTTTCGCCGTGAAGCATTATGAGAACAATCGCATAGAAGAATGTTCTTCTCATGTTAATTGACTCGTTCATCTTCTCGTGTATTTTCTTGTTACTTTTTATCGCAACTCGAGAGAATGTTTGCAGTGCTATTTACCATTTAAAGAAAATAACTCTGGAATTGTTCTCTCTCTATCGCGTTGTGGAGCATTTCACACAAGTGCGAGATAAATGCGGTGAAAAGCTCAGCGAGGAAAGTTCTCCAGCGCGACACACACTCGTAATACAGAGGCAATACTGTAATAAAGTTTGAGGCGTCTTTATTATCTCCCTTATTTCGATTTAATTTCAATTTAATTTGCCGACAAAGTGAGTGCTCAAGAGCAAAATGACATTGCGTACGAGTCGCTGAACCTGCGATTCTTCTCAAGAAAGTCGCCGGCGAATTGATTCACTGATAGTGCGCGCTTCGCCAGTGACACAGCCTCAGTCATCCAAAGTGCCGCCAATGTCTGCGGTCGTGATTGAATCATAATCTCTCGCACTTTGTGTACTTCAGTGATTGTCTCTGAATAACCCTACAATTCCGTGTTCGCGCTTTTTTTCCCGCTCTTGAGTTGATAAAAGAAGTCCCATCTTCACAATCTCTTTTACGGCGCCCCATAAATCTCTCTCGGGCGAATATTATGATGAGAATTCATGGCTGAGAAGTACACATAACAATCCATATTATCTGCTTAACAGTTCCTCCCGCTGGATATTAGAGCAATCGTTAGTGTGCAATAAAATTATTTTTATTATCGACGGCCTGCGAGGGTGCCTCTGCATTCATCTGCGGGCCTCAACTGTTGAGACAGTAAAAATTGATTGACCTGCTTTCTTGCCAGCCACTGTCATCTTCGCAACTCTCCGCCGAGCAACAAATGCGCCTCTGGGGCACCGGGAACAGCGCGGGGTGAAAGTCATCTCGAAAACACACACACACGAACACATCTTCGCGGCGATTTATGCAGCAGCATGAAATAAATTAATGATAAAGAGTGCGGTAGACAAAAAAGATCAATATTTTCACTTTTCCCCATAATAAAGATGGAAGGAACACGTTTTACAGCCATAAAAAATCACCATCATCTAATGTGAAAGAGAGTCTGATGGAAATCAAAAGTGAATTTTCGATTTTTTTTCGCATTCAAATCGCTATCAATTGGGAATTATTTTCACTTTTCACGCTTATCAAAATGTTTAAAAAAAAATTAGTGTGTTGAAAACGCTAATGAACCTGATGATTCGAGCACGTTTCAATTATGTTTCACTTCACACATTTCTATGTATTTGCGGACAGAGTTGAAATTTTGTAGATAACACAATTCAAGGGGGGAAATGTCATTAAGCAGAAATGCAATTTAATGCTCTGCTCAAGTGTCTAAGGATTTTATCCCTTGATTTCATGACTGTTTCATAATAGCGCGAGAGTCGAGTTCCCGTGATTCCCGTGCGAAGGGGCAATTAGAGTGTCAGAGGAGAATTCGGCACAGAGTATACTAACTGTACGGAATGGGTCCATAAATAATTGGCCGAGTGGATGCGTCGCTGAGTCTGAGATCGCTCTGAGTGGAGCTCGCGAGTCCTTTGTGCCCGCCAAATCCATTATCGCGCGGCGGAGTGGGCGAGCGCTCCGCCGCGACATCGTTGTGATTGTAATCGGATATGACGGGATTTGCATGAGTTATAATGTACCCGAGGGACTCCTGACCCGCCAATCGATCGCCCATCTATTTAGTCACACACTTCACTGGCTCACAACAATCACCGGTCACGCTCCACGGGCGCTTGCACGCAGAATCATCACACACAATTCGGGGGCTGTTGTGGGTGAGTGGGTGGGTGGCGGAGTTTGCACCTCCTCTGAATCTCTGAGTCTGTTTACTTTTCTCACTTTACAGCTCCGCAATGTGGACTGTCTTATCGGGTGGGGACATTTTATCACTTTGCCACAAACGTGAGAGTGCCTGTGCTGACGTCAGGGCAAATAAAATTCGATGGCATCTCACGTTGTTTGGCGAACAAGTTTGGGTTCTGGATGTCACCTAATTGAATTATAAACCTCACAATAACCACCATGGGTGTCTCCAGTCACCTTTCTTGCACTTGGTCACTTTATGGCTCTCACCCTTTCGCTCAGCGGCGCAAAACATCCCGCACGAGATTACATTTTCCCGGGGCCAGCTTAATGAGATTAAAACTCAAGTTTAGTCTCGTCGCTCCCACTCACCGGCGACGGTTAATCACTGAGCAAATACGGTTGGCGCGCGGGAAAAAAGGAGGCCAGATGGAGGCACATGGGAAAATGGTGGAAATTCGTTCCATGTGGAAAAATAAAATATTCTCTCGTGCGACATACGAACGCCGAGAACTTGTCTCTCAGGTTAATTTATTATTTATTTTTAATTTGCCTAAATCCCATGGGGATTAAAGAGGTTCCGCTCTCTTTCGCTCCCTCCGCCGCCGGCGTCCGCACTAATATTTTATTCGAGGACCGGACTTTGCTGAATTATTGAGCAAGAGAAATTCAAGATGATGATGGACGTTTTTTCATAAATTATTCAATATTCACAAGTTCCCACAATTTTATCCACACAAACACACACACAAAAACAGCCCTTTTTCCCGGTGAAACCTCTTCATCCACTCGTCACCTCTCCGCGCGCGCAAGCAGGGAAAATTCCCCGTGGAAAACTGCAGGTAAAATCCCCCAACTCAATGGCACACGGATTGCCGCGAGACGTCGCGAAACACTCCCACACCTGGGCAAACTGCAGTGGAAACTGAAATGTGTCGTTGTCAGAAAAAAGCGTATTTCTCGGTTTTCGATTGTTTTGAGCTTGCGGTTTCGCCGGAAAAAAATTACCACGAGTCATAGAGGCAATCGCGAAAGAAAACATTGTATTCGAGGAAGACAATAACCCAGTTGAACATGCAGAGCAACAGCCAACGACTGAAATTGTGCGCACTCAGACGCTGTTGAGTCAGTGCTTCGGTTATGCTAATAAAGATTGGGTAACGCGATAGAGATTGCCAATTTATCAGCTGAGATACATAATACATCATTGCGACGTTGTGCTGAAGTTGCCAGAAAGACACTGCGGAGGCAGAAAAGGTACATAGCATAGCTCTAAATAACCATTAGCACAATAGTTGCGATCAATGGCAGAAAAACACTAAACTTCTGCACAAGCATTCGGTTTTTGTCTCTTCGCGAAATAACTTTTTTTTAGCAGTTGTAAAGCCATTCTATGTCCACCGGGAATTAGAGTTGCTTCTTTGGCTTCTTAACAATAATAATAAAAAAAAACTCCCACCTTTCCTCTCCCAATTGTATTACACACTCAGAAAATGTCTCTTTTCATATTTCTCTCCAACTTTATAATTAATGGGTATGTTTTCTTTCTATCCTCAGTAACATGTGAGAAAAATTCCCGCTGTCTCTTTAACGCCACGAAATTGAATCCAACGGTGTTGGGATTAATTAAATCCGACACATTCAGTTCGCAAAGTGCGCTGTATTACCAGCAAATTGATTTCCCATTTGAAGTGATTGCCAAGCTGAGGACAATGCTAAATGGAATTTCGCACGTGGCGTATGACTGTGTTTTTTGGCTGCTTCCTTAACTGGCAAAAGCACAAGCTCTCGGTGAAGTCACATAAGCAATCATCATTTGCACCTTGAGGGGATTTTTTCTTCATTGGCAAACGCACACACACACATCACATCAAAGCCATGCAGAAAAGCTTCTTTGCGCCGCCTAAGGGATTGCCACAAAAAAAGCCCGCCTGATTCGCATGGGAAATGATTTTCTTCTCGTTTCTCTTAATCCACAAATAACGAGATTAAATCCTTGTGATGCTCAAAACGAAAATTCCTCACAGTTATATGGGTGTTTTTCTCATTTATCGCAACTTTTTTCCCCCCAACTCTAATGAGAAAAAGTCCGAGTGTGATGAAAAGTCTAATAGCGTTAATGCAATTTACTCTCTGTGTCTCTCTTACCTGGGCTCTGGAGATTGCCATTCAATGGGACGCCCTTAATGGGTGGCGGTGGAGGAACTACGGCATTTTCTACACGGGAAACATCCATCAAAAATGAGGAGGAGGGAGACAGAAAAAAACAGGCAAAACAGAACATAAATATACATACGAAATAAATAAATAAAAGGGGGATAAGATTAATTTATGGGTGAGAACAGCTACGCAAGGAGAAAATAAAGGGAAAAGGTGAAAATTAATACCTTAAGAGTAAAGTGGAAGGCAATGTTCTTTCTGTGTTAGGAGAGGCGAAAGGGGCGATTACTTATAAATCTCTCTGCGAGAATGGGTTAAGACTGAGAGTATGGGATTAATAAGAAGTTGCTCATGAGAGTCCATATCAACTTAACATTTCTTTCACTAGATAAATCAATCAAGGACTTATGATTGAGGAGGTGAAGAACTTGGCAAAGCCAAGGGATTATTATCAGCATAGAGAAAATCACTTAAGCTTGAGGGAGGAAAAACTTCGGGGGGAAAATAGCATTTCCAAACTTTAAATTCACAACGATATGGAAGCTCAATGAACTCTGATTTGACCTACAAGAGTGAGTGGAGATAGAGTAGAATTTGTGCTGATAGTAAGTTTTTGTGCTGAGGAAGTTTCTCGTGTGACCTAAATTGAATTTAATTGTCGTGTGGCGTGTCGAATGTAGAAAAGAAAAGTGTGTCCACCTTGAAATTTCACTGACGGTTTCCGCACATTTCCGTGGATTTTCTGCCAAAGCGCCTCCGCTTCGCGTTTCATGTCGGGCACATAGCGTGACTTGGGCCTGTGAATCAGCGGATCGAACTTCTGGTCCGCGAAGACATCGTAGAAGGGTCTGAGGATCTTCGCGGCCAAGGATTTGGTGCGCGGAGGCGACGTTGAGCTGGGTCTGGAGTCGCGGCGCTTCAGAGACACGCCGTCAGACGTGAGTTTGCTCTTCGCGTAGAGCGATCTGGCGTTGTCCTGCGGCCTGGGATAGCGATGAGCGACCCAGGGACCGGTTAAGTATGACGAAATGTCCTTCAACTCCGTGATGTCCGGAGCAGAGGTGTACATCTGGCCGAGGAGGGACATATCTCGGTTCTCCTCGAACTTGTGGCGAATCTTCTCCACCTCGCCTAGCTTAATGGGAGCGTCAGGCACAGAGATGCCGTTCACAGGACTCGTGCGCTTGATCTCGCGCCTCAGCGAGGCCGTCTTGCTGATGATGTCAATGTGAGGCATGAAACGACGATCATCCCTTCGGAAAGCCACCTTCTGGATGGGAGAGGAGGTCCTGCGAGTCCTGCTGCGGCTCCTCTCAGCAACTGCGGCAGCGTTTCTGGTCTCAAACTTGTGCGTGATCCAGGAAACGTCGCCCATCTCATGATCTCGGACCGTAGTTTTGACGGGGCTTGCGCCCCGCTCCCCTAAAAAAGACTTCGATAAGTCTGGATCGCTGCGAAAGCGCCGGGGCTTTTTGGGAGCCCCCGCGACTGGGGATGGACTTATGCTGAGACTCTCAAACTTGTGCCTCATCTTCTGAACATCTCCCGTGCAAACCATGTTGAGATAGCATCTCTGCAGGCCATCGCTGTACTCCGGTGAGATGCTTCTGGACCTCAGCGAGACACTCTCAATGCTGACAGTGTTGGACAGGGATTTCTCAGGTGAAAATCCCCTCGCTTTTGTTGGACTCTTAACTGGCGACACCGATCGAGACTTCTTGCTTGTGTAATTGCTCACCACAGATGTCTTCTCTCCAAAAATCTCCCTCAAATCCGTGAACGACTGCGAAGCTTTCATCTCTTGCTGCAGTTTCTTCTCAGCTTCTTCTTGTCTCTGCTTCACTTTCTGCTCAACGATCTTCATGACTTCCTCCTCGTCTGGCGATGAATCTTCCCTGGCGTGATAAATTGTACTTCCAAGTGAATTGTCATTCTTCTCTTTCTCCTCAAAGTACTGAATTTTGTTCTTAATGGCGTCTCCAGACATGTAGATAACAGTTCTGTTGGAAGCTTCAGAAGATCCACTCTCTGTCTCGCATTTGGAAGCTGGACGCTGAGAAGATTCCTTGACAACAATGTGCTGAACTGTCTTCTTGTCACCAGCACGCAAGGATTTGGTTTGAATTTTCGACACGGACTTCACGGCATCGCCTTCTGAAGTCGACTGAACGGTTTCTGTGAGCTCGAGGGAATAGTAAGGTCTTCCCGGCAGAGATTCCTTAGCGCTCTCAGCTGCAATGGCGCCTCGGGTTTCCTTTCCCGCCACAACAGACGGAGAAGCCATTCTTTGGCGACGCTGAGCCACGATGTCCTTAATCTCATGGCAAAGTGACGCAGACAGGCGCTTCTTCTCAACCTCTGTCAAGTGATCGCGATCTGCGGATCTCGTGAGGACATTCTCAAACTTGTGAATCACCTTCGACACTTTGTCCTCATTGATTGAACTTATGGATTCGGCTTTATCCAGCGCTATTCGCGCTTGATGGCGCTTCAGAACTGGCGTCAGAAGCTCCTCTCGAGACACCAGAGAGTGACTCCTGACAGTCAAAGGAGTCGACTTCTTCTCCACACTTAATGGCGACGCAGGAACAGTGACGACGTATTTCTCTGAGATTTCCTCATACTTATTTTCCTTTTTCCCGCCTTCTCCTGGGCCTGAACTGTAGATTTCATTCAACTGGTGCTTCAGCTTCGCCACTTGATCCTTGCTCAGCGTGCTGACGAGTTTGCGACTGAGTCCGAAGCATTTGTCCTCTCGCAGCTCAATTTTCCGAGGCAGTTTTCTAGCTTCGCCAGGATTGTACTTGATAATCATGTTCGTGGCCAGATCTACGACAGAATTGCCGCGCCAGAAGGGCTTGTAAGTGTCCTTGTTCGATTCAATTTCTTGTCGCTGATCCTCATCGGGAAAAGTCTGTGAGGCTTTCTGCTGAAACATTTCTCTTAAATCTTCCACTGACTTTTCCTTGATTCTCAATCCCGGCTCGAGATGTTGATTCCACCTAAGATCCTCGACGTCTTTGGGACGGAAAAGGAGATCTCTCTCTTTCTGCTCCTGCTTAAGCTTCCCCACCAGGAAATTGAGTTCCTTCTCGGCCCTCTCATGAGCTCGAATCTTTTTCCACAAATCAAAGTCAATTATCTCTTCCTGTCTTCGAATTGGCCGAAGATCTGAGGAAGAAGTTGCTCTTTCTAATTGGCCAACCCTTTCAAGATTCGAGTAGAATTTGTTGAGTTCCTGGAATCGCTCGGATCTGCCATGATTGCAAGCGGGCGTGTGTTTTTCAAGCGTGTTCAGAGAAGTCGAACTGTGGGAGAGTTGCTCATTCAAGAAATTCCTTCTCGCTTGCTCACGATCTGCACTGTTGAGGCTTTTGGCGCGTGTCACGACTTTGGGAGATCTCTCTGTTGAGGTCTGTGTTGTCGATCGGAAGCTCTGGATGCGCCGACAAGATGGAGATCTTGTGCTGCTGCGTTTCTCTGATGACTCTCGATAGTCTGTCACACTTCGGCGTCCGTGGATGACGACTGGGGAATTCGGTCTCACGATCTCCGTGAGAACTGTGCTTCCCGGAGGTTCACTTCGGCTCCTCTCTTGGTAGCTGTAATTGAACTCCGTCAGACTGCCGAATTCCTCCTCCTCGTCGGACAATTGGTAGAACGAATCAAACTTGCTGATGTGTTCGTACGCTAAGCGTCCAGGACGAAAGATCCTGACTGGACTGAGGCTTCGGGATTGGCGAAAATGCTCCCTCTCCAGCATCTTGAATTTCGACGAGGTCACGGGCTGTTTCTGGATCAAGTAGGAATTCAGCGGACGCAGAGACGGTTCGGATTTGGTGGTCAGAGTATTCCACAGGCGAACCTTGTCCAAGACTGTGCACGATCGAATGGGAAGTGTGGTGGGTTGGAAGTCGCGAAGGAAGAGATTTTGGAAGAAAGAGTCTGTTTTGATGGCATCTGAGTGTTGTCTGATCGATCGGTTGACGGAATTTCGCAATTCTCTGTGCTTCTTCTCAATTTCATCCTTGAGATCCACTTCAAATCTCACAATTTCACTCTCCACGCGCCGCAACTGCAAATCATCGTCCGTCTTCTTCTGATCCTTCTTCTTCTGCTTCTTCCCGCTGATGGGAAATCTCGTGATTGTCGTGGGACGAACTGGTGTTCGTCGTTTCGAGTTTGTTGAGTCGATCGAATAGGTCGAGCTTGTGCGAGCCAAGCTCAGGTTCGAAGTGGACTTACCCGTGCTTTTCGTTGACTTCAGCAACGATGACTTCAGGGCTTTGGTCGTGATTACTGGCAACGCCGCTCTTCCCACTGACCGGCCTCGAGTGCCCGCGGGAGCCTTATGAACCGCCTTGCTCGAAGATGAAAGAGCGAGGGAAGTGCGACTAGAGGTCTTCGGAGTGACACTGCGACTGGTTGTGATGTGAGTCGTAGACTTTGTAGTGCTTCCTCCAGTTCCCGGTTTAATCTTTCCACCACGGCCGGATTGGATAGTAGTTCCGGGCTTATCCTTGACGGGCAGTATTCGAAAGGTGTTCTGGATGGCCTTCTTCACCTCATCCGGCGACTTCACGTCGCTCTTTCGCAGGATTCTTGTTGTCACATTGCGAAGACGCCGACACTGCGGAAGGGCTTCCTCAAGGCGCTTCTTCTCCTCGGCGAAAGTGCGCTCCTTGGAGATACTCCGCCCAAAGGCGACAGGACTGGGACTAGATCTGCGCACCTCCGACGAATGCGATCTCGGAGACATGCTGGATGAGTAGGATCGGCAGATTTGCTTGCTGGCCTGAATTCTCGTGCTGTTTGCGAGGTTCTTCTCCTCCTTGATGCTCGAGGCGGAGTAGGTGGACGAGGCGGACTTGGATCTGCCCTTGGCGGTTGTGGTGGAGCTGAAGCAGGCCTCGTGGTGACTCCTCGGCGACGTCACCTTCGCCTCCGAGAAGAGCTTCAGCGTGGAGTTGAGCTTGCTGGACTTTCGGCTCGGCGGCGCCGGCGGAACTGTCGGCACAAAGGACTTGACTTCTTTGGGGAAAGCCCCGAACATGTCAATGGGCCGTGTGACACTGGTGATGGGATAACACACGACTTGGGTGGCTTTCGGCTGTGGCACTTTTCGGTGGACGCGTATTTTTGTGAGGGTCGGCGTGATGGGAATGTACTCAATTTCCGGTTCTGCCTCATCTATCCGCAAGAATAGAAAACGCGTTAATGGGCATTCAAGAGCATCGCCGCAGACACAATGGCATCTCTCTCTCTCTCTCTCTCGTCTTACGTGGTGGCAAAAGTGCTTTTCTGTGCCGAATTTCACTCTGTGTGCTCCGCATACAATTGCCAAGGAAAAAAGCTATTCAAACACCCCCTACAAATCCTCTTATTAGACATTACTTGGGTGTGCGACTCAATTGTGATTTTTCACTCCACACTGTGTCGCCTGGCTGAACCCCTTCACGTGTGTGTTTGTGATTGATTTTGCTGCTCACCCAGTTTTGGGGACTCAGCGCACGTCTCCACACGAATCCCTGTGCTCAAACTCAAGACCAAGAGTGTCTTCCTCTTCAATTCACTCTGTGTGCGGGGTGATTTCAAGGTGCTCATGTGGTGTGGGTCAGTGTACTGATATGGTGTTGTACAGGAGTGCATGATGGCGAACGCCAGTAAAATTCAGTGGCCAACATAAAAATAAAGACTCTCCACCAGGTCACAATCCTCGTAAACCCTCATGATGGCGCAAGAAGCATGTTATGATCCCATTGGATATTGGGAGTCGGGTGAATGAGGAATTTACAGTAAATGCAATATGACTATGTATTAATAATGTCAATACACCTCAAGTGGCTTTGTGTACCCTCCGAAAGATACTTTGTAATCCTCTCTCTCTCACTAGCAGAGAATCCATTTATATTACCGGGTTAATTCATTCTACTTAATCACATTCTACGGGCAAAATCTTGCATAAATCTAATCAATTCATATATAGAGGGCGAAAAGTGGGTGAATTATTAAATACCAGTGTTAGTATCTACTCTTTTGGCGGATGGTGAAGGATAATCTAATTAACACGTTCCTTATTTAATAAAACAAGTGATATAACTACGTGTCGAGCATAAAATATACATTGTGGCCTAATGCAAAGTGCGAGAAACAGCCAAGAACCATACCTTTTTGAGTCTCAACGGGCCACAATCTCTCAATATCAAATTATTATATCCCCAAACACCATGAAATCCGATTAATTTCAATATTTAACGAAGGCGAGATGTGGGAAAAAAAGTGTGGAAGCTGGAGTGTTGGTAATTAATTTTGATTGATTGATTGCAATTCGGGGCAAGAGTGTGAGGAACTCTTCGACTCACCCTTTGGTTTCTCGGGCGCCGGCTTCCGGAATCCCTGAAGTGGTGGTTCGCCGCCCGCCTGAACACTCTTGTACGCTTGCTTCTGCTCAACAGGACTCAGAGGTGTCAGGGCGACATCATTGCGCTTCCGGAAGACAAGTGAAGAGTCGCTCTCGTAGCCCTGCTCCTTGAGTGCCCTGCACGCAAACACGGATATCCGTTAATTTATCCAACGACACACTTGGGCTGAGCTTTAATCTCAAGCGCACTGAATCGTTTGCACTCACCTTGATAGGTATCCTTGGCTGTAGCTGTTGGCCATGCGTTGCTGCTCCAAATGCTGCAAACAATCCCGGAAAGAGATAAAAGAAATCCCATGAAATCTCTCCCTTCCAACTATTGACATAACTTTCGTCTTTGCTCATCGATAAACAGTCTGAAACTTAAAGCTCTGCAGTCACAAATCTTCACAAAAGATCCTGACAGAAGTCTGTCACTTTAGCGGGTTAATTAGCATTGAGCAAAAAGCATGATTGTCCTGGAATTCCACACAAAACATCACATTCTCGCAAACTTACAAATTTATGCACTTCTCTGGCAAACACAATGCTGAAGAGGGGATGAGTGGAATTTTCATCCAACCACTTTTCCATTGGCAAATGAATATTTTCCACGGAAAGGGAGTGGCAACACAAGTATACGCACCAAAGTTAATTGCCCAGCAGCAGAAAAAAAAGACCATTTGGGATGTCGTTATAAATTTGATTTTAGTATCATTTAATCAGATTATTGACACACTGAAAATTATTAATTTGCTCAGTGCGCCGGCAGAGTTTTCATTGTGAAGGGAAAAATATATATACAGACGAATTAATAAAATATCAATAAACACAAATATGTAGAAATTAAATATATATTTTTTTTGTCCGCTCAATAAATATCGATAAAGAGTGGTAAATTTTGCAATTAAAATTTTTTATTTGCTTACACAACGGCAATATCGTGCGAAAAAAATACATGCATGGACACATAAATTTATGATTTTATATTTAATCATCTGCCACACGACTTTGTTGGCTTATCGGATGCATATTTGTGTGTATTGACGGAAAAGAGTAAACATTTTTAGTGCAAACAAGTGAAAATTATGGCTCTGTTTGTGCTGGAATTCAAACTAAGTCAAAAAATTAAAAAAAAAAATCACAGTCGGGCCTCGAAAGTGTGCGGGTTGTTTGAGAGTGAGAATGGTTAAAACAGGTGCAATTCCTCCCCTGTGAAACACCATCAATTCTCTATCGCAATTTTAAGGGCGAAAGTTTTGAAATTAATTTTCAAATGGCCATTAATCAAGCGCAAGGGAAGAGTCTCTGTCTTAACCATTTGTGTTGGATGAAATGGGAAGAACAGAAATGTGATAAAAATCGTACCCCATCAAAGATATCCATAACCTCGTCCCACCACTAGAATGAAAATAAGAAATGGATTAATTTTGAGGATGATAGAATGGGACATTGAAATGTGCCGAGTCTGTAGCATTCTATATACACACAGTCTTTCAACCATCCATCAAGTCACGCCATTCAACATTTAAAGCGAGAAAAGTGGAGAAGAATTTTCCCTGAAATGTTTCATTGTGCATCACTTTGGGATTAGACCATGAAAAGTGTCACAAGGAGAGTTTTTAAGTCACATCCCGAAACCTTACACCACATAGAAAATATTACGCAATGACATTCTGCTAAAAACCTCTTCTTTTGGGGACTTCAGACTGTCTGACTAAATGGAGTGAAATGCTCAAGTGAGCGCTTTTTACAGTCACTTTTCGGTGAAAATTTTGGTAAGAAAAGTGTTCAATTGCCCCTAAGAGAACAATTTTTCTTGAGAATTACGACAAAAATGAAGGCTGATGAGAAAACATAACCTCGAAATTGCCTCCAAAGCTCTAAAAATTTTTAAAGAGAGACAATTTGAAGAAATATAAGTATTTTCAAATGGCAAATTGTGGCATTTAAAGATCCTCTGAATTTCCACACAAAATGGCAAGAATTTAGCAGAATGCCGTCGCAAGTTTATGTCTCTCGCAGATTCAACTATAAGCACTGGTGCACTATCTGCTCACCTCTCTCGTCTCCCGCTCAGACACAGAAGAGCGTCCCGGCGTGTAGTTCTCAATCCTTCCCGGGTGATTGCGATAGGAAGTCTGTCCTGACCGAACGGGATTTGGCATTGTTCCATACGACCGACTGCAAATGTAAATACACATCAATAAATCTCGATGATCTGTGCGTTTTGCGGCCATGGCCAATAAATTCCAGCCCACCTGTCATCGTATTGACTTCCGGCTGATGGAGTGCGTCTTCTGTCCAGGGTGCTGTATTTGAACGAGTAGTCGGAATCATAGTTGGGCTCCGGCTCTGACATGTACCCATTGGCTCTGTACGGATATCGGCCTGCATCGCAACGTGGTTTTTTCCGCAATCGTCGGGATTTCACCCAGAAACAACAGAGAAATGATGGGAGAAGAGTTAATTTATGGCGTCGCATCTCACTTTTGAAAATATGCGTCGAGGAACATTAACAGAGACAGACATAATGGCACACACAGAAAAAAAGAGATGGTCTTTGCGAGTGCCTCAACCGGAGGAAAAGTGGATGAAGAAGTCAATATTTAGAGGAGAATCCGCAGCCAGAAAATTGCAACAATTAAAGTCTCTGGGGGCAAAAATGTGGAGTTCAGTGTATAGAATTGCACGATTCATTGTCTGAAATTTGCTGCAATAAAGCATCTAGTGCTAAATTTAATGCTCAAAACGTGAATATTTGCCTTTCTTGCCGAAATTCGGGTTAATATGCTTTGTATATGAAGTCACAAGAGAACAGAATGGATTTGCGAGCACTTCCCACATAAAGCGTTATTGAGCCATTAAGTGTGATTAATTTTTGATGCACAATATCTTCTGACTGAACCCAGAGAAGATGAAAGGCTTTGGCGGATGTAATTTTAAATTCTGCCACTCAAAATGTGATAGTAATCGCGCGGTATTATTTATTCAACCTATAAATTGGGGAAATATTTTTAGATTTCAGTATAATTTGGCAAATTTCGTCATGAATAATCAAAAATGTGAATTTTCAAAATTTTCCATGCTCAAATGGGTGAAGATTGTACAGAATAAACGTCTTTTCTGCTTCTTTTTTTTCTTTCCCCCCTGGAGAAAGACTTATACTTTGAGCACACAGTGGAAATTCAAAGTTAAATAGAAGAATATTAAGCCAGATAAATAGTGAGTTTCTCAGAAAAGTCTGCAAGTTCAATACGACTTCACTGAGCAGGAGTAAAATATGATTTTTCTGCATGAATGTGAAGCAGAGAAAGCCAAATCTGGTGTGTTTTGTTCAAGGTTTTGTCGGATATCTCAACAAAAAGCGTCTCGAGATCCAATTTCTCGATGACTCAAGGAAAATTATATAAGCGGAAATTGTTTGTGAGAATTCCATCTGGTTCTGAGAAAGAGCGATGGAAAATTCAATGTTTGAGATTTTCATTTGTGAAACTTCCTCTGGATAATTTGACTTTTATGGTTCAATTCGATAGTCAGTCAATAATAACTATTACTTCTACACATCGTCTTACTGAAGCAGATCTGCGAGAAGTTTCTGAAATTTCCCTGAAGAATTGAGTTGTGAAAATTCATTCGGCGTTTGGCAATGTGGCGAAAATTGATTAAATAATCCAATTCGTGGATGAAAATGACATAATTTGTTGGCTTATACAGCGGAAGGAAGTGCAGAAACAATTTCGTTAGCAATACCATTAGTTGGCATTGTATATAAAATTTTAATTATTTTTCAGTGCTGTTTTTTGCAAGGAGAACAAAATGAAATAAATAATTGAATTTTATGAGTGCGTCTGCTCTGAGTTTTTCCCATATCTATGCTCGAAAATTTGTATGTAAAATGTATATAGATAATAAACAAAGTGTATCTGTGTGTGTGTTTTCGGGAAAGCTGAAAACTTCTGTGGAAAAAAAGGTAATTTTCGAGTGTGTATAATTTCCAGAATGCAACATTCGGTGTGTGCAATCGAGTGTATAAAATGTATTTATGAGAGATGGTGTAAGTGAAAGAGATAAATGGTAGAGAGAAATTATTTAAATTATATATCAAAATGTAAAAATGTAGAATAATATTTCACCTCGCCGAGTTTTGTAGCGGACTGTCACATAATCATCTGCAAATGAAACAATTTTTGGAAAATTGTTATTAATTAAAAGAGAAATCGTCAATTTTGCGTCCCTTTTGTGTTCTCTTTTTTTTGGTTACAATAAATTACAGTAAAAAAATCCAACAAACAAAACTTTTGCAATACAAATTGGTAAATATTTTAACAAAGGGAAAACTGTGGTTTTAATTCAGAAGCAAGCCAAATGTATCAATGTATATTTAATTAAATAAAAATAGCAAAAAAAGCACTCAACTCACCGTCATCTTTGGCTTTGTGAATTGTATTGTAGACTTTTTTGTACCATTTTGACTGATTATCTTCTCGAATCTCCTGCAATATTGAGAGAAGAGCAACAAAACACACTTCAGCTCGCTTTCTTCAGCAATTATCAAGGCAATTGTTGCATACGAACCGATCTGAGAACCAGTGGCATGCCTTCCTTCACTTGGTTGACACTGTCCACCTGTCTGGACGCCACTTCCGTCATTGTGTTCCTGCCAAAGTCGCAGCCGGACTCTGTCGAGTTCTCCTGCCGGATCGGGATGATTATTTCATTGGGCTTCCTCGCTTCCTGGCTCACTTTCGACGAGCGCTCCTCTGGAATGGGGACAAGAGTGTAAATCATTAGTCACTGGGCTGTTGCTGGCGCGGGAAAGCACAGAGGGTGAGAGCTCATGGCAAGAAGAACACACACACAATTTACATTTAGATTAAGAGCGGCTGCTTCGCGCACAGCATGAGTGTTACTTTGGAGGAAAGCTTGCTCGAAAGCTCGCCGGCAGAAGGAGACGACGATGGGGCGGACATGCAAGAACTCCACGAGGTCCTGAGGCTTTACCTCGCGCCTTCTGCAGCAGCGTCATGGTGGGATTCTGCGAGCGCGGCAGCTGCGTGGTGCCGAGGCGATTGATGCTGGGCGCGGAGAAGGACTGCGCCAGGCGCTGGACGGAGTTGCCTGGCGCGGGCATCTCCGGGGCGCTCTCGCCGCCCGGCTGCTTCCACGGCGGTTCCACGGGCGGCGAGAGGGGCTCCGAGGGGTTCCTGGTGAAGCGGCGCCGCGTGAGTGTGGGCGACTCGAAGGGCACGGGCCGGAATCCGACTTTCCGGCCGCCCAGCTGAGGCGACGGCTCGGCGCTGTTGGGCACCCAGACGGGTGGCGGCGGAGGAAGTGGAATTGCCGCCCCATCTGACGAGTTTTGCTGACTCCCCGACACATTCGGCTCGGACTTATTGACCGGTGACCAGATGCCTGCGTCGCCCGGGAAATGAATCAGTTTAAGTGGTCACACACATCTCTTGGCGAGGAGACTTCCAACTCTGGGGCGTAACACGCAACCATTGCAAATAATTCCTGCGATGGACAAGATAGTGTCTGCCCATTTTGCTGGATCGTGCGGAAAAGTGGGGTTTTTCATTAGGGAGACCCTCTATCTGATCCTTTCTTCCCCAGGAAATGTATACACTCGAGATGGAGAACAAATGGGAGATTTACATGCAAGAGATAGACGAGGGGCCTCAAGACAGCTCGAAACCGCATTGCAGAAACAAGTTCAGGAGGGAATTTTTGTATTAAATTTTAGGCAAAATTTCTTGCTTCATTTTGCAAAATGTCACACATAAATTTACATAACACACTCCATGTGGGAATGCACATATGTGCTTTTATTCCATTAAAACTGCCCCTCGGTGAACTCCCTAAAAACTCCACAACGGAGAAAGATAGGCAATTTCAGTTAAAGCTCACTTTTGGCGAATCCTTCACGAGTGCTTCCGCTCGGGAGCTTCTTATATGAATTCTGCAAAAGCCCCTTTAATTTGCAATTCAATTCTATCGCGTTGATTAGAATTCTGAGGCTCTGGGCTTATTTGTGTTGCTGCATAGCTGACAATGATTGCCTCACGGTGGATTTCTCGTGGACATTGTATGTATTAAATTAAACGTCTAGAATGACCATAGAAAGGGTACTTTCAACTATGTTGCTTTTAGCATTGTCCATTGACTGGCTGTAATATGATTTAGCATCCCGGTGAATGCCAGAAGATACACGATAATCTCTCATCCAGAGAACTTCCCTAAAAATGAACGCTCGAGAGTGCAGAGCATTCAGGATGCCGGAAGAATGGGATATAATGGTGAATAGGTGTTGGTTTAGCCAAGTTGAAACTTGAAGAGAACACAGCAAATTACAGGACAATCTGCGGAGCTTGCAAAAGCTCGCGATTCTGGAAGTATTTTACATGCATTGCTGCCCTCAATAGCACACCTTACACGCACTGGCGAACCCACAACAATTCATGTTCCACCGACTGTTTCACCTCCTTTTGTGCTGCAGTTTCGGCGAGTGGCAATGTGTTTGCAAAGGGGATTGTGAGCAGGAGTTTGTACACACACCGAACTCCTTTCACTTAAGCATAATTTGTGCATTATTCAATTTTTCTCCCTGGGAATTCACAATGCAAATTTGGTGGCAATTCGAGAAGAAGCATCAGAAGAATGAGCTTTTGTGCAACATCCGCAATTGGTGCTGAATTCTGGTCGTTTGAAAGTGTCTCAAAAGCATATAAATATTCATAGCTCGCAAATAGATTAAAGCCAGAATGTGTATAAAATATAGCATATCCGTCTCTCCCTTTGTTCCACCCTTCCAGTTCATTGAGCTTTAGATATCGCGCCCGCTGAAGGTATGCAGAAAGCACGGTGAAAGCTTCGCGCTATGTATTTATCCTACAAACAACACAAAAGCACCGTGAAGAGGAAATTACGATGTAAAATATTTAAACAGGAAGAATAATTTTTTCGTAATAAAATTGTTATGGAAATTGCAAGGGTAATTCCCATTTTTTACCACCGTTGAAAACATATATAATTCGGGAATGAGAATGAATAATTTTATCCCATTAGTCCTCATTCTACTTTTTTACAAAATCTTCCCTCAGCGGCCAAGATTAAAGCGGGGGAAATAGAAGTGCTTTATTTAGTTAGAATCCAAACTTGCGCCGCTTGTGTTGGATCTTTAAGAGCGAGTGCGTAAATTGTTCTGGGTCAGAAGGTAAAAGCGAGCGCAGGGAAGGTGCACGAATACAGCCCATCTCGTATTAGTTGGGATAAATCGGTCAATAAATCAGGGATTCGGAAGGTGGAGTGACCGAGTAACAGTTGTGGATAATGGCGGTTGGCTCGAATGATGATGTCCCGCAGTGGATGGAAATTGGCGAGCGCCTGCATGGCTTCTTGACCGCCGCGCATCGCCGGTGAATTATGTGAAATTCATGGATAAACTCGGGGATGAGTCGGGGAGGAGCGGAAATATTGCTCATGGGTTTCCCCAGCATAAATCACATCATTAGTGTTTGTCATCTCGCTCTGTCGCCACCCCAAGTCCAATGGGGGCTCCTGAACACACCGAGAGTGAATGATGTGGGCTGTAAGCCAATGATTTATCAAATGACAGTGAATAATACGCAATCATGAGTGGTGTAATCATCAAATGATTAGGTACTTTGCATAATTATTCCATGTTTCCCAGCTTTTGCGCTCAATGCGCATTGATTGTCGCCAATTTGACTCTCATTTCAATCTCGCGTCACAAATTGATATTCTTCACTGTTTACCCACTGGCCAGCGACACTGCCAGCAGAATTTCAATCGCGATTTGCCATTCAGCAAATGAATTGTCATGGAATCGTGCTGGTGAAGCCCATCTTAGTTTAACTGCCATTATCTCCACACCTGCCTTATCGATTGGCGGTCTCTAATGATTGAAATCCCTAGATTCTCATCATTTATTTACAATCCCACATTGTTCTATCTAAATTGACGAACTGCGGCGTGTATGTCAGTGACATTTTAATCCATTTGCATTTCGATTTCCTACGAATTCATTCCATCACACATAGCATGGAAATGGAGTCAATGGAATTCGATCGCACTCCTTTTATTGCCGTATCAATTTTTAATTCATTTTAAATCACACATCGCGCCTCTCCGCACAGCGCAATCACACAATTCCTCGTGCCAGAGAGCGACTTCCACCAATTTGTCAAAGTTATGTATACTCGGTGCGTGGGAGCTGGAGATGGTCATAAATTCAAATACGCAGGATATTGTCACGCACCATTTGGCGGTGATTGAACAGAGGCTTCAGCAGTCCAATGAATGCGGCCATTGTCGATGTTTCGCGAGTGTTTCATTGAAATGACCAAAGCGGAATTATACACACTCGCAATTGATAAATGATGAGGAGCGAATCATTAGTCTAAATTGAAGAATCAGACCGGACGTCAGTTGGGCGAGTGGCTTTATTTTGGGACTCATCACTGGGTGAATTATAGTCTCTTTTTCTGCACGGCACATTATCGAGGCAGAGCAATTTGCTCACCTTGCTCTTGATGTGCAGTGGAGACGCCCGGTGGCGAGACCGAATTTGCTCTCAGGCATCTTCTTGCCGTCAATTCACCCTCCCCCCGGCCCTCGTCACTTCCCACTTCCTGTCAAAACCACCTTCATTCAATTATATGAGCGCAATTTGAACAGAAAACACCCACAATTGTGCGGAAAATGACGCCAGAGATTCTAATTCGCAACACATGATCGGAATTTCAAGAGTTATTTGTGACAGGAGTAAAAACATTTTAATGGCTCAATTATTTCACTAATTCACCATTGCGTGTGTGTTTGTCTTTCACCTCCACCGAGGGAGCTTTCAATTAATCTCTGTTGGTACAGTTTGTCGATTATTTATTTACATTGGATCACACAACATTGGTAAACTGTGGTGTTCGACACAAGAAGCTCTCATTGAGAGCATTAATAATCCTTTTACATGTTCAACATGACTCCACAAGCGCTTGCATATATATATACATTGTCGCCTGAGACAATTATGCAATGGAATGAGCGCATAAAATGTCTGTGTCGCTCTGGCAAAATTAGCTACAATTGCATGAGAAGGTGCGTTTCTAATTTTCACGACAAGCATCACCAAATTTATTTTGCACCTGCATTTTGTCATGGCGCTTTTCGCGATGCTCCCGCGCGTCTCTGCGCCACTCCCTCAAGCGTTTTCCCGTCTCCACCGCCGTCTTTGGTGAGTGATTCATGTCGCTTTGGCAGGAAAACATGCACAATTCTGCTCATGTCAACAGTAAAATGTGGTTTTTGTGCCACAAATTCAGAAACACACTATATTTATGCTTCTATGCAATTTGTGAATTTCAGAGAGAGAATTGGGGTTAGTGCTCGCCAAACGGCGCTGCAGAGCGCTATGAAAGTTGACGAAATATGCAATATTTGCAGTAAATAACACTAATAAGAACTTTCATGGGTTCTTCGGGTTCTGTTTCAGCTGTGCAATTAATGTGAAACACGCGTGAAACATTGCGACATGACCACTATTTTTGCTCCAGAAGAGCCATTAAAACGACCTTTTCCTGCGGGCACAGATATAAAAAGGCGGCGAAAAGGTGGACACGGAGATGTCGCCAAGTCAAATTAAAACAATTTTAGTCATGGGCAAGTGTCCAATTTTGATTAAATCGTCGTTAAGTTCCGTTGGTGAATTAAACCGAAATGTATTTTAATTTATACATGATGACGCCAAGATTTATAATGTGCTGCGATGTAATATCATCTGGTTGGTGTGGAACGGAGAGACTTGTGTCTATAATCTATTTTTCAGCCCGCCGCCGCACATTTGCCACACACCGCGAAAAAGGTGGGAAATTGGCGCGCGGAATCGCGCTCTCCAGGGACAATTTTGCACGATTAGTTATTTATCGCCTATCATTTTTTCTTCCTTCCTCCACGCGCCATGGAACGGATGTGATAACGACATTTAATACATTTCCCAATTTTCCGCCAACGAGGTGCACGTCGACAGAGTCCCGCAGGGCATTTCTCCATCGATTTTCGCCGGAACAATCTGGAATATATTCTGCGGCTGTGATGTCACATTTAATTTTTCCCCGCTATTCCGTCATTTTCACACCGAACTGGCGCACACTGTGGCAAATTTTCACATGAGCGCGGGAAATCTGGCGGAAAATCTCTCGGGGTGTTTGGAGGAAGTGGCAGAAAAAATCCACACACAGAGCCAGCATAAACAGCGCGATTTCAGCGCGGAATGTGATTTGTTTAGAATATTTCCACAATGAATAGTGCGTGCATTGGAGCCACATTTGGCCTCCCGCCACCCACACCAATTAATTATTAATTCGCCAATAAATTTCCGCCAGTAATCCTATTCTCTCGTCCAACAAGCGCGGCCCAATGAGCACTTTCTGTCGCGTCTCATCAGCAATGCTCTAAACAATCATTCACATTGATTGATGAACTAATTGCAAGTTTATGCATCATTGGCGGCGGACACTCTTCTCTATTCAATCTAGAGTGATCTAGATAGACACGAAGGAGCGAATTTATTTGATTTTAAGCACACATTTGCGATATTTTCTCATTTTCTGCCAAAGCAGTCAATTCAATGTGGCAAATTGGGTGAGCTTTTGAAAGAATAACTTGGCCTTTTCTGCTGAATCTCAAGTCCTCCCAAATGGCCAAAAAGTGCCGAAATTCTGGTGAAATAATTTGGCCAATTGACGATTGTGGAGTGGGTGTTTTTGCCACAAGTTAAAATTATATTTGCCAGGAAGTTTTTTCTGCTGACATAAGCTAATTTTTTCACTTGTTTCCCACTCGCAATTAAAGAAATGTTTGCTATTCAGCGTGGAAAACAACTTTGCAGCAAGGATAAGTCATGCCTAATGATAATAACTGGGAAAGTTTTGCACTTGTGAGAAAGCACGGAGAATTGCGAGGTGAGTTTCTTTGTCATTTGAGTCTCAAAGGGAGTGCGAATTGTGAGCAGTGAGAATTGGTACAGTGTGCGAATCTATTTTGAAATCCTCTTAAGGAAGGTTGTCACCCAAAAGGGAAGAAAGACGATTTGTGTTGAGGGGAAATAGAAAGGCAGAAGACATGGAAGAACAAATGAAAAATTCCCTCTGAAATGTAATTCCTGCTGTCCAGCTTGCGATTCCGAACTGAGAATTTGTGTCTCCTCTCTTGTTCTGCTTGAAAGGGATCGACTATTATTATGTGAGAAAACATACTCAATCGAAACCCCCGCCCCGTTTGCAATGTGCAAAGAAATACTCCCGATGCTGTGTACACCAGTGGGAAATCCCCTTTAGAGATTTATCAGCTCCCATGTGAGCATTTGTACCTGAAGAAGGCGCTGTCGCTTTGAATTTTGGAGCTATTATTGCCGGTGTTGTTGACTGTGATTCTGGAAAAAGACGACTCTGTTGGATCCATGTCAGCTTTGCACGATATTGCAATGCATCGTGATGGCGTGAAACTAACCCTGCCCCATATTTCTCACGTTTCGCACCGCTTCGATGGTCTGTCGTCTCTGTGGCTGGAGGGAAGAGTGCTTCGGGAGTCTCCTTGGCAATCCACTTAACTCCTCTCACACGGAATTGACTGCGATCCTCCCGTCGAAGTCACATTCACTGCTCTCACAATCGGCAATTGTTGGAGAAATATACACACAATTTTTACAAAAATCCACCCTTTTCCCCCCCAACCCCCAATGAAATTCCACTGATAATCCTTTCTCTCTTCCTCGGCGGCTTTTCACATCTGTTTTCCACAGAGCATTACACTGAGTGGAAATCATGCCATCAATTCTCAATGGCAAATTATGTGAAATAACAGAGAATCACTTGTGCAACATTTCTCTCAGTGTCTCGTGAAATCCTTTTTGGCGGGAACCCCGCTTTCTTATCAGCCTGGGCGTCTCACTCCCAATCGTGAGAAGATTTTAAATAACCTCGGCTGACGGAGAATGTGCGTTTTGGAATGTTGGCGGCAGGGCTTAAAAACGTATCAAAGGGATTTCCATTTGCTATATCGCACCTCAAAAGGTGGGCTTCTTGAGTTCCTCCGCCACCCCCTCGAGACCACATTAAAGCCAACCGTCGTCAGAGCACTTTGAGCGACAGAATTTTTTCCTCAGTCGAGATGAATGACGGTTATTTTGGTCGCGAAGCTAAATTATAATTTCCACAGTGGGTGGATTTTGGGTGAGAAAACTTCTGTGCGTTTCAGGAGGGAAGTTGAAAAACAAGCGCACGCCTGGGCGGGAAAACCTATTGGGAAAAAATCGCAGGTTTTCTCTCACGCACACGTGCGTGTGTGTGTGCGCGCGTTGACGAACCTTTCTAATTTTAAACCATAAACTTCTCCTCGGGAAATCATCAGGGCATGATAATCAGCGTGAAGTGTGAGGGACTCTCAAAATCCAAAATTATGTCTGTGAAAATCCTCAGCGAACGACGAGTCGTGAGAAAATTCTCGCGCTAAAGTGGATGGGAGTTGGTGTGTTATTTAAGCTCACGAGCGCCAAGATGAAATGGGAGACGCGGTGGAAAAGAGCAGGAGAAAAATGTAATAATTTTTTCGGTGTGTGGCTTGTATACCGAAAAGAAAACCAGCCACTTGGCGTTCCCACCTTTAAGTGCTTTAGCATTCAAGTTCACACACGGAAGAGGATGGAAGGCGATTGGCGGTGGAGTGCAGAACGGAAATTTGAGAGAGAGAGAGAGAAAAGCGGGAGAGGTGAATGGCAAAGGGAGGCTTCCCCATGGATTGATAATACTTTTCCCTCTGCCAAAAGAACGTGCTCGTGTTTTCGCACGCTTTCCTATTTATGGGTTGAGTCATAAATTCGCTTACTTTTCCCTGTTTTCTCCCATCGATTAGCGCATGAAAGAGTTTAGATTCGCATCTAAACCGCCTCGAGCACTTCCCATTGACACACAATGTTGTTATTATCGGTGGTTGTAGTGCCAAAAATACAGAACGAATTTAGGGCTCGACTTAGCATCTATCCTTGCACTTGAACACCTCACACGACTTTCCGAATTGCAAATTGGATGCTTCATGTCGCAGAAACGACAATCATCCTTATCTCTACATCACATTCGGATACCTCTCTTGTGCTGCCTCACCGTGTATATTTTCTATAATTAAAGCTATCGCAAATTGTGGCGCGCGGTGTAAATAAATTTAATGCTTGTTTTTATCCTCAGCCAGAACTCCTCTTCATTCATTTTCCGACGTGCATTCGCGAGCAAAAAAAGGCAGACGAGCAAAGGTGTACCTTTCTAACGAGGTAACACAGACTCCCGACCGTTCTTCTCTTGCTCTGCAGATGTAACAAAAACGGCAATTATTTTTAGAATGTGATTCCCATGACGCCAAAGAGGAATTTCACGCCGAAAAGCACCACCGAGAGAGAGAGCGCAGTGTTTATTCAGTCTGGAATTCGATCTGCTAAATTCTTCTACTGTCACCACTTTGTCAGCCAGCTGGACACGATCTTCCAGGAGTCGAGGCAAGTGAGAACCGCGCGATCGCGATTGAAACTCTCGTCTCACAATACCAGGCAAACGGGACGCGCCGTGTCCGATATTTGCAACTCAACTGAGACCTGAGATTAGTCCCAATGCGACGGGAGTCTTCGTGATCGCGCTCTTTCTCGCTCTGTCCACCAACACCACGATCACGTGAAGTGATCCCGCGCGGCGCTGCGTTGTGCAATGTACACAAGACGCGAGACGTCGCCTCTGGCGTCTTCGCGGAGCACACGGTCAGAGAGAGGGAGAGCATCTTGAGTGGCGATTTTCCGATGTGTTAGACGCGCTTCACTGTGTTGCAGTGCCTAAATTTAGATGACCAAATGAACTCGTTCGAAAGAACTAAAAACAACGACTAATGTGCTTCTCCTGCTCACAGATCTGCAATCAGGGGTCAATGCGCCCGCGATATCGGAGATAATCGCAAAATATTGCATTGAATGGGCGGAGCTTTCGAGTGGGCGGAGCCAATTCAGTACAGAAACCGTGCATTGGATTTATCCGTGAAATATAGAAGAGGTTGAGAGCAATAAAGTATAATCCATTTTGCGACTTTTCCCTCAATACATTTTTCCCATCGCTTGAGAATTTATAGATGTGGAAATTTAATTAATTTCTCAGGAAATTTCCCCCCATTATTTATCGCCCTGTCCGATTTCCAACCCTCCCCATGAGACGACCCTGCTCTTCCGATTTTCCTTCCATCGTCCATTTTTCTTCGCCAAAATGCTAAACTTTCCCTCTGCCTCTTTCTCACATGTGCGCACACATTTCTTCACTGCCACACAAGGATGCAATTGCAGAAAGTATTTTTGCAGCTTCACTCATAGCCGGAAAATTTGTTTTGTAATGTGAAAATCCTCAAGAGAATTTCCATCTCGGCGATTCAATAGTCTTCCCAGTGTGGGAGAGATATTGGGAAAAATGTATAAAGTTGTGCGATTTGTCAATTTCACGGAGAGCGAGAGAGAAATTCCGTGAAGTTTTCAATGTATGCACTGATGTTTTTTTTCCTTCTCCGGGTTGTTCTACTGTATTGGAAAATTCTTTTACACACAACTTCACATAACATCATGCAACATCTGGTGATTTTTCACGATTTTTCTCCGCTAATATAAACATCGAAAGTCAGGGTGTTTCAATCTCAGTTTCCTTAAGAATTTTCCTGTATATACGGATTGACATGCTTTAGTGAAGATGTTCACGTGGATAGACTTCTTTTTGAGGCAAAAAGACTCGGAGGTAAAGAAAATAAGCTTGTGGAATGATATTTAGCCAATCAATTGGAAGAATTCGAATAAAACATTTCCGGGAAGAGTCAAAGGGAAACAGTGGGGAGGAAATGTGACTCTCGGAGGCACTCGAAAGGTACATAATACATATGATGAATGCCTGGAGTCAATCAGAAAACATCTCAATGCTATTAACATTACGATCATTGAAGACACTGGAAGCCGTGCTCCATATCTGATTTCACTGGCGTAATCCTGTCCAAGTGCCTCGGGGAACATATTGAGGCACTCTCGAGAAAACGAGCAATCCTCTTATGCCAAAAAGACGCGACAGAGAGGCAATGCTGATGGGTTTCCGTGCGATGCGAAGAGGGATTTGATGAGGGTGGCGGCGAATGAATTAAGCAAATTGCATGCAGACGGAAAAACAAGCCGGGCAACACAGAAGGGAAATTAATTAAGGCTAAAAGACATTTAATCCTACCGCGTGCGAAAAGGAATCCTTTAGCCAGCACCAGTGATTTATCAATTTCGTGCAGGAGATCGCTCTCCGATAAGCTTTTGCGATTGAGCGTGAGCTGAGACGCTGAAAGCTGCTGATTAGTGGGCTTTCGTGAGCGCAGCTGAACTTGGACGTCGTGCTTTTTCGCCTGGTGACACACACTGACCCTCGGGAGCGCCTGGAAGCGTCTGGGCTTCGGCGGCGGTGTCTTTGGGGTGCCGATAATGACAATCGCAGGCGTCGTGGCTTCTTCTTCTTCTGTCCGTGAAATGGGAGAAGACAAAAAATACGACATAATTGAGAAAGTGCTCAAGTGCAAATGAATACGCGAGGCGCTATTATCGCGACTGTCTGCCATTCTCGTGTCCTGATGACCGACAGGCGGAAGTGACAGGAAGTCTGGAGAGTGCTTGAGCGTGCTTGAGTGTTTCTTGAGAAATTACACTGAATTAATCGTGCACTATAAATTATTCTAACCACTATTGTGACGCTTCTCATATCCAGCTTTATCTATTCGCTAAGCGAATGGATGTTTCTGAAATCCAGACTCTTTTCAACTTAATATTCCCTCCCCGCCGCGATTCGACCCACTTTTCCCCGTTGCATCATTATCATCACTATGGCGATCGTGAGCTGAAGAAGTTGGAGATGCTAAAAGCTAGTCTTTATGCGGCACAAATACAGGCGTCGTTTCGTTTGCAACACTCTCTGAAATGGCTGTGGAATGCCTTTTTTACAACATTTCACTGCAGTCATCTTCCATTAATGCCAAATTTGCCGGCGGGCGAAATGCAAATGAGTGAGAGAATCATTCTGTTACTATTCCTATCGCATTCCGGCTATTACACAGCCACTTGGCATGAGCTTATCTCCAGAAACAGCATGTTTTTTGCAGCCACACAATGCCACTTCTTTCACAACAAATGTGCATTCTCTTCGCCATTTCCGCCTTGTTTTCCAGAAATTTACAAAAAACGCTTCGATGCTCGTCTATTTTTCACTATGCCGATAAAATCTCTTAGGAGAAAATCCTGAGACGGGAAAAATTGTGTTGTCATATTGAAGATGATTCACAATTTTTACGGAGGAATCACAGGAGAATTGTATACACTGTTCAAGTGTGGAACATGGAATGAATAAATCTGTCACCAGGCGTCTCCATTGCAGAAAGGTTGAGAGCGAAGTGACTCAAGAGGATCTTTGCCAATTCATTGAAATACATAATTTGTGAACGCAAGAAAAACATATTTTATTGTAAGACACTTCTGAGAAGTTTGAAAAATGATAATGAAGACATTTATGAAGGGAATTTAGTGGGAAATTTTAAGTCTGCGCATCAAAAAAAAAAAACAATTCTTTCAGCAGACTTTCCCAAAAGTCGGTCAGGGAAATTGCTTTTTGTGTCACCTTCTGTGAGTAAATAAAGGCACACACGCACACACGAGCATTTTCGGAAGTGTCTCTTATGATCCGCTGACAAGAAAAGCGGAAACACGCGTCTCTCAACCGATCATCCGAATGTGAATCTCCTGGGTATTAATATATAGAATTTAGACCACACAACACACACTATGAATATTAAAAATAAACCTAAAGAGAAAGAGGGAGAGAGAGAGTTATGCAACAAGACAAATGTGTTTATTTCAAACAAAAACAGCACTCCAACGAAATACATTATAGTGGTTGAGTTCTACTGGCACAAATCACACTCTATCATTCTCAAAACATTGTTAATCTACCGCGGAAAAGAATTGGGCTACAATCTCTGTGAGAGACATAAGAAGATAATTCTACCAAACATTAACTTCGGTTAGTGATGAGTGGGCGACAGAGAGTCCAGCCGAGGATCAGTACAACAGCGCAAATCGCGTAAAAGCGAGCTCCTGGAGGTGAGGATGGCGATCGTGGGTCTGATGACTCACCCTGAGATGCGACCGTCGCGAAGGACTCGGCGAACTCTTGCAGGTGCCGCGGAAGCTCCTTGACGGACGCCTCCTTGTCCCCATTCACGACCTTTACCTCGACGTTGCGCACTCTGGCCTCCTGAGTCGGCGGCTGAGACTCCGCCCCACTCTCCCAATCGCTATCCGCCGGCATGTGGAGCTTCGTCCGCCGCTCCTTGACTTTCCGCAGAAATTCATTCTCTATGTCGACAGGGGCGGACTTGGGAGCCGGTGGAGTGTCTTCGGGTTTCGTGATCTTGATGATCTTGTGCAAGCGCCGCTCCTCTCTCTCAGCGACCTTGTCCAGCCACTCGGAGTGCATTTGCTGCCGAAACACTTCCTCGTCAGACAAGAGACTCGACCTCTTCGACTGACTCTCGCCACGTACTGTGCTCATCCGCATCGTGGTGATCTCCTCCTCGAGGCGCTTCCTGTCCAGCTCCAGCTTCTCGAACTCCGCCTGCAGCTCGGACTCCTTCTGCCGAATGTACTGCAGCTGCTTCTCGTGGAAGTCCTTCGGCAGCGAGAGCCTCCGCTGCTGCCCATTCTGGTCAACATGGCGCGTGATGGGCGTCGTGTCGATCATGGAGCGGCGCTGAGTCACCTTGCTCTGCAGCGAGTCGAAGCGCTGCGTCAGGTCAGGCCTCGGCTCCACATCGGTTAGTCGGGGCGCTTTTATTTCCGTCGCTGATCTCTGGCCACGGCAGAGATTGTCCTCACGCACCAGAGGGCGCGTCACATTCTCCGGCGACTCATCCACGACGCTCAAGTTGCTGCGCGACTCCCACGCCGGCACGATCCGATTTGGGCGTCGCGGCACCGTGTGGAAATCAAAATTGTCATCCACAATATCGCGGCGCATCGCACGAAGAAAGTCATCACCGAATATTTTGGTAGTCCCTGAGTCTCGATTGAGACATCCCGCTTTGCTATTTTGGTCTATTTCGCGATTCTCACTCACCGAAGCGACCTTGCTTGGCTTCACGCCACTTTCACTCTCCACACTCTTGCTCACGTTCCCATTATCGTCCGTGATCTTCTCCGAATGCCTCTTGGTCTCCTCGTGCACCACCTGGCCATCCTCCAGGCGGCGGTGCGACTCGAACGACCGCGTCTCGATGTTCGAGTACCTCTTCGTGGCCGCATGGTCCTTCCTGCCGCCCAGCTCGTAGTTGGAGAACCTCTTGGACATCGCCTCGAACATATTATCGAACTCCCGAGTATCGTACACCATTGTGACGTCACGCGCTTGCGGACTCGCCTCACTGGACTGCGGATCGTCGGCCGCTGCTGCGGACTGTTGCTGCTCGTGCTCAGACTCTCGGATGATTGCCAATAATCTGTTGTCGTCCTTGGCGGCGCATGCGGTCGCCGTCGCCCGCGATACATCGCGGTGCAACGCCCCGTGGGCCGAACTGGGGCGCTCCGGCGGCCGCTCAGGCACCGGCGGCGGCGTCTCGTGGCCCCCGATCTGCGGGTCCGACCAGTAGCTGTGGTCGTCCTGCAAGGGATCCACCACGTCTATGAGAAGCTCCTGCGCGGGCAGGGCCGGAACGGGGGGCGGCGGGGAGGGCGTACTTACGTCGCGGGCTTGGCGCAGCAGGCCCGTGATGTTCTGCGACACCTCCGCCAGCTCTCGGAGCACCACATCGCCGTACGGCATGTCCGCGAGGCGCTCCACGCACTGCTGGCGCAGCGTCTTGGGCTCCATGACTGGACTGGGACCTGCAATGGCGGGAGGTTCAAGGTCCATCTCCAGGTCCGTCATGGAGGAGGAGGCAATGTATCGAGCTGTACACTGACTGTGTGATGATGTACTGTGTGTTTGGGATGACACGCTCCCGGAAGAGTCTTGGCGCATGAATTCAGGAATATCACAATCATCGGGATTGGGAAGGGGATCTGGCGAGGGTGCCTCGTCCGCACTCGGACTAACGACGGGAACGTCAGGAACTTCGGGTTCAATCACAGGGGTGTCGATTCGGACTTCTGGATCTTCAGACACGGAATCTTCAGCATCGCCATCGGCTGAGTAGTCCAGTTCACTGGCACTGCTTGAGCCGGATTCAAGAAATACAACTTCAGGTCCCTGAACCTCGTCCGCTTTCGTAGTTTCCCACTTGCTCGAGCTGCCAGGAATTGACTCAGGCTCCACGAGCTTAGTATCCACCAGGACACAGGCTGGTTCCTCCCGGATGATGCTCGAACCAAGTTTTGGAAGGGCGGAAACGTGTTTCCGCCTCGTGGAGAGGTCCAGAGTTGGACCTTTTGGGAACACCGCGCTGGCTTTCTTGGTGATCTTCGTGTTGTCTATGAAGACATCATCGTCTTCCTCATTGAACATTAACTCTTCGTCATCCTTCGGCACATTACCGACAGATAATCGATCACTGGCAGCGTCTGTATCACTGGACTCTTCCCGGATGCTATCCAGGAATCGAGGATTGAGGATTTGCGGTGCAAAGTAGGTTTCGATGGCTGCTCGCTTGCGAACCTTCTCGACTTTCCGCTGGGACACAGCGTCCGGTGGGGATTTTTCCCTGGACGGAGCAGATTCTATGAAGGAGTTTATGAGATCTTTAATCCTATCGTCCTGATCACTCTTGGTGGGCTCCTGAACGTCCTCAGCTGGCTCCTCGGCTTCCGAGGACTCAGGCTCGGAAATATTGGGCACGTTGTCGAAGGAATTCACTAGAGAACTGGCGCCACTGCCGCTGCTTAGCTCCTGAATCTGCAGCGTAATATCCTGCACAGTGTTTCCCTCCGGAGATAGCATTCCGGGTGATTCAACGGTGTATCTCGGCGTTGTCTTATCGTCAGTCTGTGATTGATCGCTCACCTCATCTGCCTGCCCTTGAGCAAGTGACGTCGCGTGATTCGCAGTCGCTTCGGCATTTTCCCGGATTAGTGTATCACTGGAGCTCGCGTTATCGCACGCGGCAGTATCTGTCGCTCCCTCGGCCCACTCCTCCTCATCCGTGTGCTGAGAGGTTTCACTTTCGCCACTTACGCCACCATCGGGAAGATCCTCCTCACTTGGCTGCGTGCCATCGGACGCCACTTTTTCGCATAAATCGTCACCTTCTCGCGAATTGTGCACCTCTCGCGGCGCCCTGCGTCTGTTACACCGACGACGCCTATTACGCGGCATTCCACCCAGAGTCACACTCTCACGCGGGCCTGTCTCTCTTGGCGAAAGTGGCGGAGCAAATAAACAAAAGCGTGAATCTTCCTCGGCGGGCGCGACGATCGCGACTGCCTTCCCAAACCACACAAGAATCAATCGGAATCGCACGCCGCAGCGTCCGCGAACAGACACTTTTGCGCGTATCAGCAGGCAAGACACTCAAGCACTGGGGAGTGAGCAGCATTCTGGGCCACACCGCAATAACCCAAAGGGGCTTCTCGCCAGTGCCTCGACGCCAACCGCTGAAAGTGCCTTAAGTTCGCTGAAAATACACGCGATCTCACTCTCTCCGCGGGCAGCCTGGCGAGCAAACTCACTCATTTGGCTGAAAACACACCACTAGGCTTAGTGCAGTGTGTATTCTTGAGCCAGTAACAACAGTGTTTGCCTCGTGGATCGCGCGTAGATCATTCTGTATTCACGTCAGTATTTCACAGAGGAAGAGAACGCTGAATTGGGAGGAAGAACATTCTTGAATTATTGCTCCTCGAGCTGCCATTGTTTCAGCGGCCACGAAACTTCCTTCAGAAGCGCGCCTCTCGCCAGCATCTAATTTTACAGCGCTAAAAGTGGCTCAAGTGCTGTAGAGATCAACTCGGTCGAATGCTCAATTGCATGCAATTTTTCCATCTATTCCATTCTAATTACGCGATTGGATAATTAGAATTATGTAAGATTGAATCACCAACACTGTGATATTGATGAAAACATCTCTTGATTCGTGCATATGAATAACACTCTCTGCTCATCTCTCTGTGGCTCTCAGTCATCAGCAACACCTCAGCTTTATTTAATTACGTTAAACACAGAGTCACGATCCCACGGGACTTGCGCAGACGGAAAGTAATTTGGCGCAATTGAAAGAATGAGTAAACATGGTGTGTTTGTATCACAGTGAGATAAGCAACATGTTCTTATCGCAGTTTTGCCTTATCATTCCATTGATCTTGTTTGGCTTTTTTTTGAGGGGAAAACACACACTCGTTGAGTAAACTTGAAGAATGGATTTTTGGGCATGGGAATTTTTCCGTGTATCACAATTACACGGCGTGGAGATCAAGAAATGTACTTTATCCGGGTGCAATTTTCCCCGGCACTTTGGCAATTGTATCTCTATTCTAATGTAAATTTACATCCTCCACCAAAACAATGCTTTAGCACAGCGATTGAAAATCAATCACATTAATTGCTACAACGTGCAGAGCAGAAAGAGAGAGAGTCCATTCGGTAATTGGCAAAGCTTCTGAATTGATTGTATGACTGTGTATAAATTGACTCTAATTTCTGAGTTTTCCCACCGAGAATTTGACACTGTTCTGCGCTCTATCGGCGGAGAAAGCCATCGAAGTTTGGGCTTGTAGAATGAAAATCACTCATTATCATTAGCACTCTGCCTGATGTTCCGTCGCTATATTTAGTTTGAAAGCCTTCACTGCTTATAAAATATATATAGTGTACGTGGAATTTATATAAAGCCACTCATTATTCACTTGCACTTGTGGGCTGTTTTGTGAAATTGAGATTGACGCTGATTGAAAACATAAACCGCAACTATGAACATAGTGTGAGTGCGAAGAAAGTTTCAATGTGTGGCTTTGTGGCCTCTCGGCATTAATTAATATTTCCATCATGAAAATATCGCGCGATGGAACAATTTAATTTGAATTTTGCAGAACAAACGGAAGTTTGACTTTCTCTCCTCCTTTCGGCACTTCCGCTCGGCACATTTGCTCTGCGTGCACTTCTCACCTCCGGAAATCTAGCTTTTCGGACAGGTGAATTGCCTGATTTTCGGCGACAACATCCACATATTGTTTGTAATCGAACAACATATCCAATAAAACGTCTCACGCATTCAAATCCATTCCACCTGATCGCACAGAAAACTGGCAATTAGCATCGTGAATAATTGCAAGGGAAATTTATTGCTGTCCCCAAGCTTGTGTCCAACATATCACAATGTCTGTGTTGGCATTGAATTAGAAATTTTGTATGGACTTTTTTTCATCGGCCAAATATGGAAATGATATCATGCTGTCTCAATGTTTAAATGTGTGCCTCGTGTGCTTTTTGTTGTGTGCCGCAATTACCAATTGAAATTATATGTTTATTATTCTCACTTTAGCCATATAGCACAATACATAAGTGGAGGATTTGCTGGAAAAACTGCGAAATATGAGAGATTGACGGTAAATCGGCTGCAGAGAAAACACAGCGCGACCTTGCTGGCAATTACACATCTCAGTGGATTATTATAACATTTTTCACTGCAATATCATATGGAAAATCCAGCTCAGCATGTGACCAGATGGACTGTCGAGGGACTGGACGGCTGGGAAAGTGTGATGAAAATGTGTGTAACTGAATAACTTAATGCCACTGTTTCAGCTCTCACGCGCGCAATTGTGGATCAAACCACAAGAATATGATACAAAAAGATGTGATTCAGATTAAGGGCAATAGCCAAGAATAAAATCCTACCTTTAGCTGGTGATTTGCGATCGTCTGACGAATCTGCCTGATGAAATGTTGCGTTTGATCTTCGGAGGTCACCTGAAAAGTGGACGAAGACAAAATATTCCGTCAACACTCGTGAAAATATTGATGAAAATTCTCAGTTCACACCCCAGAAAAATGGTGAGATAATCGCAAAAATTGCGCTCAGTTCTGGGTTAAAAATAAGCGAGAGAATAAGGAAATTTTATCTCATGTCACTGGCCTATATAATGAGCGATAGACAATGTAAGACAAATGCAATTACTCTCTTCGCACCTCTCTTACGCCTTGAAATGATTCTACGGCGGCAAGAAGAGAAAGTGGCGAAAGACGGGGAAAGAGTTCGTATAAGATTAAAATGAGCTTCATCAGGAAAACGTGATAAGAAAGTCACGGAGTTGAAGAAAATGCGAGAATACACATTCTCCTCTCTTCACGCGATTCAGCACAGAATATTCAACAAAGAAGTTTAGGAAAGTCACTCGAGAGTGACTCTAAGACGAATTAGTTCAAATTAGTTAATAATTATTGAATAATAAAGTAATTAGAGTAACAATATCTTTAATGAAAATTCTTCTATGATTCTCTTAAAGCACTTTTTCCAAACGTTTCTAGCTCAGAAAGTCAATTGTTTCCCCACAAGAACTGAATATGCGCGATTTTCGTTGCGTAAATTCTGGATCAACTGTAAGATTTTCGATGGGGGGAAAAGAGCAATCACTTTGATAACTTCTGTATAAGAAAGGATGGTTGTAAACGAGTTGGTTTTGTCTCTTAAGACAACGAAAAGCTGAATTTAGTATCTTCACGTCTCTCATACTCATCTTGAAAATAGATGATCGCACGAGAACCTGTTGAAGCACTTTTTGTCGCATCTCTTATCGAATTGTATTTTTTATTAGCCGAGGGAAAATTTAATTGCGATTCGTGGTCGAAAATAATCTCATTTCTCCTCGGGGCGCTCGTCAGATCATGTTTTTGATGCCCCACAATTCATTTGTCGTAAATGAGTTTGTAATTAAATATAATTTGGCGTCTGTGAGGCACGTCTTGTGGGTCTTCTTCTTTCGGGCTCTGAATGTCAAAATGGGCGCATTAATGAAGTGAATGAGTAAGTGGCTGGAAACTACTCGAGGCGCCGCTCATTTGACTTCTTTCCTCCCGGGAATCCCAGTGGGACGCAATTGGGCGTCTTGGGATGAATGCGGGAAGGGGATGCGGAGGGCGTGCGGAAGCCCATGGGGATCGAGGTGGCTGACAGACAAGAGTTAAGGCGAATTAAATTAAATTCTGTAATCGCCAGAGCCACAATGGGCATTTCATGTGAGACACTGGCAGAGGCAGAAGGAGACCCTCCAGTGTTTCGGCCTGTGAATTGGCTGAGTTGAAGAGTGCACAAGAGATAGGAATCGTTTATTAAATTTATGAAGCAGTCCATTTACCACATTCAGCAGCTCACAATAATTCTTTTGTTAGACCCAAGATGCTCTCTTCCGTCCCTTCTTTCTGGGTCAAAGGCAGAACGGGGGAGGAAATCATGCTTAAATTATTGAGTTGCGAAGGAATTGTCGGGTGGAAATGAAGTGACCAGAAGACACTAATAGAAATCTTCTGGCGCAATTTGAGATGTGTTTACTATGGGATAATCATAAATTATGCGCAAAAGCATGACATTCCGGAGAAATAGCGCAATAATGGGATGAAATGGTGTGAAAGTTTCTAAGATCTTCTTCGCGTAATTTTCTCTCAGTGAATCTCATTCGCGCCAATCTCGTTTCGAACGCCACTTGAAGGGTTAGTATTCAATTTCCCAAGAGCATTTCCACTGGCAGAAAAGCATTGAATTTGAGTGTGACTAGATATTTTTTCGCATTACAGAGTCAATTTTACACCTGCAGTTCAGTTTCCGAGAGGGCGTTCGCTGCTTGCAAGAGATTGATGACGGTGCTTAAGTAATCCCAACACGAGGTGGGAAAATATTCTGTTCAACATCCAATACAATTAATCACCTGCGAGGCTCATTCACAGACACAATCGCTTTCAATGGACTCTTATATTTGATGTATTAATTATCGGATTTGTGTCGATTTCCCGCTCAGCGAGTGTTTAAAGAAACGACACAAAGAGAGGAAGTTTTCAACTGCACAGAAAAACACTCTTTAGCCCTCAATATCAGGACATATGGCAATGATTTCTTAGGCACTCTTCTTCACCGACAAGCCTTTGGCATTAATCACTCATGGTGACTATCGTGAAACTTATGCCTTCGCACGCGATACGGTTGTTTTTCTTTTTTCTTTGGACACCGCGGTACAAAATATTTGCCACCGAAAGCATGTGCTGTCGATTACGGCACCGACTTTACTGAAACTTCACCATCATCTCACTGATAAATATTGTAGAATTTTTGTTGTAAAGCGCGCGGTAAACTCTTCTGTCGAGGCAACATCAAACATTCACATGCACGCCGATCGTAATACACACAAAAGGAGTCTATTTGATGGCGCGCGTACACAATGTTTTATTTTTCTACTTCTCCACACAACATTTCAATACACCAAACACACTCACACATGTTGTGAACTAACTCCCCATTGATGCATTCACCATTCACTGCCACACAGAGTTCATAGCTCACGATCGTGCTCGATGTCGCTCTCTTGCGCGCTCGTACAACCGTATGTCCGTTCTGTGTGGCCCAGAGTATCATATTCTGACAATGTCACACATAATGAATTGCACAGCTGTTCTCAGAACTACGCTCACTTTCTTCTGCCTCGCGAGGGGACAAGCGCCAAGCATTGCGAAACGCGCCGCTCAAGTACACTAAAGTCCCTCTATCTTATCACATCGAGTGCTTGAGGGAATCAAACTTGCGATATGGAAGACAAGATAGATGAATTCACCAACAATTGCCAACATCTCACTTAAGTTTCTTGTGTTGCATAAAACCCTTGGGAAACCCAATCATAAATTCCGCTTAAACCCCTCGAATTTTCATGTGCTCATCATATCAAACTTTCAAGTACATTTCGCATGAAATAAATTCTCCCTAATGAGGAAAGCATCAAGATAAAGTCACATGCCACAGCGCTGGTTCACGCAATTTGACAAATCGCCGAAGAATTTGGTGGAAACACTGAGAAATCAGTGGTAAATTGTCGGAAGATGTTGAAGTGCATTAAAGACATCGTGTTCAGTTGTCTCGAGCAGCATAAGATATATCAATTGCGTATCAGGACAGGCATCCCATTCATTTTCCCTCCAGTGGAATCCGCAAACATGATGAGTGCAGTTCTTGGTGCCAAAAGAGGCCCATTTGGCAACTGAGCCCCAACAATTGAACCCCACTTAAGCGTCAGGACAATACATTGGGCAATTCTCAAGTTCGAATATAGAAATCTCCCATTTCACACTTGGTAATTGCATACTCGGCAGACGGCACATGTACAAGGCGATATGCGGATATGTAATAATAGCAAGTGGATCGTGTATGTTGGCTCCCCACTCTGCCAGCGTCTTTGGACAAGTGGGAGACACCCGAAACATCTGAGCACATTATTACAATGAGAATCGGATTTGTTAAGCATTGTTTGCGAGTTAACAGAAATGCTTTGAGAATCTTAGCTCAATGGCAAATCCTCTTGATATCCTGTGTATAAATTACATTGAGGAAAAGAGAAGGAATGGGAAATACACGCGTTTGTGATGTAATATGGAAAATTAAGTTATATGATCCTGAATGAAAGGGTGAATCTAATAGAATTTCCATATGTTTTTCGTCGATTTTTCCATCTGTTCAGGAGTGCAAAGAACTCACTCGTGCCAAAGGGTGTTTTCTGTCCATTAATATAAGTCACTAAATGCAGGATTATTTACACAGCAAAAGTGGATAATTAAGGGTTCTAAATTGTACCATTAGACCATGGTTGTTTGGGGTGGAGTTGGCACATCTATCCACCTTCGTAGTGCATATTAATTAATTTATAGAAAAAAGAGGGGCGGCCGGGGAAATTGGCTGAAATGAGGGCCACCCTTTGGGGTGAATCTCTGCGGGAGAGGCACTAATGATTGACGGATGGGAATACTGGACAGACTAATTGGGGAAAATTAATCAGTTGTGACGGCAAAAGAGGAGGTTTTTGTCCTCAGGACTTTCACCTTGCCACCTTCCAATGGATAAGGATATCGTCTTCGGGGCGGACAGACAAAGAAACTTCCTTTCGGATCAATATAATCCCAATAAATTTTAATGCCACCAGTTTCCCCCTATCTAATACATGTCTAATGCTCACCATGAGTAATTCTTGGGAAACTTTCTCATTAGAACCCAAATGCCAGATGCTTCTTTTGCTCGGCAATCGAACATTGTGAGAATGAATCGGTTTTTCGGGGGAGCGGGGAAGGAGTTGATGTTCGATTGAGATGAATTTCATGGTAAATATCATTTGTTTGCCAACCATCAGAAGGCAAAGTAATATTATAATACATGATATATCTAATTTTATGTGGCTTCATGCCTCAAGCACTGTGAAAATGCTGCAGCATTTGTCAAGGATCATTACTCTGGGTGAATTTCAACACCGGAGTGCGTCTCAGACTAATTTTCTAATTAAAATTCACGCGAATTTACATTAGGACAAAGATTAGCCTGTGCGCAAAATTGAGAGCTAATCTTGTCGGCACTAATTGTATTTGAGGTGATGTCTTTCCGTGAGAGTGGCTCGAGCCATTCAAGCCTCCGCAGCATCAATTGACTCGCAAGAAGGGAAAAAGTGGCTCATTAATAAGGGGTGTTTTGGGGCCTTTTCCCCGCACTCTCGCAAGTGGATTTTCTTTGTTTCTGCTGCACAATGGCTGCGTAAATAGTCCACCCCGGGAAGGTGGGTGGTAATGAATGTGCTCGCATTTTATATTTTACACGAGAACAGTGAATATTCTGACTCTGGGTGTATGAGAAAATGCCATAAATGCTAATGCATTCTTGTAATCAGTTCTGTGAGTGGGTGAGGCTCGACAACACACCTTTATGTGCACACACATGGGAGGGCATTAAAGCGTATTACTTCGATGTTAAAAATCATACAACACATCTCACAGAGTCGCAATCAGTCAATTTCATACACTCTTCTGGCCATTTTATTGGCTGTATTTATCTTTTTTTCCCTCTGCGGAAGAAAATAATTGAACGGAAAAACGTTGGACGGACGTTTAATTAATCAAAATCAAATTAGTCGCGTAGTTTTTGAAACATTCACAGTTCGTGCAACTGTTCAGTCAACACTTCGGCTCTTCAGCTCAGCCATCAAAGTGCAGCTTTGAGAATCATGACATCTCCAAGCCTAAGCAAGTCAGAAGGTTAATCATTTATCGCCCGCTGAGAATCTTCCCTCTCCTCAGCCATTGTCATCAATTAAAGTGTAATTTATCGATGCTTTGCGCTTCTATCGCTTAATCTGACTGATTTCACATTCAATTTAGAACACTTTGCGCTCACGAAGTATTAATAAAAGTCGGTAATAATGAATGAAGTCAGTTTCTGCCCTCCTGAATGCTTCTCTGGAGGACATTTCATGGCAAATTGTTCTCGCGAGACAATTCCATAGCTATTATGGCTGATGTTGGGACCGTGATTGAGGTGAAAAACGCGCCATAATGCACAACAGGGCATCTCATTGGCATCCCAAATAGTTTTGACTTATACGAGTCACCTGACAATCAATAACTCTGGCTGAATTGTGTAGTGCTGAATGCATTGTTGTGCTGTGCCATTCCCTGGAAATCCTGTTCACATTCCCATGAAAATTTATTGGCATAGCACAGAATCGATTACGGGCGTTAATTAATATTTGAGTGGTGTAATGTGGGTGCATTAAAACAATATCACCAGGCACTGCTGGCCATCTTCTGCCACACACGCTGGTGCGTTTGTGTGCGTGGCAGGTGTCTTTGAACAGTTTATTTATGCTAATTGTCTAATGATGATATGTGCTTCCCCCACCGCTTTATGTACGTGTGACGCGATTTTACAGCTTATTTCGTGGCTTCTGACCTTGGTCACCTCAATATCCATACATTGAGTGATCAATTCGGGTGATAAATATGCGAAGAGCAACAATTAAGCTGTGCCAAAAGGTCGATGGTGTTTGTGCCTACTTTGGCGGATTGTATTGTAGAGATTTTTGCCACTTCTTTGATTGACACGAGAGAAATAAATGATTTGTGCACACTTCATGTAAAATCACTGTAACGAATTCAGTGCGCCGATGGCACCGTGAAAATATAAATAGACGCCAATCGATTTTTCATTTAGCAATAATAGATTGTAAAATAAATGAGGAAGACTACAGAGGATGGGCTTGGTTCTTATTTCGAACATAAACAATTATTCCTCTTTTCAGTACACACACAGATTCGATGCGGAGATACACGGTGAATTGAAATGGCGCGGAGTGAAAGAGACGGAGGGCAGAGCGACCGGAAGTGAAACACTAAAAATTGACTGGAAAATGAGTTGAGTTGCCTTTGGCTGGAGCCAACTATGCGGCTTTATTCCCGAAAAACCCCCTCAAAAACCCCTCAAAATGCGGAAGGGAATAAACAGTCACTTTGAATGCACGGTGAGAAAATTGATTGCAAAGATGGGGAGAACTTCTGATCCAATTTCTGATTCATACTTCATTAGAATCACTTTTATATGCCTTTTTTTAATGATCATTCTGACATTATGACGAAGAATAGAGGACAGATTGTCAATCTTTCTTTTGATGTTCCACAATTTCTAGATGCGCTGTTTTCGGTTGAATAACTCTGAATATTTCTCTCTTTATCGGTCGATTGCGTATCAGGCTTTGCAAATTCATCAATTTGCTAATTCGATGTCACTTGAATTAATCCATGACAAAAGAAACATTTTATTGCTTAATTCCAATTAGAATTGTATTTTTTCGGCAATTCTATGAGATTTCGCCTTCAGCAGCCGAAAACCTAATTGTGCACTTTAGTGAATGCGCCTTTGTTGTGGCATTTGTCACACCTTTTTCCACAGTGTAGCAAGGACTTTACCTCGATTTGCAGCGCCGCGAACGAGGTCCCGCTTCTTCACTTTGTGCTTCCGCTCCACGGCGAACTTCCCACTCGGCCGATGGGGTGGTGCATCTTTGAGACGAAACACCGTGAATCTTCGCAGTGCGGCGCTGACGAAACTCTTCACTCGCGGCGGATCCGCGTGAGAATCATCGGATTTCGATGTGAAACAATTGGGACACTCCACAATCTTCATATCTGCCAGCACGGCGACGATCGAGACTGTGCGATACTCTTGGAGACACGATCAGAGCGCGACTGGGCATCATTGTCTCCTGCCAAGACGACTCAAT